TGCATTGCTCGGAACCTTGAACGCTGTGGAAATTCCTCAGCATAAATTGTAAAACTTTCTACACAAAAGAGCAATTTAACACAATAAAATAATTTGAGAGCGCCTTTTCAATTCGTGCTCGTGATTTGATCCTTTTCGAAAAGAAGTTTCTTTCACCCGATTGATTTGCATGAAAGAATCTTTCTACTTGTGCAGCGCGCGTTTTCTGACACGACCTACGCTCGGATTAAGGTCAGACATGATCGTTTTTGCAGGTCGAAGGTCACTGCTGTGAATCGATCAACTCGCCTCACAATTAAGCGCTTGATTATTTATTGCATCGGGAAAGAAAAATATATATAATTTTCCCGCAGCGCTTTCCCGTAAAAGGAGCAAAACACTATTTTATTTTATATTAAAAAAGAAAGACAAGTTTATAGAAGATTTCGCTGCTGGCGGTGATTTGAGTCACGTGGCGTGATCGCATTTTTCCACTCTCGGGCTTTTCAGAAGAAGAAGAACTGGAAAAAGCTCCTTCAAAGAAAAGCAATGAACAATTCACAAGTTTTCCAAGTAAAAATGTGGCTTGTAAATAATTAAAAAAATAAAATGTTATTTTAAAAGTCACAGGATTGAGCAAAAAATAATTGATTTTTTTTTTTAAGAAATAAATTTTTGCCCAAATATTTACCTTCAAATTATTTTGTTGTGATTATAAAACTCCAAAATTAAGTGTAATAATTACATTTTTGAAACTGAAATTAAGATCGTCCTTTACAATGCAATGAACATCAAGGCGAGCTGTGGAGCATAAATTGAATCCAACTTTTCATTGAGCTCGATTTGCTCTCGTTAGATTTGCAACGTTTATGGAAGTCGCGCGCACGTGCTGCGTATTTGATTGAATAATTGGACACAAAAGCGGCGGCCTTAATCATTCGCTCTCGCTGCAAGTTTCGCCTTTTTTGGAAGCAAAATCGTTTCGGAATTAAACTCTCCCTTGACATATTTATTTCCCGAATCAAAACATTTCTTCTGCAAAATCGCGTAGGCTTTTGAATATGCAAATGGCGAATGCAAAACTTCTGCAGGAGTTGCTCAACGCCCAAATAATTATTGTCTGCGGCTGACCTATAAATTTAATACCGATTACGTTGCAAATGGTTATTGTTTTATAATCCCTCGACGCGTGTGCGCAAAATCTGTCGGGATTAGTTTGGCAATTTGTGTGATCAGCGCTTATTATGCCGCGGCAGCGATTACACAAATCAATGAGTTTCATTTTGACAAATTTAAAGCAAACCTGATGACGAAATTTTGAATATTATTTCAAATTTTGATATTATATCTTATTAAAATTTACCACTTTTCATCCACATACTGATATTTAATGAGCTTTAAATGGAATTGCTTAAAACATTTCCTTTTTGCCGCTCAAAATTAAATGGCTGGAAGGAATTAATATCTGGTTTTTGGTCTGATACTTTCACATGATTTTGAGCACCACATTTCTCAACCTTGCTGCTTTCCCAGCGCTTTGCCTATTCGTTTTAGAAGAAAAAGTAAATTACAAAAAACGTGCGGTATTAAATTTCCTACAACTTTTGTATGAAACATTTTTCTTTAAAATGTCTTCTTCAAGCGGTAGAGACGAAAAACCGATAAAAAAATGCTTATTTTTTATCTCTATTTACAGAATTGAAATTTATGGCACCAAAATGTACTTAATTTGAACAAACTTTGTGAGGTTTTTAAAACTTGTAAAATTATCTATCGAATGGTTTTAGTCCCATATTTGTACAAGGTATAGAATAAGTACTGCGATATTTAGAAAATAGGATAAATTTTAAAGGTACACTGTAATTATATGATCTCATTGAGCGATGGGTAAAGCATGTCTGAGCCCCTTGACACGGGAAAAACATCGCAAAACGAGATGGAAAGAGGAAAAATTGCTTGGAGAGATTCTAGGCATCGCTTAGTGACATGGATAATTCGTGTCAGGGCACAAAACTTGAAAATTCAAACTTGGCGGCCTTGGCGCTGTGGTCACGTGATCTGTCAGCCAATCAAAATACAAAGACCGTGTTACAGAAAAAGTAAACAAAAGAAATGGACAGAACAGTGAATGTAATTATAATAAATGAGCAAATTTAAGCCTGAGCATTGCGTGAATTCCAAAATACCGGCTTTCTTAGATAATAATGCTGGACTGCCATTAATTGTTATGTTTATTTGTGAAAATTATTGAAATAAAATAGGGATTATATTTGACCGAGTTGGGCCCGATTTTGTTCTCGGCAATTTAGAGTTAGACAAATTTAATTATGTTTCTCTCCTCTAAATCAACTTCAAATAAAAAAAGTTCAATTGTTTAGTAAATGGAAATATGTACTGATTTTTACGAAAGCGGCCGGAAAATTATAATATTGTTAAAAATTTATTTCTTAAAAATAATTTATGTGTTAACTGGAAACTTCTGTCATTAAATCTAACAGAAAAATTTGAAATTATTTTTACCGATTGAAAATTTATTCACGCGTAGGAAATTACAAAGTTATTAAAACAAAAAATTAATTAAAAGCCGAATAAAAACTTACATTCTCGCGCGCACATGGTCTCCGATGCTTTTGGTCGGGCGTCGCGATTTCGGACTTGGAGCCGCCCTCGGTCTTGAACCCATGAATAATGTAGCCCGAATAGCAGTTCACCAATTTTACGCCAAAATTTTGCACACCACATGACCAAGATTCATTGTCAATGAACGAATAAATCACATTTTGATGCTCCGGCCGCACTCACAATTTTGCGTTCACTCAAAACAAAATGTTCGACTGCCGACGCCGACTGGCAGTTGCCGAGTGAAGTTGGCAATGTGATGGTGTCATTACTTAAGTCTGATTTTCAAAAGATATATGTCAATGATGACCATGGAGCCAACTTCACTATGAACTTATAATAAATGAAATAATTTCATAAATATTAATTATCGAGTGTTGATTCAAATGACTTGCTCGCTAAATTTGCAATATTCCTTTTTTTTGTTAAAAATTTAGCAATATTAGTTACCTAAATTGTCTAAATTTCTGCAAAACTATTTATGATACAAAAATATTTAGCATCGGCATGAGGACGCAATTTTGGTTATTTGCGAGACAAGGCAAAAAGACGATCGGCCGGCGCCCTTTGGTTGCAAAGAAAAAATTTATTATTGAAAATAATCATTAATTTAATTATCCACTGAAATTACCATCGTTAACGTCAATCACGACGAGAACTTTGAATAAAATGTGTAGTCATTTCCATTTGGGGCCAATGAAAAAATATTTGGAATATATTGATAAAAATCGCGGCCCACTGGATAATTGCTAATGGTCTAGTGGTTACAGGCTCTGGCTGACATGCGTGAGGACCCGGGTTCGAAACCAGCTGATGGAGATGGTATCAAAGGGTTGTGGGCACTTTGTAAGGGCGCGGGTGTGTCGGGGGTGAGGGGGGCATACGCCAGATGGCGACGGAAGTGGGCAGGGATGCGAAAATTATTTATTTTTTCGTCAAATTATGAGCCCTCTAGCTCGATCTTTTTTAACTCGCAGAAACGCAAAATGACATGGATGAACCGTTTCAAAGCCAGATTTTTCGGACATGGATAAAACCTCTCTGAGTCGTCACAATCAACGAACGATGGATTATCCATGTCAAATTGAGATTTTCTAGTTACAGTGTACTTTTTTGTCCTTGACATTGCTGGACTCATTAAAGCTAGTTTTTAAATTAATTTTGTTCTAAAGAAATCGGAAATTGCTTTTGATTTATATTTATTTTTAATCTTAAATATTCTTCTAAATTATAGTTTTGATTTATTTTTGATCATGGCTTTGTTTATTTGGAAATGACGCGAGTGCAGTTCCTGTTTGCTCAGTCTAGCCGAGTTTTTTTTCCTAGCTCCGCGGAAGAATTAGCTGGCAGGTGTAATGGGTGCTGTTTAGCGTGTGAATTATTTTAAAAGGGCCGCTAACGCGAGACCAAACACGACGACTCACGTGGGTCTCTGACGCGCGCTTGCTCAGGGTCCACATGCGGCCAGTCGGTGGTCGACAGTGATGCCCGAACCAGGTCGCCAGCATGCGTTTCCACCCTTTTCACCACCAACACCACCACCACCACGAGAAAGTTTTAGTTTGCGACGACGGTAAAAATATTTTTTCAATTCCGCGTCTCTGCGTCATTTCAATGACACGTGAAAAGATTGTTTTGATTTCTCCATCAACAGCTGGCCAGGGAAATTGCGTCGCTTTTTGCACACAAATTTTGCGCTCTGATTAGTAAATTTTTCATTCGAATTACTCCTGAAATCGTAAAGTTTACTCATTTAAATTGTTTGAGTGTAAATATTAATAACAAAAGTTTACATATTTGGCTGAAAAACGTTGGAAATTCATCTTTCGGTTCGTTAAATATCAGTGGAAGTTTTTAACAATCAAATTTTAAACTTTTTATCTTATTTTATTATTTGCATTGAAAATTTTCAACTGTACAAAAAGTGATGCAAAAACTTGAGACAATTAGTTAATGTGAAATAAAAACATTTCATGTTGCGTCAGATTGAAAAATCTGCAGGTTTTCAATCGATTTTGAAATCAAAGAACAATCAGAAAAGTCCAAAATAATCAGTGTTTAGCATCCTGAATTGTAATTAAGTCCGATTTTCGACCATTTCAACTTCAAATTTGCATAATTTCAAAATTTATTAGAATTACAATCAATTTTTAGAATTTAAAATCCTGTGAATCACACGTCGACCAGGAAACCAATAAATTTAAGAATGTTAACATTTCCAATTTAAAATGCAAGGGCAAGAAAATTCCCTTTTGTGCAGAAAATTCCAAAGACGTAGAAAGCAACTTCCGGGGACGCATGTTCATCCGGAGTGTTTGCCGCAAATTATCTCCGTCTCGGCTGCGAAATGACAAAGAAATATTTCGTGCCGACATTGACGTTGCGATTGTCAAATGTTGCAGAGCGGCCGCGCACCGGCATGGAGTTGCTGGTGGACGGACTGGCCCTTTCCAAGGTGGGCAAGAAGCGCCTCGACAAGCTCAACCGCATCAACATCCACCTCCACGGTAAGACACAATCTTTTGGCATTTGCGACGCGGGTCACGAGAAAGGCCCAACCTTTACATATTTGCCACAAATTCTTCAAAGCCGTAAAGCCATTATTATTATATTGTTTTCTGTGCGTCGCATTTTACGCACAAATTATTTTATGACTCGCGTTAATTGCGAAACCTTTATCGGTTCTTGAAAGAAACGGACACTCATTGAGGGGCCGTCGTAAAAATTCCTTTCAAAAATTATGCAATTAGAAACTTCTTTTAAGACTCGTTTTTACTTCATTTCTAATTTTCTTAGCGACTTTTATCGCATGAAAGCAATATTAAAATTAATAAAAAGCCCTGAAAATGATAAATTATTTTGAGAAAGTAAATGATTTCCTTTTATTTTTTATGCTTTCAAAATTACAAAAAAAATAAATAAATAAATAATTCGTTTTTAGCTTCTTTTTCAATTATTATTTTATTAAAATTAATAAAATAAATTACAAGAATTATGGGTTTCATTTCCAGACAAATTTGGCTGTTTTTTATATATATTTATTCATCACCATGTGAAAATTTATGAGCGAAAGTTTTATGCAATATCTTGATTTTTTTTACGTATTTTTGTTGAGGATTTGATCAAAATGATCGAAATCAAAATCATTTGGTTTATTCAAATAAGGAAAAGCTTGCCAAAATCAAACTCAAGTTCCAAGAAGCCGCCGCTTTTCCTGCTGCAAAATTAATCAAGTAACACTTCCTGCGTTTTCCTCGTCAACCCTTTGTCAGATTTGGCCCCTTGATTACAACGTGGGTTTGAAGGGAGGACGAGAAACTTGTTCGGCGCCAAACAAATCGTAAAACGTCCTAGTTAATAATCGACCATCGCAATTTTTGCATAATTAACACCGAAGCTAAAAATGACTCAACACATCCTGCCTCGCGCGGTTTGCAAAGTTGCAGAGAACGTCAAAGTTCTCAAGTGTCGTCAGATGCCACTTTTACTCTGGCGTCATTGATAATTTTATTATAGGTCAATTAGTCTGCTGGATAAATTACATCCATTGTTATTTATAAGTTTTGAAATCGGTAATTTCGAAGTTCAGGCATATTTCAATGTTGACTCAAACAATAAAAAGCTGGAGCTAGAATATATTTAAAATGATACAAATTTAATAATAATGGCAAAATATGGATTATCAGCTAAAATATAAATGAAAAAAATAAGTAAAATTTGATACAAATATTTATTAAAATATATAATACAATTGAATTTCAAACAAAAATTCTTCTCATTGGAAGACGAGTAATCTTGATTTTTTTAAATCAATACTTGGTCAATGAAGAATATCGTTCCAAAGTGAGCAGGCCTAGTTTGCAACTGGATCAATCTGAGCCGCGAGAAAACAACAAAGGCTGCCCTTGTCGGAAACCAACGAAGTCACTTTGCATCTCGCACGTGCATATAATTATTGCGGCGCACCTGCGCTTGTGATTTCATTGATTGACGGTCAAGCATCCATAATTGGCGCATTCGTCGGTCAAACGATTCGACCTTGCAAAAATAAATCCAAAAATAAATTCCAATCAGTTCTATATTTTAAATTTAATCTTGGTTTGAGATACAAAAAAAAGTTCCCTTTAGTGCAAAAAACTGTTTTGACAGACAGACTCGTGCAGAGGCCAGAGTCTGTCAATCAACGCGGCCGATCCAAATATGATGTCATGAATTATGAACGCAAACTTTGGCTCTATAATTAAAGAGAAACTCTTTTCGTTCTTTATACTTTCGCCGCAATTGTTTCTTGCGCCAGCGGACTTTGAGTCTCTTGCATGGAAGAAAAAACGAAACAGAAAACTCTGTGGTAATGGAAATAAACACGATTGTCACATCCTCTCTCTATGCGAGTTTCCTTTTCCTTGCGTGATAAGCGCCCGTTCTCGACCCCACACATATCAGCTCAAGTGCAATCGAGTAAAAATAACGAAAAGAATAAAGCTGAACGGGTCAAGAAGAGTCGAATTAGCTCATTATTATTTGCAAAAAGAAATTATGCGTCCCATTGTAAGATGGAATCGGCGAAATGCAAAACTCGCTCGCTCGGCACAAAACTTTCTCTCCTTATTAAGCGTAATGAAAACCACAATGCCGCGCGAAATGCCCACAATATTTGCTTAACGTGGAAAAATGAGAAAAAAATAACAATCTCTGTTTAATCTGTGGACTGATTTAGCCCCACTCAAATTCATCAATTCTGTAATTCTCAATAAAATTTATTTTATCGGTCGTAATATGTGCAAAATAAGAAATACTGGCATTGGAAAAATCGACATTGGTTCAGACAGGTGATCAAAGAATTGCAAAAACTGCAAGAATTGGCCTCACATCAAAATCATTGATCGCCTAAAGCGTTTTGATTTTTGCAACGCCAGTATTTTTTATTTTGCGTCTTACAACAGAGAAAAATCCAATCATTATAAAAAGGGCTGCCATAAGAACCAATTTTATGAATTACACACAATGAGAAAAAAATGCTGTCTTCAAAGGAATAAAAAATTATTTAATTTCCCTTTTTATTGAAACAAAAGAATTCTTAGTCAAACAATAGCTTTTTGAAGCCCATTCTAACCCCAAACCTTTTTTTTCTTGCAGCCCTTTACGGCGCCATTGAGAATGGCCAAGTGGACAAGGCGAGGACAATTCTCGAGTCCACGGACATCGACGTCAACAAGTGAGTTTGCCCCTTTTTGAACCTTTCCATCAGAAATTAATTTCGCTTTTCTCTTCAGCATCAGCAACGACGGTTTGTCGCCGCTGGACGTGGCCGTCCTTTTCAACAGCCGGCCCATGACCAAAATGCTGATGGCCTTCGGCGCCCAGGAAGGAGGACTTTGTTAGTTTTTCTTTTACACGATTTGTCTGAAATAATTTGAAAAAATTTTATTCAAGATGAGACGAGGGAGAGTTTGGGCGAGCACTTGGAAAAGCTGGTGAGGGACGCGGAGGCGCGTCTGCAGGAAATGGCGACCGCGGCGCCGGCCGCCGAGGCAGGAAACGAGACTCAGGGCGTGGGCGGCGCCTCGGAGAAGCAGCGGGCCCTGTGGGAGCGCAGGGTGCGCGGCCTCAAGAAAATGCTGCTCGGCTTCGAGCAATCTCGTGAGATTTTCTCCTCCTCCATTATTTCCTCTTTTCTGATTCGATTTTATCAAAAGGTCCGCCGGACGAGCCGTCCATGGTGGCCGTGGACGTCACAGGGACCACCTCGGTCAACGTCAGGTTCCAGGAGCCCGACTTCCAGGACATCAGCATTTGCACCAAATTCAAATGTATTATTTCAACAGAATTTTAAAATTGCCATTAAAATTAACGGTTTTTGTCTCATTGTCAGTGCAATGGAGTACGAGCTCAGATTTCAGCCTACTGGCGGGCGAGAAAATCATCAAGGACGCCAGGGCGGTGGAGGAGCAGGTGACCGACCTTCTTCAGGGTCGCCGCTACTTCTTCAGGGTCTTCTGCGGAAACATCTTCGGCTACGGGCCTTCCAGGTGCTCGGTGCCCCTCTCGGTCATTCCGTCCAGTGAGTTTATTTTTGTTTTAATTTTCATTTTATAAAATTGGATTTATCGCAAGGCTGGAGGGATTCGGAGTTGCGGAAGCCGCGCTACACCGGCAGGGTGCACGCCCTGGACGACCTTTTCGTGCAGACCAAGTCGGCGCGTCCTGAGAGCGCTTCCGAACTCAGGGCCATCGAGAACTCGCCCGGAGAGACGCCGATTCCGCAGCGGAAGAACCAGAGAAAGTCCAAGACCATCAAGCAACTGTTCACCGCCGCCTCCAAATTCCAGAAGAACCTGAAGAGGGGCGTGTACCTGGCCTGCCTGCTGTACTTCGAGGACAGGGTGCTGGTGACCAACGAGGACTTTCTGCCGGTCATCGAGGTCGACGAGACCTACCCCAGTTGCATCCACCCTGATTTCCACTGGCTGATGAAGGTATAAAATGCTTTTCGCTTTTTAAACCTTTCGCAACTCATTTTAAACCGGAAGGTGGCGTGCACCTGGGACGACGTCAAGTCCCTGAAGCAGGACATGGAGAAAAGTCTGAGCTCGTCGGCCGTGCACTTCAGGGTCAAGCTGCTGCAGGCCGCTAGTCAAATGCAGGTACCTTTACTTTCACCCTTCTCTTTTCCTCCTTCAAACTGAACCTTTTCATTTGCAGACTGCCCTGAGCATGCAGGACCTGGGACACCTTCACCCGAAGCCTCTGCGCGATTCTGACGGCACCTTGGTCCTCTGCACAGTGGCCAACGTCAGGTCGCCCAAGAGCGTTTCGGTGCTGAACGCCAGGTGGCTGTCCCTGAGCAAGATCCAGAGAAGACTTCCCACCGCCCAGAGCACCCCTGACGAAGCCCCTGCCGCAGGTGACACCCTCATGGCCTCCATTCCTGTCAGTTTTTTCCTTTAAAATTTATTTCAATGACTAAATTTTGCCTTACCAAAGGAAATCATCCAGTACAACCAGTTGAGCGGCACCAAACTGGGCAGGGGTCTCTACCTGGGCTACCTGAAGCTGAGGAGCTCAGTCGACCTGATCCAGATTTTGGTTTCCAACCGGGCGCCCAACGTTTTGCCGCACTGCAAGGTCCGGGACAATCCACACGTTTGCTCGTAAGTGAATTTTTTGTTATTTGTTTGTAATTTATTATGAAAAATGGCACAAATTGCAGAGAGGAGTGGGAGTGGCTGAGGAGTTTGAGCGCCCGCCATAAAAAGGACAGGGAGGATAACGACGAAGACACAGAGGGAAAGACTGAGCTGGACAATGGGGAGGAAGAGGAGCCTTCGGAGCAGCAGAAGGCGTTTGTGAGGCTCGTGGCCGCCACGTCCAAGCGCCTCCTCAACTACATGGAGGTGTCCCCTGAGGACGTTCTCAGCCACAGGTCCGAACTTTAATTTTTGTTTTTTTAAACAATTTAAATTAAAATCCAAAACTTTTTCACAGACTTTACGAAGCGGAAGTGATCGAGGTGTCCTCGGACGTGTCCTTTATCGTGATGGTCCCTTCTGCGGAGGCGGTTTGCGCCGTCCCCGGCACCAAGGACAAGGAGGACCCTCTGCTGCGGAGGGAGGACCTGCTGCTGCTGCCGGTGCAGGCCTTCGAGATGGCCCACCTGAGCACCTACCAAAGAGACCTGATGAACCGCTACGCGCGCCTCAGCTCCATCCTCGAGACGGACACCACCCTGGCCCAGCACACTCACCGAGAGGTCCGTCCCTGAAAAAGATTCCACCCTTATTTTTTGCTGACTGAAATTTTTCAGGCCTTTTCGACGGCAGAGATCAACTCGGCCAAGGAGCGGCTGAACAAGTTGCAGGAGCTGCAGACCAGGGTGAACGCCACCTGGAAGGGCGCCAGGTGGATCATGGACCTGCTGACCTTTGCCAGGGACAGGAACAACCTGGGTGGGGTGCCCATGAAGGCGCTGCTGCCCACCATGCTCAACTCGCCCGGCTCAAACAGGAGCACGCAACACAACTTGCAGCCGCCCTCCCACCCCACCGGCAGCAGAGGCTCTTGGCCCCCACCACCGGTCCTCCTAGGTCAGACAACTTCCAAATTAACAAATACTTACATTTAAATCGGGGAAATTATTTTTTCCCAGAAAAATTGGCTGATTTTATTCTCATTGATTGAAAAGAAATAGGAGTAAAATAATAATCAACAGACAGTTTAAATTATTAATAATTGAATTCTTTAATTCTGAATGACGCAAAAAGAAAAAAACTTGTTCAAAAATTTTTTCGATTTTAGCAATAATTGTAAGTATAGCGTGATTATTTTTGTATTGCTTATTCTACTCCAGTAAATTGGGGAACTTTAATTAAAATGAACTCAAAACTTTCAGATTTATACCATCTATTTAAAATGGCTAATTTCTTGGGCAAATCCATGCATGAGGTAGACGAGGTAGCGACCGAAAGTGAATCAACAGAAAATTCTCCTTTGAGACTAAAAAATAACTTTGTTTTTTGTTGCAGCTCCGCGCGGAGGTGAGCACATGAGCCGCAGCGAGCAGCACCTGCACCACTCGAAGCGCGACGACGGCCTTCTGCGGACGTCGGCCTCGAGTCCGCCGGCGGCCAACGGCGCCCTCTTCCCGCCGCCCAAGTCCACGTCGCCCAGCTCAGGGTCGGTGAGCTCAGGGTCGTCGCCAGGGCGGCTGCCCCCGTCCCGGTCGGACGACCAGCTGCACAAGAGCCGGCGCAAGTCGAGCGTGCCCTCGGCCATGGCCAAGCTGCGGTCCAGCGGCCACAGCCAGAGCGACTCGACCCTGCCGCAGCAGGCCAGCGGCCGCCGCACCTCCTCGTCCGCCTCGTCCGTCTCCTCGGGCTCGGGCCTCCTCAGCACCCCGCGCTCCTCGCTGGTGCCGCCGCCCGCCCCCGCCGCCGCCTCCGCCGCCTCCCTCCAGTCCTCGTCCGCCGAGGAGGACGCCAAGTCCGAGCACGACCTCGAGTCCGACGCGGAACTTTCGCAGCCCATCCCAAACGCAGCCATCCTCCAGGTCGGGATAATTTTATTTAAATGATATTTTCTTTCAGGGAGACTTTCTCATTTTCTTTTCAAAAATTTGAATTCTAGGCAAAAATCTCCCTGAAACTTCTTAATAAGTTTCTCCACTCTTAACAAATAATACCAATCGCAACATTCAAACTCCAGTCTTATAATGATTGATTCATCTTTTAGCCAACTGATGATGAGGATTCTGACTAAATTGAGTGCAGATTTCTTTTCCCAATCTTGTACGTACAATTATATATCAATGTCAAAGTGTGACGCTCTGTGTTGTGTACGTACTCCCTACTTAGCTCTCTTTTTTGTGTTTTCCATTTTATTCCCCCAGCAGCAGTCAAAACTTTTCACTAGGAAAAACAAAAATTGATTCAATTTTTCACTCTAGAGCATAAAATTCATATATTGCAACCCCTCGGTGTGTCAATGTAGCCTGCTTCCCCCCCCCCCCATTAGTCCCAATGTGCTCATCTCAAACTTTTCTGTCCTTTTGTGTGCAGTTTGTATTATAACAAGCGCGGCCAACCTTTAGAAACTGTACATATTATATGAAGCGAAAAGGTGCCAAAGGTTTTAGAAACTAATGTAGATCAATATAGTGTGTTTTGTTTTATTTTAGGTGGGTTGAGAGTTGAAATTGAAAAGTTAATAAGAACTGGGACTAAAAGTTTATAAAAAAAAATAACAATTAAGATTAAAGGGTTTGAAAAGTTTCATTTCATGGAGTTTCAATATTGGTACAGATAGATTTTATTTTGCGCGCCCTTCAAAATGATACCCTAGTTTTCACTTTCTTAAATTTCTGAAAATTTCTAATAATAGTTGATTCTATTCGTGACCTTCTCTGAAATTTTCAAACTATATTTTTTAAGTTTAAAAGTTAAACGAAATATTTATCTTGAAGTTATATATTATGGGTCAAATCTTTCAAAAAATTTTAATTAGAAAACTAACAGGTATTTTGCAATTAAGTTAGTTTTTTTCTTCAGCTTTTTATATAATTTTGACTGATAAAGTTTGTTTGTGTTGTTGACTTGGGCAGGTGTTCACGGCGTACGAGACGGGTCTGGCGAGCGGGACGAGTCTGAAGCTGCACGTGACGGCGCGGACGACGGCGCGCGAGGTCGTCGACCTGGTGGTGCGTCAGCTGAACATGGCGGTGGTGCTGAAGGGGCGGTCGGGGCCCGTGTACGGCAGCGAGCAGCTCAAGCAGTTCTGCCTGGTGGCGGTGATCGGGGCGCGCGAACGCTGCCTGCGCGACGACTTCCGCCCCCTCGCCCTGCAGAACCCCTGGCGCAAGGGTCGCCTCTACGTGCGCATGAAGCACGACGTGCTCGCGGCCATCGAGCAGAGTTCGCGCCACTCCGCCTACCTCTGACTCGGAAGGAAACCTGCTTTATTTCCATCGCCAAATCAAAATTTTCATATTAAAAGGAAAACCTGTTACTCTATTCGTGTTAGGAATAAAAATAGATGGCCTATCTTATAAATTGTAAAGCAGCGGCACACTTTTGAAAAGTCTCAATTCTGAATCAGTAATTTCAGTTGAAACGAATCTCTTTTTAAAATCTTACTTTGACCATATAAAAATTAAATTAAAAATTGTGAAAAACTTGTCCCTGGAGATTAATTTTGTATCGGTTTTTGGCGAAAAAAGTCCAGGAATCAAGATTTCTCTTGGTAGTAGAAAAAGTACCTTTGTACATTGTGGCGTATTTTTTGTAATACTTTTTATATTTCTTGCAAGAACATGAAACTAACGCCAGTTGATAGTAAATTTAGTAAGCTTTCAAAACTCTCCAAGTTTGCTTGAATTAAACAATTTTTGGCGCCTAGGATTTCAATTGTTTAAACAGTGAGGTCAATTTTTGTAATTTTTTACTGGTTTTTCAGCTCTAGCTCATCTGGAAAACATTTCAGAGAAAATTGATTCTTGCAAAACCTGTAGAAAATTTGATTTTGCGCACATTTTATATTCAACATTTTCCTCTAAAATGTTTTCCACGAGAGCTGAGGTTTAAAAAATAATTAAAAAATGACCAAAAATTGGCCATTGTTGAAACAATTGAAATTTTAGGCACCAAAATCGTCTAATTTAAGAAAAATGGTGAGCGTTTTAAGGCTTAATAAATTCCCTATCGATTGATGTTGGTCTCATGTTTGGGCAAATTAATATAAAAATTGAAATACGCCATTTTTTAAAGACACTTTTTGACCTGCATAGATTATATATCTTTGGAAATCTTAATCTCAGAAAATGTGTCTCAATAGATCCTGGACTAAAGAAAAACATCTGTTATTTTTAAGGAAACTTCACAAGCTCCGCTCAATTTTGGGAATTTTTCACCTCAAATAAGCAAGGAATCGGAAAGATCCGTCACGATCTCCGGGAATTTTGATTTTTTTTTATCAAATCAGAATCGTACTTTGCGAAAGTGTGCTTGCCCTTGAATTACTGCTGATAATTATTCCAACTGCTGTTAACTAGATGTGTGTGTACATCTCAAAACACAATCGAACAAGGTAATCGTCCTTTGTAAACGCCCACGTTTGCTGTTTTGCCCGCCAAAAGAATGTGAATTGAACAAAAAGGGAGCTCGGAATTGCTCTGCCGCGCGCCTGAGCCAACCTGAAAAAAAACGCGGCCAGAACTTTTGGGACCTCCCTTGCCACTACTTACGATGTTTCTCAATGGGCTTGTTGAAGGAAGATGTGATTTGGATTATCTAGATTTAAGAGAGTATAAATGTTTATATATATATATTGTTGTTCCTACATGAGACTTGTAAATATACAAATTGAGGAAAAATCATCAACGGCTGAAACAAACAAACGACATCTCATTAGGGTGTAAGCGCGAGATTTAGCAAAAGAGAGTTATTTTTAAGAGGCCCCCATATATGAGCTTATTTTAGATCTGCCCTGAGAGAGTTGATTTCTGAAAGGGAAGCAAACACCAAGTTTACAGAAAAGACACACGTGTACTCAAAAATTAATAATTTATTTCCCCGACGTTCAATGTGATGTTGCAACAAAAAGTGACAAAAGAAGAAGAAATTGTGTCTGTGTATCAATGTTGTTGTTGCAGGAGCTCTCAGATGAAATAAAATAAATTTGATTTCGACTCGGCACTGTTTTTTACGCTTCCGAACCCACTCTCGGAACTTATTTTCGCCGCAAAAAGTACTCGGCAAACACTTGAAAAGCGCGTTGCAAAAGCAGACACACAAAAACTCGGCAAATAAAAGCGCTCTTTTATTACAACGACCGGCCAAGCACGGAGGAAAAATCATCGCGTTACATTTCATTTGACGACTCCATTCATGCAAATGGACCGGTTAAATTGCAAAAACTGCTTAATCCTTTGTCTTGTGCAATCCAAGCAAAATTAAAATAAGAAGTAAACGTTTTTTATTCACAGATTAAAAAATGGATCTTACTCTTATGATGAAAATTTAAAAAGAAATCAAAGAATTAAGGTTCGTTAAAACGTGTAGGATAGAAATGTGGATGGATTTTTTTATTATGAAAAACGCTATAACCATAAAATCCGTTCCAATCTGTTTTGTTGAGTAATTTTGCTGAATTTGTCTTATTTTTACAAGAGTAATTCTTTTTATAAATTAAAATTAAGCATATTAATGGTTGAATTTGAGGAAAAAGTAGTTTTTCCGTGGGCTAGGTCATCTCTGGGGCGAGCGCCGCGATTAGACGAATGCGCGCGCGACACTGTAACAATGGTGCGGTGACGTCACAATTAAAGTGGTGTTGTATTGGCATCTGCGCTTTGAAAACACCGGCGATCAATAGCGGGCCGTGTAGGCAACACGCGCAGCCAGCCGAAGACAGGCAGGGCTGCCTGCCTTGCCTGCCAAACGCAACAAGGACAGACGAGTGCAGACCTCGCGCCGGCCAACAACTGCCGCCGCGTGCAGTGCGGCCCACCCTGCCTCCCTGCCATGCCGACGCCCTGAACAAAGGTACACACGTAAAACAGCAAACTCAATTTTATCAGCCGAAAGCAAAATTGGAATGTTTGAAACGCAGGTCAAATATTCTAATTTCTTTAATCAAATTCAATCACTTGGCCTGATTAGAGGAAACGATTAACCCCACCCTGACCTCCATTTTACGCTAATTTTTTTAATCACTTGCTGATTTTGTTTGATTCTTAGATCAGATCGAAAAATCAGACGTTCTTTTGAAATTATTTTTGAAACAATTAAATTTAATAAAAGACAGATTTTGTTTATTATTATCGTCTGAAAACCATAAAAGATTCTTTGTAACTGAAAAAAGTAATTATTTCAAAGGTTTCAATTTTGAAAGCTACGCTGCGGAAATTAAAAAAGTCAGTTTACTCTCCGAATATTGAACATTTCAAAGATTTGAAAGTGTATCTTTATTTTCAATTTTTCAGTTATTTGTTTATTTCCTTTGCAAAATCTGTTCTCAATAGCTTAATTTTCTATTGCAACCATTATTTTCATCAGCTGATTTCCAGTTTTAACTTCCATATCGGGGAAGTTAATATTCATTTTGAGACATATTTGTTCAAAATTTTATGTATTTTTCAGTGGGAGAAAAAACTAATCTTAAACGATTTCTTCGCAACAAATAAGTTTAAAAAAAACACAATTATTTAGGGAAAAACCACAAATTTAACTGAATTATGAACAATTTTTCGCCCAATTTTGAGGATTAAGGAAGTTTATCTAATGTAAAGTTTAATTTAGTAAGAGCCTTTCCTGTGTTTAATTGTTCACTTTTTGGTGGAGGCAACGAGCCGTGGATTATAATTTCTCCTCTCTCTCTCTTATAATACACGCCGGGGTTGGTTAGTCTCAAGTTTAAATAAGAGCCAGGTCGTTTGTTTGTTTCCGGCTTTGCGACTTTCAGGCCGCCGCGTCGAGGCGTCGAGGGGGCAGTTTCGCGAGTACGTCTGCAGGGAAAAGAGACGCGCGCGCTTTTGTCAAATTTACGACTTCTTCAAACACGTGACACATCAAATTCAAAGTTTTTTATTTCATCGCCAGTGAAGCAGGTTTTTTACAATCGAAAGAAACGTTTCAAATTTAAAAAAAAATGCGTTTTTAGAGTTTTATACGCGAGAGGCGCCATTTGTGTGCGACGCCGAGCTCGAAAATTAACCTGCGCTCATCTCGCTCCGCCGGCCGGAATAAATTAGAATTCTGCATAATTCCGCAGGGCCAGAGACAAAAGAGGGTCGCGTATCGAGTTGCAGCGTCGCAGAACTCGTTAGAATATTCCGTCGCCCAATGAAGCGCAAGTTTAATTAAAGTGGAGCTTCTTTGATCAAAAACAGCAATGCAGCAAGTTGTTATCAAAGAGACAAATTAGATTCAGATATCCTAATTTACTTTTAAAGCAATTAGAGCTACAATAAAAGACGAATTGATATTTTATATTTACACGAACAAAAAATTTATAATAATGCAAGCTTAAATTGCGCCATTTAAAAACAAAGGAAGCTTTCAAAAAGATTGTGTTTTTCTTCTTTCTTGCCTCTGTTTTTTACTTATTTTGATTTCCCATCAAATTTTACTTATTATCGCAATAACATTGAGCAAGAATTAAACAATATTCGAAAGAGATTCTTTTTTACATAAAATTTGGACCAAAAGCGGCGTGTGTGCGGAAAATGTGGCGCGCACGCAGTCACGCATTGTGTCTGTGGCGCGAATCGATATTTGAAATTTGCAGCGCCGGGAAATTTGGCGGCGCCGCGCGCGCGTCCCTTTTCCGCAGTTGTTTATCTCTGCGGGATTTATTCGTGGGCACGCCCGGCCCTTTGGCTCTCTCGAATTTTCCGCCTCCCGAAACCAATTTCTGACTCGTCACTTTTCCCGTCAACCGCTTTTCCTCTCTCGCGTGTGTCCGCCATTAGAACTCGACAGCGCACGAGTCCAATTCATCACAACTCCTTTCATGACGTGGACCAAAATTTCCTTGAATCAAACAAAAATATGAAATATATGAATGTATTTCCAAAGATATAAAATAAATTATTTATGAACCGCTATATGAGTACCATTTTTATATTTTATTTTTAGAGAGAGAATTAAATGAGATTTTGGTTAATGTTGGAAATTGTGAGGCGATATTGCCAAGAGACTGGTGCGGCGTGTAATGTGGAAGCAGCTCTGAAATTACTCTCGGGCCGCCCTGAGCGAAAATCGTTACAAAAAGCGGCGCTCCTTCCTCTCGAGCTTATCGCAGGGGCCGTGTCAGAGTCTCTCAAATTTCCTGAGCCAGGTGAGTTTGTATTTGCGGGAGCGTGAAAAGATGCAAAAAAGTGGCACACGTGGCGCATTATCCGGCGCCCCGCGTAATGACGAGCGCAGAGTCAACAGCCCTCGTCCTTTTCACCGCTCGAGAGCCATAAATATTTAGACTGCAGCCGCCTTCAAAGGGGGATGAGAGCTTCCTTATTCGCCGCTCAGCTCACTAATGACCGCGACCCTTTGATTGCCCAACTCAAAGGCGACAAGCAAACGTGATTTGCTTCGTCTCACTCTCGCACCACAATGGAAATTTATAACTTTTTGCATCAACGCAAAAACTGAACGCAAACCTCGAGATACAAAAACCGAGGGAAGCAGCTACAGAAGATTTGCTTTTGCTTAAGTTGATGCAAAATCAGATTCTGAATTCTGATCGGTGTAATTTTTTTAGTCATATCTCTAAAATTTCAAACATTTTGAATTCAAAATCCTGGCTTATGATTGATGAGGTGATTCTGTTGTACTTCATTTCCAAATGAACCCTCAGGAAAGTGCAAATCAAAATCACCAATCAAAATTGGAAAAAATCGCGGCTTTTTTAAATCAAATTTCTTAAACATAATTGGAGATTAACATCAAAATTTGATTAGAATTGTTCCGTTGGATAGACAAAGTCATGAGGAATCGATTCGTGACTAAGAAGGTCAAGGTCACCTTGATAATTCCTGAGAAATGTACATTTAAAAAAATCGAGCGTTCTCATTGGTCCGAAAGCTTCCCCCACCACCTTTTTCATATTTGCTGCTTCATAGGATGTGTGACACATCATTTGAAAGGTCATTGGTGACCTTTTGATTGTTGCGTTTAAAACTCAGTTTTTTGCCTGCATCTTCTAAGGTCCCGCGTTTTCAGTGCCGAAAATAAATCTTTGGTTCCCACGTGTTCGTCTCCAATGATCTCTCGCTGCGTTTTCAAAGGGGCGTCTTCTCCCCCCATTCGCTGCTCTCGAGATACGCACATGCCCTGCTTGAGAAATGATTTGGTCTCCACTTGTCCATTCTTGATCAATTATCGCTCGCGCAACTTTCTTTGGGGCCCAAAAGCACTCTCTCGGTCTGGTGTCGTGCGAGGAATTTATCACCGTCCGCGACCTCTGCCCTTTTCTCGCCGAACGGCCCCAGCTCGCCCCGTAATAACCGCAATAACTCTGCAGGCACACCCGAGGGAGCGCAATTTTCAGCTCGGCCGCGCATTAAATTTCGCGCCCTTTGTTTTCCTTGCTTAAGATCAAAATGTTGTCCAAGCGAATTATACCTGCGCTCAACAAAGAAGCCGTATGTGGAGTTTCATTTACTTCTCTGGTGACAAAAATGAAAAATAAATTTCAAAAATAAAATCAGAAAAGTACAAGTTCTGCTTATCGAAGGCTATGTGGAGACTGCTGGGATTTATGTTATTTTCCCAAGCAGCTTTTTTAGAATAGAAACCATTTTATGATTTTCATAGCAGGTAAATACAATTTAAATTATACATTTTAAAGTTATTTTTCCTCTTTAAAAATTGCTGGATTATTTCAATTAAGCATAGACAATATTCTTGAATTCAGCCATAAATGTACTTAAAAATATGAAATTTCATTTTCTTTTGAAACATTAATTACTAATTTGCAACGACTTATATTCAAAATAAATAATTTTTTAGCGAATTAAAATATTAAAACGCCAGCCTAGCCAATTAAAGGGAGTGAAGTCTGGAGCAGAAACATCTGCAGCTCTTCTTGCATTCGTCCGCGTCCGGCATTGTTAAGTCGAACTTATGCAGCCCGCAGGAAAAGTAGGGCGAGCGGGTTGCATACTCGGTCGGTTACCAGGCGCTCCGAGCTCCGTTTCGAGGGGGCGGCCTGCACTGAGAAAGACAGACATGCCCGTGAAAAACTATTATTCTACTCCGTCCGCGCAAAACCTTTTCGTCGGGGCTGCAATGCAACTCTGGCCCATGTGAGAATCCCAATTAAGCCCCTCGGCCTCCCTTTTAAGCAGGTGCATTTTCATCTTCGCGTCCTCTTCTAAAAAACTAATGAAATTAATGACAAAAATAAACCTAAAAATTTGATAATTGATGAAAATTTTATTTAATGGTTCATCTTTATTAAGATTATTAATTATTAATAAAAAATATTTCCATTTTAATCGCAATTTCAAACGCATTTCACTTGTTTCAGTATGAACGTGGGGCGTCAACATAATTTTAAAGCATAAAAATGATGTCGTTAAATAAATAGAACTGTCACGGTCATTGGTCAATAATATAATAATGTGCAATTTGAAAGAGGGGAATGAAGCATAAATTATTTTGAATTATTGAAAAATATTTTAAAATGTGTGCGTTGTTTTGGAGGCGCTGTGGCTCGTGCAGACTTTCGTCCCCAACACCACTCAGCGTTTCAAAATTTGAGGCCAGGGGTCTAATTCTGTAAGATAGAATCGTTCCATTTCCATTTCTATTTCATTTTCCATTTGCTTACCCATTCTATTTCGTCGCCTATTTTGATAACGACTACTATTTCGCTGCCATTCCATTTCCATTTCTATTTCGTTGTCAATTTTATTAGTTGTGCCATTTATTTATTTATTATTTAATTTAATTACTGCCTATGCTTGCAGTGCTCTTCGAATGGTTTTTAATATTCAGGTTGATAAAATTATATGAATTATTTAATTTCCAATGAAAATGTATATTTATAATTCTTATATGTCTCTCGCACCCCCTTTTAATCGAATATTTTTATGGCTCATAATTAGGGGGGATCAAGATAATTTTTCCTTTCATGAAGTTAATTAAATCAATTTCTTAAAAATTGGTTGAATTCAAATACAATTATAATATTTTTTTTTAGCAAATTAGCAACCATGCATTTTGTATTATTTAATTCATCGCGTGCGCTGCTTGGTACCACAATTTGCTCCCACACTGTGGTACCACAATTTGCGCCCACACTGTGGTACCACAATTTGCTCCCACACTGTGGTACCACAATTTGCGCCCACACTGTGGTACCACAATTTGCGCCCACACTGTGGTACCACAATTTCCTCCCACACTGTGGTACCACAATTTCCTCCCACACTGTGGTACCACAATTTGCGCCCACACTGTGGTACCACAATTTGCTCCCACACTGTGGTACCACAATTTGCTCCCACACTGTGGTACCACAATTTGCGCCCACACTGTGGTACCACAATTTGCGCCCACACTGTGGTACCACAATTTGCTCCCACACTGTGGTACCACAATTTGCTCCCACACTGTGGTACCACAATTTGCGCCCACACTGTGGTACCACAATTTGCGCCCACACTGTGGTACCACAATTTGCGCCCACACTGTGGTACCACAATTTGCGCCCACACTGTGGTACCACAATTTGCGCCCACACTGTGGTACCACAATTTCCTCCCACACTGTGGTACCACAATTTGCGCCCACACTGGGGTACCACAATTTGCGCCCACACTGTGGTACCACAATATGCGCCCACACTGTGGTACCACAATTTGCGCCCACACTGTGGTACCACAATTTGCGCCCACACTGTGGTACCACAATTTCCTCCCACACTGTGGTACCACAATTTGCGCCCACACTGGGGTACCACAATTTGCGCCCACACTGTGGTACCACAATTTGCGCCCACACTGTGGTACCACAATTTCCTCCCACACTGTGGTACCACAATTTCCTCCCACACTGTGGTACCACAATTTGCTCCCACACTGTGGTACCACAATTTGCGCCCACACTGTGGTACCACAATTTGCGCCCACACTGTGGTACCACAATTTCCTCCCACACTGTGGTACCACAATTTGCTCCCACACTGTGGTACCACAATTTGCTCCCACACTGTGGTACCACAATTTGCGCCCACACTGTGGTACCACAATTTGCGCCCACACTGTGGTACCACAATTTGCTCCCACACTGTGGTACCACAATTTGCTCCCACACTGTGGTACCACAATTTGCGCCCACACTGTGGTACCACAATTTGCGCCCACACTGTGGTACCACAATTTCCTCCCACACTGTGGTACCACAATTTGCGCCCACACTGGGGTACCACAATTTGCGCCCACACTGTGGTACCACAATATGCGCCCACACTGTGGTACCACAATATGCGCCCACACTGTGGTACCACAATTTGCGCCCACACTGTGGTACCACAATTTGCGCCCACACTGTGGTACCACAATTTGCTCCCACACTGTGGTACCACAATTTGCTCCCACACTGTGGTACCACAATTTGCGCCCACACTGTGGTACCACAATTTGCGCCCACACTGTGGTACCACAATTTGCGCCCACACTGTGGTACCACAATTTCCTCCCACACTGTGGTACCACAATTTGCGCCCACACTGTGGTACCACAATTTGCTCCCACACTGTGGTACCACAATTTGCTCCCACACTGTGGTACCACAATTTGCGCCCACACTGTGGTACCACAATTTGCGCCCACACTGTGGTACCACAATTTCCTCCCACACTGTGGTACCACAATTTGCGCCCACACTGTGGTACCACAATTTGCGCCCACACTGTGGTACCACAATTTCCTCCCAAACTGTGGTACCACAATTTCCTCCCACACTGTGGTACCACAATTTGCGCCCACACTGTGGTACCACAATTTCCTCCCAAACTGTGGTACCACAATTTCCTCCCACACTGTGGTACCACTATTTGCTCCCACACTGTGGTACCACAATTTGCTCCCACACTGAGGTACTTTAGACTAAACGCCTTATTCAAATAATTTTTTATACATTTTATTGACTTGAGTATATTAAAAATCATTTGAAAATTACTGTAAGCGCATATGCAATAATTAAACTAAATATATATATATATATATATATATATATATATATATATATATATATATATATATATATATATATATATATATATATATATATATATATATATATATATATATATATATATATATATATATATATATATATATATATATAAATATGGCTCAACTATAAAAATTGACGACGAATTAGAAATGGAAATGGATAGGCTGCGAAATAGAAGTCGTAATCGAAAAAGGCGACGAAATAGAATGGGTAAGCAAATGGAAAATGAATATAGAAATGGAAATAGAAACGAAAAAGCTTACAGAATTAGACCCCAGGCTCCATTTTTCCATGAGAATTTATCGCTGCCCGTCGTAAAGCAAATTTTTCACCGTTTTCACAACTCGGGGCTCGTAAACAGGAGGCGCGCATCACACACGATGGCTTTAATTAATCTTTATCAGATCATAATGCGGCGCTCCATTAATCTTCACACACGGTGAATGCAAAAACTTCCTTCACGGCGTCATAAAGCGAGATCCGGGCATGCAAATTTTATTGCTGAAATGTGATTTGTGCAGAATAACTTACTTAAAAACCACCAATTTACTTCTTAATCACATAAAACGAAAAATTTATTATTTGAAATTTGTTATTTGTATTCTCTGTAATAAAAGATATATCGTTGCAATTTGTAGTATTAAAATAGAACACAAAAATGCACAAAATTTTATGTAATTTATTTATCTAATTTTATTATATTTAAATAGTAAAAGTTGAATCATTTCCTGCTGAGAGTATTATCGAATTATTTCAAAAATTGGAAAACTAAAAAATAAGTGAGGGAGAAGCTGATTTAGAGGTGATGTTTTATTTTTTACCTGCTTATACTGATTGGGTTAGGTTTAAATAAATAGGTTAAATTTTGATCAATTTTATAAATAATGATTTAATTGTTTCCCGTCAAAGGACTGTTTGAAACTTTCACGTTTCGTCACCTGGCTAGGTGTGTGCATCGTCGGAAGTGCGCTTTCGTCTCTGTCCGTGCCGATGGAGCGAATCGATTTTCCATACAGTGCGAATTGAAATGTAAATCGATTGGTCCACGGGCTGCTTTTCCGCTCTGGCAAATTGTTACCGAAGTCGTTAGCGACAGCGGCAGTCGGAAATTATTCGCAGACGCGCGCGTGTCTCAAAATCAATAAAAATTCATTTTTTCCCCCAGCCCAGCTCGTCGACGGAGCAAAAAAAAAAGAAACACACGTTCCCTATAAAAATACATGATGAAGGAGAGAAAATTGAGCGCAGGGAGAAAAAGTTCTGTCGCGGCAAAGGAAATCGGCAAGAAGTGCTTTTCCACATCTCGCTCGCCGCGCCGACGAACGAATCGTTGATGAACAAAAAAGATCATACGCGTCTCTTTCTTTCTTTCTTGTTGGAGCCGCGACGACCCCTCCTTCCTGGCCCGCAGCGGCGCGGAAAAAGAAAATTGCGCGCGATAAAAAGCGACTCGCATACTGAGACGCTTAAGGTGGGAAGAACTTGTCACGCTTTTGATTGAGTGTGCAAAAAGGGAGGTTCCTTTCCCTTCCATTCCTACCCAATTGGACAGATGAAAAATGCCCAAACTTAACACAATAATAATAAAAAAAAATAATAATAATTCTTGCAAATTAAGATTTTTCTTTACAAATCGCTCTACAAACCAAAATCCGTTTTAAAATCTGCAAATTTCTCATTTTGGTACCAGGATTGGTTTAGATCAGAGTTATCAAAGTTTAAATTTAATTTATTTTATCCTTTGTTGTATAAAAAAGCAATAACTTTGCTTTTGTAAAATGACTCCCTTGAATGGCGTTTTGGCTAAAACTTCCTGGCATAGTCCGAAATTGAAAATTTTTTCCCGAAACAGATTCATTTGGAAGGAAACAAATTCTCAATAATTTCCTTTGAAATAGTAAAACATTGTTGGTTGGCAATCAATGAAAGGAAATTTTTGCAAATGTTGCATTCAGGTTTTGTGGCATCATCAATCACATTATGCAGATTGGATGCAGCGCGGATTTGTCGACTCGCCCCTTTATTCTTTGGATTTGCGCCGCGTCAGCTCATTTGCGATGCAAAGAGTTTCCAAAAGTGCTCGATAGGGTTTTTTTTAATTATGCATTTCTTGAGCGGAGTTTCCTCCATCAACAAATCTCGCTTATCTCATCAATGCATATGTGGTTTATTTAACGTTTCCGGCTTGAAAGAGGTGAAATTCATCAAAAGTAATAATTTTATGAGAACAATTTTGCATCCATTAAGGACATTAAAATGTAAAAATTTACGCAAAGATCGGCCGAAAAAATAGTCAGTGTCTTCGAAGGCACTAAAAATGACAGAGAAACTTAGTCTTAATTGGCCTCATTAACATAAAAAGTTATTATTGAAAGATTTCGATAATCTCAATTAGAAACTTTGGGTGGGTCCGAAAATCAGAGAAACGATTCTCGAAATGATTCTCGTGAAAAGATCCTTGAGAAAAGATTCTCTAGAAACCATTCTGGTGAAAAGATTCTTATGAAAAATATTCTGGACTAACGTTTATTGAGGAAAGATTCTCAAAACGACTCTCGAGAAAAGATTGTCGCTCTCAATGAACGATTCATTAGTTCAAATTTAAAGGCAGAAACGTCACTCGAGAATCCTCGCGCGAGAATCGTTTTTCTGATATTAAGCAAGAAACACATTTTTGAATTTGTTTTTTTATTGGCGATTACAATCCAAGTAAAATTATTGCACCCAAGGCTCAGTAACATGTTGTTGGCAACTCGCAAATATAATACGCAATTACTGTGCACATAAGGCCGTCCAACTTTTCGTTGGCGACGGTGCTGGAATAGACGCAGTCCCAGAGTTTGGTAGCGTCGGCATTCCACAGGGGGCTGTTCTGGGCCAGTTCTGAGCCGTCGTGCCAGCGAACGTCGTACTTTCCTCCAAAACCGTAATTCGTCCCCGACAACCACGAATAATTTTCTGGAAAATCAGATTAATTTTGGAAAAAGGTCATTAAATTTGGAGTCTTAACGGTTCCTTTTCGTTGCCTCTGCAATGGTCGCGTTCAGGTCGGCTTCGTCCCTGATGGTGGCCAAGTGCAGGCCCATCGCCTTGCACTTTCCATCGGCCTCACTCCAGTTTGCCTGTAAAAAATTTAATTGACTAATTCTGACGCAGACTCTGATAAAGTCACGAACTTTATTTGGATAAGAGAAGAAATACTTTTTGCCATTGGAAAGCCTGGTCAAGTTCGTTGCTTCTGTATTTTTTATTAAAATTTAATCATTGTTTTTAAGCAAAACGATAAAAGATAAAACTTACGAGTGCAGTTAGTAGAAAAATTAACTTTTTGCAGCTGAAACGAAATGTTCACTTTTAAAATTGTAAATTATATGAAATTAAATTAAACCCCGCGCTCAGCAGATGTAACTGCCAAGTTGGCCTCGTTTGTCTCGCTGCCATTCTGCCGCAGAATCTGCAACACCTGAAAATCTTAATTTTGTATTTGCAGTGAATTCAGAGTAAATGAAATCAGTCTTTCATTCTCACATTCATCATTCGTTGTGGAATATTTTTACAACTTGCGGGGTTTAGGAGAAATTTATTTTCAATATTTAAAGCAAGAATGAAAAGGGCAATTTTAGCAATGAAGTTGAAATTTAGATAAATTAAAATTTTTTTGCACCTCTTTTTGACGATCGCTGGCTTCTTTGGCAAATTTTTCCAACCTTTGATTTGTATCGTTTAGATTGCGCGCCAACTTGACAATTTCTTCCAAAGCCTGGAATTGAACACGTCAAATAAAACCAAGATATTGTTTTTGTTGTTAAAATTCTTCTTGTTTAGTTTTGCACCTCTTTTGCCGATTCCTTGATCCTTTCATTCGTCTCATTTCTCTGCCAAATGATCCATTTTTTTCTTTCTTTCAAAAATCCAAAATTATGTTACAAACCTCGCTACTTTTAGCCGAATTGTGCTCCAGCGATGGTTCAATTAATCCTGATAATCTCTGCTCGAAATTCCACAACTGAAATCATTCCAAATTTGATCCCTTCTTTCGATATAAATTAAATTTAATACATTATTTTAAATCAGAAATTCAGTAAATTTGATCGTAGTGAAAATTTTAATTTATTAATGAATTGATTGCCAAAAGCGAAACTTTTTCTTACTTTGTTTGAGAGAACAAAGTAATTGAGCAGGAAAGTTGCCAGCAGGACGAAGGAAAGGACGCAGACGAACAAAGCGATCCTTCTTTTACTTTCCTTTTCTGCTCTTTCAAACAATTTTACTTTGACCAAACTCGGATCGCACGAGGACAATTGATCCACGTCAAAGGGACTAGGCGCTCTGTAAGTTGCGGACGCGTCCATGTTTCCAAGTCGAGTAAATTGATGTGCGCAGTTTTTAAAAATTTCCCCCACACCGTTTCCGCTGATTTCGATAAATGCTCAGACGAGACGAAGAAGAACAATGCTTGCTTCCGTTCTTTTATAATTTCGTCACAACATATCACGTAATAACTAATAAACTAATCGAAAGGTTGAGTTAGCTGCAGAAAGAAAACTATTAATTATAAAGTTTTATTTTTAATAATTTTTATTTTTGGTAGGCATTTCTGGATTGAAAATATTTTCCCTTTTTCTTTCAAATTTTTGATAAGGTTGAGGTGCAGTTTGAATGTTGCAGACACGGAATCGATCGGGAATGGCTTTTGAAATTTCTGGACAGACTCCAAAGTGCTTTATTTGACGGGCGCTGCAAATTATTATCCGAATGCAAAGCTTTCAAACTCGACTCAAATTATTGCTCACTCCGCCTAATTGCTTCCAACGAAATGGATATCCCGACGGATCGATCTGAAATTTTTTATTTCAAGTCGCGTTTGATAAAAATAAAGAGCAATTTCGAAGTTTCGGATTTGAAATCCCCGCATTTGAAGCCAAATTGCAGTCGAATTAAAATGATGTGTTTTGCGCCTTTGCCTGTTTTGAAAGTGCTAATTCGCTCAGTGCTTTTGCACAAGTGGCCATTTCGGAAGTAACAAAGCGCGCGCCAGACTCGTCTCCGCTCTCTCTCAATGCAACAATGCGCGAATTTTAATCTCGGCACATCCAAACAAGCGCCCCGTGTTATATATTTTGCTTTTTGTTCCGGCGAAACAAAGAGCCTGATGAAGAGACCAACCAATCTTTAGGGACCAGACCGACGGCGCTGCTGCTGCATGTTGTTCTTTTCAACAAACCCTTTTCCTTAAACTAATTCAAACACGAAAATTACAGAATTTTTTATATTCAAAACTTATTCTTGCAGTTTTCCAAAAATAATTCAATTTCTTTTAAATAACTTTACAATATAATTTTATTTAAAAAGCAATTTGAAAGAAATATGTGTCAAATAATTTGAGCGCGGGTGCACTTTTGGGCGAATGGAAAAAGCTGCTTTTCACGCTACGCTCTCTGGCCTGGAGGGAAGTTAATGTGCGGCTAATTAGTATGGATGGCGCGGGCCGAGTTCACGCTCAAATAATCAAAAATAATGACACGCGCTTCTTCCCCGGCCGCAGTGAGAAAGAGAACTCGCCGCGTAATTTGTTGCTGCCGCTCTGCGGTCTTAACTTTTATCTCGGCGCCGCTCAAAATAATGGAATAAGAGGCGAGAGCAAAAGTGATAAGGGGCCGACACTCGTCACCACAAATTGATTGCTTCGAAATATCGATTTTGAACTCAGTGTTTACTTCATTTCAAGCGTTTTCTTTTAAACAAGGAGCAACAAAATGGAAAGACAGGAAAATAGGGGAAAATCAGAATTATACAATTTTTAAATTCTGCAGGGAAAATTTGATTCATAGATTAATGAAATTTCACTAAAATAAAAAAATTCAGGGTAAGTTTAGCAATTAATTGTTCTGTCAGGAGTTTCAATTTTAATAAAAAATCTAGATCATTGAAATGTTGCTGTAATTTTGGGTCAAAAGCGTTTTAGATAAGAAAGTTGCGAACTGATGCACTTGTCGTTCTTTCGGACTTGCTTGTTTTATTTTGTTTGCCCTGGGGGCGCGATCGTCGTGATATTAGATTGGCCCTGGTCCAAACCGCCGCGCACTATCTTTCCGAGCAAATAAATAGGATGTGTAAGTAAAGAGCCGACGAGCCTCTCATTGGCATCGATTTTTCTTCACAGCTTCGGCCACTGCGCCGCACTGCGCTGCCCACATAAATCAGCCAAAGCTACAATTAATTCTAAATCTTATTTCAATGATCGTTGCCGATCTTTGACCTTCGGCTCTAATTGAATTTTGTCAGAATTCCCTCGGAGCGCCTGATTGGGCCCAATTTGGAGACGAGGGTCGAATTCCCCCCGAGACGCACTTCTGCGCGCATGTAAAACAATCGGCCCAACGCACAATTACGCAGCGCAGACCTTTCCAGGCCTCTTCTTTATAGTGATATCCTAATCAAATTTAAGAAGGCAGAGGCTAAAAAGTTGAGCTAAAACGGATTTTTTTTTTAAAATTTGTGTTTTAGGAATTTAAATTGGAAAGGATAAAGAAAATAAATTGGACAACAAAGCAATTTTTATACACATTCTTGCTCTAGTATTTTTCAATTTTAAGCGCGTTTCAATAATTTTTTATAGAAAATAATGAATTTTCATTGAAATTGTTGAATTCTTCCAATCCAACTCATTTTCTCCTTTTATTTTCTGTATATTTTTAAATATCTGATTTTTCAATATACTACAATATGATCAATTTTTTTTTTATAAAATTGATAATTATTTTATTTTCTTAAGCATATTTTGGTTCATTTCCGATTAATAAGTGAAAAAGTGAATCACCTTTCTTCTTATTTTTAGTATAAATTAATCAATTCATGATTCATATTTTTCTTCAACTTTTGAGTTTTCCAAATTCTGGATTTTCCCTCCACCAAACTCGTCCCCTTTCTTATGTAATTGGGCGCATCAGACCCTGGGGTCAAATCAGATTTTGGTGGAGGTCAAAGGTGTTGATTGGCCCTGTTTGTTGTTGGCAGAGGGTGCAGATCGCGCTAGGATGGCTTGCGGCGGTCGCAGGGGCGGGGCGTGTCGGCGCCTGGGTCTGTGCCGGCTGCTGATCCTGATGGCCGCGGCCTGGCAGCTCGGCCTCTTCCTCGAGTCGCTCCAGTCCTCGCGGCACCTGCAGCCCAACAACGCCGCCGCCCAACAGGTACTTGATAATTTTTCTTCAAAACTCTTTACTTTTACCCCAGGCCCGCGATTTACGCCTCCCCCGCGGCTTCCAAGATTGATGGCCCCTTTTATGTGGCTCCATTTTTTCCGCCGCCACCACCGATCGTCCCTTTGAACAAAAGCATTAAAGCAGGCAGCCCGCAAATCTCCTTCTCACCCACAAGCAAGAAAAATTAGCTTTCACAAAGAGAGGGAAGAAAGAATCGCTTTTGCACTTTTTATTGCTCCGCTTGATTTATACGCAAATATAATATCGTTTTTTCTATGAAAATGCAATATTGAATTTTTTTGAAAACAAACAAAACTTTTTATGCATTTTTTTTTTCTTTCTTTTTAACAATTTATGTACTTTTCGATTATATAGTAAAAATATTTGCAATACATCATGACAAAAACCGCAGTACTCTGTTTAGAAATCAAGTTGTAAGTAAAAAAAAACTGTTACACCATAAAAAAATTCATTCTCTTCATTTTCTAATTCAATAAGAAACATAATTTTACTGGGCATTTTTCTATTTCTTCTAAATATAACGATAGATGAGACGTAAATTCAGGTTTTTTGCGTGACTCGGAGAAATCCAAATTTCCTCTTTTCTCGCTTTAAAACTTTTCTCGAGCACACGGAAGAAAGAGAAACAAGACCCAATCTGTGCGGGAAATGAGAAGGAAAGAAACACACACACCTAATTATACGCGCTGGCTCGCAACTCCAACGCAAACGAGACGCCCAAGAGAGGTAAAAAGAAGGCTTTTGTTTGCTTGCACCCCCATTAAACTGCAAATTAGCTTCAAGACGCGCATACATTTTCGCAGGGGGTGCGTCAAACAAAGGCTTGTCTGGACCGGGCAAATTACACGCCAACGCAAAACAGACTTCTTAATTGCCAAGAAAAACGTCTGTTTTACTTAGCAAATCTTTAAATTTATACAGACGGTTTGAATTTATACATGTTTTAAGAAAAAAATTCATTTTAAATTTATCACACAAATGATCATACTCGAAAGGTATAAATAAGTCATTCTGAAAGATAATTAAAATTTGGAATAAATTCAGTAGATCTTACAAATGCTTCTGCAAAATTCAGTTATTTAAAGGGGGTGGAGCCCTGAAAAAAGATTAATTTAGCTTGATTAATATCCTTAAAGGACCTCAGCATAGCAAGCAAAATTTCTATTTTAATTGATTTTAAACAGAAAAAGACAAAGTTATTGAATTCCAAAGTTTCTTCAGTGGCAGCCATCTTTGTTTTTTAGGGAAACTTTAGAAATTACGCCAATTTTTAAGCAAAACTTAATTAAATATGAATTAATCGCGAGTTCACGCAAAGATCTATAAAAGATTTTTAATTTTCCGCCTTTCAGTAATTTTTTTTTTATATTTTTCAAATTTTTTCGCAGCGCCAGCGGGGGATGAACAACGTGTCGGCGGCGGTGTGGCCGATCGTGGCGCGGCTGGACGCGGCTGGTCCGGGCGTGTCCTGGACGTCTTCGTTCCCGGCGCCGGCGCCGGCCGTCGACTGGTGGCGCCTCCTGCGCACCCACGTGGGCCCCGCGTTCGTCTACTCGGCGTACTACGACCCCCGCGGGCCGGGCCCGCCCAAGGTGCGCATCATCTCGGCGCTGCCCTCCAGGTACCGCCTGCGCCCCTTCTACTGCGACCTCAAGACCGACTCGGGCGCCAGGTTCAGGGTGCCCGGCAAGCACAGGCCGATCCGCGAGAACTGGGGCCTGCCCTACACCGCCTCCTTCATCACCTGCGAGATGAAGAAGAAGCACAACGAGTACCCCGCCTACGTCTCCCTCGGCGACCCCAAGAGGAACATCACCTCCAGGTCGGTCTCGCTCGTCACGACCTCCTTCCGAATTCGTGTCGCAAGGCTGGAGGTCACGGGGGTCATTGACCTTCGGTGACCTCTGGCTTGAAAGTGTTTTGATAAGTAATTATAGTTTCATGACAATTTTTTCTTAAAATAAATTTTAACAAAATCTACCAGAGGTCACTGACCTTTCATGATTCATGACCTCTGGCACAAGTTCCTCTTTAAAACCATTATTTTCTTACGCAACTTTGACAAGATTTGATATGACCAGACTTTTTTCATGCTCAGGGGCCATTGAGGTCATTGACCTCTCTTGTGACCTCTGACTTTATAAACGCAATTTCTGTTGCTTTTTGTGTCACATTAATAGTGTTGGTGTTGGTTGCAGAGCTTTGACGGTGCACTACCCGCCGCCGAGGTCGAAGAACTCGACGGTGCCCTTCCTGACGGTGTGCGTGAAGCCGCTGCACTTCCGGTACGACCGGGCGCTGTGGCTGATCGAGTTCATCGAGATGTACAAGTTGCTGGGCGCGAACCACTTCGTGTTCTACAACAAGTCGGTGGGCGACTCGGTGTCGAGGGTGCTGCGGCACTACGCCGACGCCAAGGTCGTGTCCCTGCTGCCGTGGAACCTGCCCCTGCGATCGCAGCGCCACATCCGCACCGAGGGGCTGTTCGCGGCGCTCAACGACTGCTCGTACCGCTCCATGCACCGCTTCCAATACGCCGCCCTCGTCGACCTCGACGAGTTCCTCATCCCCCGCAAGCACTTCAACCTGACCGCCCTCATGGCCAAGATCGACCCGCCGCCGCGCACCCTTCCGCCCAGGTACAGGATCAAGGCTGAAAAGAAAACAAGGTGAAATCATACGCAGATTCCTCTCCTTTCATTCCTAATCCAATCAAAATTAAATTTCAATTATTGTTTATGGAAAAAATACTTGAAATCTCTTCCTCCTCAATCCCCGTTAATTAAGAGCGATATTCATTTTATTATATTTAATTCAAATAATATTTAAAAAAAATCCTGTAGTTTTTGTTAGTTTATTAATTCTTTAGTGTTCTTCATTAATCTCTGACATGTTGTAAAAATGGTAAAAAGTCGAGAAAATTTATAATATCTGAACATTTCCATATATTCAAATTAATATTATGAGTTGATTCCAAATTTTTATTGGTTTTCATTGTTGTTGTAAAAATTAAAAATACATTTTCCCTCTTTTGAAGTGTCGTGATTTTATTGGTATTTTAAATATTTTTTTAGATTTTTTTATATTTTTCCATGTTCTTTCTTTCTCTGAACAAACAAATAAAAAGAGTGTCGCAAAATTCAAATTTTTTCCGTGCCGCAACTGAGGTCGTTTGGCCGAAATTGGAGCCAAGTTTAATTTGGCCCGCGGTGGCGGAGGATTTTTTTTAATAAACGGGCTGCTTTGCATGCAGCGAACGTAGGCAACCTGCCCGACACCGGCGGCGGCCCGGTTGCCCACCTTGCGGCGTCCCAAGCAACTCGTAAAACCTCGCGCGCGCGAATATGCCAACCGAGTAATAAAAAAGGATATTGTTTTGCGCCGGGTGGCTGCGGTCGCTGTCTCTCCACCCGCTTTTACGACTCACCCTCGAATTTTTCTCTTTTTCACGCAAACTATACAAGAGTGCAGCAAATTCACAACTAAAGGGTGTGAAAAATTTTAGGAAATTTTAATTCAACAACTTTGCAGATCTTTTATCATGATTGAAATGTTTTTGATCTTGATTTTCTTGATAAAATAAAGACATTTTTTTCTAAAAAACAAAACTGTTTGTTCTGAAAGCTAAGAAGTAAATTTTTTTTCAAGTTTTGAAAGAAATTTTCCATATATTTGGTTTGGATTTTGCAGCCCGTCGACGGCGTCGCGATCTCCGTACGGCGCCTTCCTCTTCCGCAACGCGTTTTTCTACCTGTACTGGGAGAACGACACGAAGGCGCTGGTCAACGACGGCGACCGGCCGCCACCCTACCTGCTCACCCTGTCCAAGACGCGGCGGCTCGTCAAGATCCACAAGAGCGGCGTCCGCAGCAAGTACATCGTCCGGCCGCAGGACGTCGTCGAGCTCGGCAACCACGTCGTCTGGGAATTCGCGCCGGGTAAGTAAATTTTTGAAATAAATGCGATATTAAAAGGTCAGTTCAACCAAATTTTGCATCTTATAAATTTTTACAAACAGTTTTTGTTTTAAACTGTTGATAAATCCCTTAGTAAACATTTTCGGACTGGCATGAATTTGATTCGTGGACGAGCCTAAAAAGCAGCAAAATTCTAATAAAAATAATAATCGCTTTATTTTGCATATAATTGTTTTTGGAACCAAATTAAATTAATTTTTCTTTTGAATTGCATGATTTGGTCAGGTCGTTCCGCGTTCACGGTGCCGGAGAGCCTGGCGCTGTCGCACCACTACCGGATCTGCGAGTTCGGCGGCTTCGAGTGCACTCGGCAGCCGAGCGTCAAGGACCGCTCGGCGCACCGGTTCGCGCCCGCCCTGCTGCAGAGGGTGCGCGACGTGTGCACCTCCGTCTTCCCCGAACTGAACGGCCAGTGCCCGCCGGCCCCCCCCCCTCGGCTCCCCCTGGTGACCCTTCCTCCGCCCCCCTCCCCTCGCCGCCTCAGCAGATATTTTTCTTAACATCGACACTGACTTTTTATACGCAGACAAAAATTTAATGAAAATTAATCCTAGTGTGATGAAAAAGGGTAACCAGGTTTTAAAAATTATCATCATTTCGGTTCGAGAGAGAAAAAAATTTGTGATTCAGTGAGATTTGTGCGCGAAAGGAACAAAAATATGAAAACGCTCGCTTCAACATAATTAAATAATTAAATTTCCTTGTCTGTCGATACAAAAAAAAAGTAACGAAACGAGCTGTCTTGATTCCCCGTGGCCTCTGTGAAAAACGGATTAGCTCTTAAAATTCTCACGTGCATTTTATCTTAAAATTTCAATAAACAAAACAATGGCCAAACAAAATTCTGCCAATCTAAATTAACGACAAAATTAAATATCCTTCTCAGTGTTTAATTTTATAACAATTAAATTTAAACAATCAACCCTGTAAATGTTTTATTTGCGATTCTGTAAATGAACAAAATTAATAAGTTCGGAAGGCAATTTTTTCCACTTTCAAATTTAATCGGTGCAATAAATCTTCAAAATCAAAGTGTTTTTAAATAAAAGGTGTGGCAGAGTTTTCTAATGATCGCCGGCGTTGAGCCGCGCAACTAAACTTTTGACAAATTTTTATTATACGAGAGAGAGACACGTTCGCGCTTCTAATTTAACATTGCATAACTAATTAGGAAGAATATATCAAATTACGTGCCTGTTTTTCCCCGGCGCATCAGAGCGAGACGCAAACCCTGTTTAAAAGTAAAATTTAGGGAATAAAAATAGAGGCAATTAATTAAAACCCGTGTTTCGCGCGCTCTTTAATTGGCCCGCATGATTTTTTTTCCGTTGTTAATTAATTAAGTGTCCTTTGAACGCACTAAACAGAGTTGTTTGTAATATGGATGTGCGTGCAGAGACACGCTTTTTGTGATGGTGCCAAGGGTAAAAAATTTAATTAATCGATTCAGAGGAGCGGAATCGAATGGAAAAAGGAGAAAGAAGCTTTTGTTGTTTCTGACAGGGGGGATATTTATTCAAATATGTGAACAACTGTGAAAAGTCTACTTCCACCTATGCCTACTGTGAATATTATTAAATTATATCTTCAAATAAATCATGCTAGTATGTCTAAGGAAATTAATAATCTTTCATTTCTGCTTCAAAATCACACATTTTTTATTAATTTTTGTAATTTTACAAAAGAAATAGGTTATTTATTTTATTTTATTTTTATTTGTAAGCAAAAGGAATCCTTTTAATAATCAAAATATCCCTAAACTAAATTAATAAAAAATGCTTAAAAATTCTCAATTTATTAGCCTTTAAAAAAAATTTAATTGTTAAAATCAAATCTCTTTTCACGGAGCTAAATGTTGAGAAATTGATTTAACAAGAATCCGGGAAGCGCAGAAGAATTTACTACGCATTAGCTTTAGCCACTCCTTTGTGACACAATCAAAGGTATGTTCAATTTCGAGAATATTCTCCCTGCCTCAACAATGGTCTCACGCGAGGTCAGTTTTCTTAAAAGAGGATCGACCGAGAATGCCCTCACAGCTGGCTCTTTTTATTATAATTTTTTTTTCGTAGGGGACTCGGCCCACTTTCATTCACTTCTTTACACCTCCTGGAAAGATCTAGACGAAAAAGTATATAATAATGGACCGCTTCCAGAATCTTCTCCTCACAAGATCAAATATCCATCCAGGTAGGCTGAGCGAAGGAGGGAGGGAAAATTAAACAAAAAAAGTACAAAGGTGACTGCGCGAGTCAAAGCAAGCAAAGAGAGCAGTTCAGCTGAGTGTTATTTTCTTATTCATTTTCTCTCTGCGAATGAATTTTGAACTGAATATTTTAAAAGTTCAAACTTCAATTTGTTCATATGGGAACAAATTTTTTGACGATGCAAAGATAAAATGTAAACTGTTGCCATTTCTATTCAATGTTAAACTCTTTCTTTTGCCTTAATTATTTTTGCAAAGAGGCCGAGACGCAAACAATTATCAAGGACTTTTTACCTGTGAAATCTAGATTTCCGGCACTGCTTTAATTTCACGGCCAATAATATTCCCTTTCATGGAAAGCAGGCTTTGTCTTGCAAAGTCGGCGCAGTGGAATTTAATATAAATAAATTCCGGCGGGGCCGAGGGAGAGAAAAGGAAAAGGCTTTTTAGTGCTGCCCAGGACGTATAAATAAATCATTAGGTGCGCAGCCGAGATGCCTCTTTTGTTCTTCTTTGCCTCTCGCATTTCGCGCGCCATCAAACCCAAAAAGGTAAACTAGAGTCGCCCCCAAAGTCCTTCTCTACGGTTTCCATTTTCATTCTCAACCTCCAAAAGGAAAACTTTAGTTATAGGCCAAATTAATACACAAGTTTAAAAGAGCTGGTTAAATTTTTAGAACTTAATTTTTTCAATATTTAAACAAGACCATTATAGATTTAGGAACAATTTTCAGCATTTTTTCATGTAAAACTGAAGCATTAGAGTACGTAATTTTCTTTTATAGGAAAAATAAAGACCTTTATCCGTCACATTGCAAACAAAAGGTCAATTTTGATAAATATTGAGTGCAATTCACTTGCGTTGATCTGTTTTAAACCTGCAACTGTGCTTTGTTTGAAATGGGCGCCCGAATATCTTTCAAAGTCGTTTGAGACGCTCTTCACCTTTCTTTCAGCCCCTCCGTAAGTTTTCATTCTCCGCTTTCCTTTTGTTTGCGAGCGCCGAAAAGCAATATCCTCTTTTTATTACACATATATTCTCGCTCGTACCTTTTCAACCCACTTTCACACTATCTCACATCCTTTATTTCCGTTTCCCACAACATTTTAACTTAAATGTATCGTAAATATTTACCTTGAGCGCGATAAAACGTAAATCAAATTGGCGCTTTATTGTTATTTACTCTCTTTCATCTCATTTAAGAGAGAATTGAAATAATAACAAATATTTATTGTTTTTATTTCACAGCGCGTTTTTGTGCAGATCAATATCTTTCTCTCCTCTTTGGATGAATTATTGAATTCATGAGAACGTTTGAATTTTGCATAAGTTAAAGGCGCCGCCGCTCGTTCCCTGCAGAAAAGCAAAAGTTTCATTTGCATTCTGCAGAGATGTCGTCCGTCGTGCTCAGCGCAATTTGAATCTCTTTTTTTCAACGCTCGTCCGGTATTAATTTTCTATTTAGATGCACTTTTCTCTCGCGGGACAAACAAAGAGACGAATTTAAGCTGGAAACACGGTGAGCGATAAAATGAAAGGCTATTCCGACTTAAATACCTTTTTATTTCCCAGCGGCTCGAAAGCATTAAAATGAAACGGCCGCGGCGACAAAACGCGCTTCCGTGAATTACTTGAGCGAGTTGCGGCTTCCAACGTAACCCTTTATTTTATTTTAACTCCCCAGAGCAACACAAGAATAAAAAAGGTTGATTTGTGAAAAATAATCACATCGGTATTGATATCACCAAGATATTCTAATTGAGTTGCATAGGAAAAGCTTTTCATACAAACAAATGAAAATTTAACAATAATTTTCTTTCAATTTTAATTTTACGTTGAGAAGTTTTTTGGCGAGAAATAAATTTAAATTTTTTTAGAAATGGCTCTTCTTCTCCAAAACTTTATTCCATTAATTAGGAACTTGTGAAAAATTGAATACATAAAGTTTTTCTACTTTTCGTGCTAGGAAATCTGAAAAATGATTTATATTTAATTTATTTTATTTTCAAATTTAAGAAAAATTTAAGAAACTTCTTTCGGTTATTTAATATTTAGTATGGACTCTACAAATTTCATATTTAGACAGTCCTTATATTTTCATTAATCAATTTTGAAAAAACAATTTATAAAAACAATTATAAATTTGTCCTGAAATAATAATTATGTTCAAGGCTCAAGCGGTAAAATTCATGTTATGGCAAAGTGAGCAAATTCACCGTGCTTGTGCAATCCAAGCCCTTGTCATCAGAGAACAAAAACATTGCATTTTGAACGCTTTGTCAAGTGTGGCAAATTTTTTGCACAAAATGCCAATTTTAGAGATTCACATTGGCCGAACGAAAACTCTGAATTTGTTGGAGTGGCGCGCGCGGCCAGCAACCCGCAGCAGAGAGGCTGTTAAACCTGCTTTTTTTATTATTATTTTTTTTTCACACACCCACCGCACGTCACGAGGAGCGAGAAGAGCGGCGGGGACGGAGGCTCGCGTTAGGTTGCAACGTTGGAGAGAGAAAAAAAATATGTGTGACGTGTGTCTCGGCAAAAGCGTAATTGCTTCATCTGATCTCGCTCTCTCTCGTCCCGGCCGCCGGGACACTTTTAGCTCCCCTCGCTAGTTATTGGCTTCTTGCCTCACTCTCGATGCAAATGAATCTCCTGCGCGTTTCAAAAGGCGGCTTTTATTGCACTTCGCGTTCACTACAAAAAGAGCTTCGCGCCAAGTAAAAAATATTCAATTTACATTGTTTCAGAGGAATTTGCTGTTGTTGTTTGTCGGAACCTAACACGAAAATTTTACTTCGATTCCGATCTCAAAAGTCTGTAATAAATAGATGAATTATTTCAGCAAACAAACTTATTCAAAATGGTTAAGAGAGAACAGATATTTGTATAGATCTGCAAATAGAATCGAACCATCAAAATCATTTGATTAAACAGAATTTATAAACGTTTATTTTATTGAGCAGCATTTAAGGGAATTTTAACTAAAATAAATTGAAAATTGATGATTTGTGCAACTGTTAAAATGTGGGGAACAACAATCCTGCTCTTGACTTTTTAATTAATTTAAAATATTCTCAATACACACATCCTAGGCTTCTCGTTTTTCTTACATTCTTCGAGGCTGCTTCATTAAAAACTGCACAAGAAGTGATGTTTTGTTCAAAAGCATAGACTAGATTTTTATTTGACTCTAGAGTTGGCCGCTCTTATTTGATGATGCTCGGCTTTTCCTGTTTATGCCAACTTTCAATTTTAATCCGTTTTTCCCTTAAAAATTTGCAGTTTTTAAATTGAACGCGGTGAAATTTTGCTATTGTATAAAAATAAAGTTTTGCACCTGGCAAAAAATGCAGCTTTGCGGCGATATTTTGGCTGCTTCTAATTAGTTTCTGAATTCATAAAAGCAGACTTTGTGTGTGTCAAAATAATGTGTAAAGCGCTGCTGGAGCGCGCGTCTATGGTCGTCATTCTATTGCGTTTCGGTTCGACCGACCTAGTCGCGATCGCTATCTCTCAAAATACACGTTTTTCGCCGGCCAATCGAAAGCGAGCCCCGAGTGGTGTGTTTCTCTGTTTGATGATGTCAAAAACGAGTTACAAACTCTAAATAAATAAACAAAAACGTGCGTAGAAAATAACAAGCCACTTGAAAAATAATTAATAACTGCGGATGCTAAAATAGAATCAAGGATTGCTTGATTCATTTCGGTTGCGCAAGTAGAATTGAAATTGCACTCTTTCCTCGTTCATATCTGCAGTTCTTAGTCAAATGTACGTGACTGGAAAGAAAATCAAAGAACTTTGAGCTGCGCGCACTTTTTGATAAACCCTGTTTTGTGTTCAAATTTAATAACAATTGCCATGTCACGCGAGTCTTTTTAATTCTTCCGAGATAAAATTCCGTACAAATGAAGCAGATTAAATGATGCGCGCGAGAAGAAAGAATAATTATCGTGAACCCGGGGGCTTGTCTTTGGTTCACCTTCACCAAGTGCATATTGTACTAATTTTAACTCTTGCGCGGTTATGCAACCCACTTCATGGTTTAGAGTTTGAGAAAGTTACGAGGGCGCATATTTTTGTCGACGGCGCATAATTTATGCTTGGAATTTTAAAACTGGTTCACCTTCGGAGTTGGTTGACCTGAATATATGAAAGGTTGTGTACGAAAATTGACAATTGCACAGAGACTCAAAGTGGAGGAGCCCTCGGAATCGTATTCTTTGATTGGATGACATAAAAAGGAGAAAAAAACGTGAGAGATAAGAGTGAACAAGACACTCTTTCAACATCGATCAAGTGAGTGTTTTTGTACTTTTTACAAATCAATCTCGAGATTAAAATTCCCTGGACTCGAGAGAGACGCGTGCACGTGAATAACGCCTGCTGTGCGAACTACAAACCTACAAAATTTTGAGTGAAATTAAATTCATGCGCCGTACAATTGAGGACGACTGATTAAACTTGACGAATTTTGAACTTTGGATGACACAAATTTGTAATAAACAAGATCAGAAAATGCCTGTTTTTTGGTGATACTAAATTTACTTAAAATTAAAAATCAAACTCGATTTCCACTTTCATAAAAATTTAGAATCTTTGGAGACTTTTAATTTTAATTATTCCCACAAATTAATAAGGTTAAAATTATGTTCTATTAGTTTGAATGTTGTGATATAATTTAAGTCACAAAAGATTTCTTTTCCTAATCAAAATTGCACAAAATTTATTTGGTGCGCATTTATAATAAACAAATAGTTTTCAAAGTCAACCCTTAAATCAAATTGTTGCTTTTGTTTTGCACTTATTTTTTTTTCTTTTACTTCATTGCAGTTCTCTAAATTGGGACCATGCATTTGGAGGGCGGAATTTAAAAAGTGCAGTTTGAAAGTTTAATTCGCGTGTCCGTACTTAAAGTGGGTCCATCAACGCCGGCTAATGGCTTTTATGACGCACACCATCCCCCAGGGAGGCTGGAGTGGCTCAATTCGGATGCGTTTCAGGCTCGCTTTTGAATTATGCAAAACCGCGTTACCGAAAAAAATGCATAAAACAAGCGACAATTTTTTTTATTTACGAGTGAAATTTCATAGTAAACTTGACCGCCGCTAGCAAATATTTATACAAACTTTTACATTCAATAATTTTTGTTTGAACATGTTGGGCGAGGTCTTGAGAGTCGGATGTTTTTTGCTGAATCGAGTGCAGACCTTAACCCAGTTTACAATTTTTATCGCGGAAATATTGTTTTTAATTTGTGTATCAATTGAAAAAGGGTTTATCAACCCATCGAGAAGTCACCATGAGGAAAGCGTAGAGTTTTATATTCACCTTGAGTCATTTTTATATTCTGTCTGCATTTTTTCTAATACACTGAAGGTCAAACTAGAGATAAGAGGGCTAGAAACGGAAAATAGTTAAAACTCTTTTGGAATTAAAAAAAAATCATCTTTTCCTGCTTTTAAATATTTTTGCCTCCCATCTTAATTTAAAATTTTGAAATTTGTTATTGTTTAAAAAGTTCAAAGTCAATTTGATAAATAAATTGAAATTATAGAGTGTGAATAGTTCTCAATTCCGGTTATTAAAATAGTTTTTAATTAAAAGGCAGTTAATTTATTATAATTATTGGCGAACGCAGGCTCTGCGTGACCTTGATTGTTCTCAATCGAGCGATTATATAGAGTGTGTGTGTGTTTAATAGACATAAATTTTATTGCTGTAACGAAAGGCCAAGGCTGATGTTGTGTTCGCGTCACCCCAGATTAAAAAACAATAAATGCAAATTTCTATTTTTCCCCCCATGGGAAATTTCCTAAAACGGAATTTTCCGCTCCATACAAACGTTCATTTTGAGACAGAGAGAGTGCTCGGTGGGGTGCTAATTTTGGAGCCGACATTGCAAAGGTGAACTGCAAATAATAAGAGTCTCTCTCTCATTATCTGGTGCGCGGTCCGTCGTTGGCAGCCGACACGCCACCTGCTCCCTCTCTCTGTTGCTAAGCAAACATTAATGTATAGATGAATATTTGCTGACGTAACGTTTGTGTGAATTAACTCGTTGGCCAGAGATAACCCCAGTGACCGCCGCCGCCGTCAAAAGATCACAACCGCGCGATTTTGACCAAATCTAATTTGCCTGCAGCGCGTCTCTAAATTAGGCCTTTTGAACTTGATTGCTCAGTCCTTGCTCTCAAATACGGTGGAAATTCATCTCTGCAGTTTTCGTGCTTGGAAGTTTGCCCGAAACGTTTGCCCAATCGAAATTCATGAGGCTACGTAACAATTTCTTTTAAAATTTGGAAAGTTTAGAAGAAAGACTTGAATTTTTTCAACAGTCAAAATGATTTACTACATTTTTATCTTATCTTGTGCTATCGCCTTGTCTCTCTGCGATAAAATTAAATAGCAGTCATTTGCGAATATTCTTTTGCAAACACACATCTGCTTTCTCTGTATTGATACAAGTTTTTTTAAAGTTCAAATGTTCGAAAAGAATTAGAGCCATAAATTAATTTCAATAAAAAACCTAAGAACAAAAAAGGTTGTTAGAAAAATTTAATTGAATTTTGGTACGAATTTGAGTCTAAATTATTCAAGCAAAATTTGAAGAAAAATGTGTATTTTAACAAAAGTTTTTGGCTTACAATTAATTGCATTGTGCTCAAATTGAATTTGAGTGTAGATATTTTATTTTCTCGTGACCCAAAAATTGGACCCGATTGATAATTAAGTTTTGATCTTTCGGCGCTTGAGACGTTAATTTGTCCTCTGTTTTCTGACACACACCGAAGGCTATTTGCGTTCTGTGCGTATATTTTCATGAAAGTCGCTCAAGATTTACAAACAAAAGCCGCGTTGACGTCAATTCAAAGTCTGCCGATGGGGCAAATTAGGAAAAAATACATTCAAAAACTGCGCACTAATTAATATAGAAGAGTTCGAAATACCATTAATTTATCGAATTAATTTCTCAACTTTGGACCTATTTTCGAATTTCTATTTCGTCGTGGCCCACATTCTGCAAAATATTTAGTCCGGGCCACTTGGTCGAATTCCGAATTGCGGCTGCGAGCGTTACGTGTGTTGCGGAGGGTATCAGAGTTGCTGGGTCTGTCGAGCCAAAAAGCGCGTCACGAACCTTACGCTCGGGGTTCTATTTGCAGAGAATTAAGTAGGATTCGCGCGCGTTTCGACCAACAAATTATTCACGACGCGAGCGATAGAGAAGCAGACACATTTCCTTGGCCTTGCCTTTCTGCGCCGTGGCTCTTTTTCAAGGAAGTCCTAATTGAATCAGTCTGCAGGGGCGACGCGCAATTACATCAGACGACGGAGAAAGGAGGAAAGTTTGTCAAAATATATCAGAAGTTTGGCTTGAAACCAAATTCAATTTTCAAGAATCAATCAAGTTTTAATATCTTAAAATTACAACTAAAAAAGACAATTTGAAGCAAAAAATTTTATTTATAAAATATAAAATTTTGACTTCAAAAAGAATCTTGAAAAACAAGATTGGCTTGTACAAGTTAACGAAATTAGAAAAATTTTACAATGTCCATATTGAATGTTATAAAAATTAATAATTACAAATTGAAACTTTTTTGTTTTTATGAGAAGAAAAATTTGTTTTGTTTTCGAGTTTAGCAATGGCAAAAGACCAATATTGTGTTATTTGTCGCGATCGAAAGTGTTTTTCATTTTATTATTTTTCATTCAATAGAACTGATGACAATCTTCCTCTGCAAACATATCTCACGGAGTCTCTCGCGGTCACTGGAAAATGATCTCACGCGCGCGAGATAAAAAGTCTTGACCTTTCCTCTGCCCCGAGCGCGCCTGATAAGCTAAAGACCCCCGCTGGCAGGTCACAGGTCAATCTTTGCAATATGTCCGTGTATATAGTCTTATCGCGCTTGACCCTTGGCAGCACAAATGGGCCACGACTTAGTGTGACAAACAAATCACGTTGCAAGACCAGCAATCGCGAGCAATCCTAAATTGTTTCTATTAAAAAAAAAAAAATGATTAAAAATTTCAGGCCAGTCAATGTATAACTTTAAAAAAAGTATGCTTTTTTCATGGCAAAAAATTTGAAACTGAAATAAGATGTTTCAGTATATCATGTGATGATCCGGTGAAACTTCTGAAACAATTGAGATTTATTTCATCATTCAAATTCATTGACGTAGAAAATTTCTTAATCAGGAAAATTATACCATTTTTTTTTATTTAAATTCAATTTTAATTAAAAAAATTAAACAAAATTTTTGCTCGCTGCATGTTTTTTGCTGCAAAAAAATGAAATGAAATTAATTTCATTCAGTTTGTTGATCCGCACGTCAGTTACTTTTCTGCCTATAGCAATAAAATTATACAAACAAAAGCGTTTTGCAAGACTGCAGCGCTATGAGGAATTGTGACGTCAACATAATATGCAAGCGGTTATGCGTTCGCGTTATTAATTGCAACTTGTGCAGTTAATTCAAACGTTAAAAGTTATTCGCACCAGAGTAAAAATTCTGCTTTTAAATTCAGTGAATCCCATTATTTAAAAAAGAAATAGCAGTAATTTGATAGTATTAATTAATAATATTTGTAATTCATAATTCACATTAATAATAATTTATTATAATTTTAAAGATCAGTTGAATTTTTTTGAGACACGGAGAAATTTTAGGCGTAGAAAGATAAAAATAATAAGTCATTAATAGTCGCAGGAGACGCGCGCAGCTGTAAGACAAGGTTACCTTTGCCCGTGTTTTGTGTTTTTATTTATTTACCGGTTGGAAAGAAAAAATATTTTTGTTCCCGAAAATTTCGAACCCGGAGAAGTTTCCAGTCAGTTCAATTTCGTTTCTGCGTCTCGGCCTCGTTCAGGAGGAGCCGCGGCCGCAGGATTTAAAGGTTTGTATTGTAAATTGGAGATAATGATGATGATAATGTTACGTCGACAGAGCGAGCGAGGATGAGGATGGCGGATGGCGGGCCGGCGCCTGTTCACGCCATTCGGATGGACCAATGAGCGCCGCGCCAGCTGCGGTCGTGCCCCCGACGCGCATGCGCCCCGCCCACTTCTTCCACTCGCACCGCAGGCCGAGCCGAGACCGTCCGTCCGCGCTAAAAAGCCAATTAATTCACTTCTAGAAGTTGCCAGAGCAGGTGTTGGTCTCGTTTTCGCCCCTCGACACTTTCAAGACCACTTTGGTCGCCGAACCCAAAGGTTGGTTTCGCGAATCGGCCGAATTTTGCCAAATCCGTGCCAATTCCAAGCAGAGCGGTTGCGTCAGCGCCGACTTTTGACTTTCCCCTCTGAAGAATCGTTTCTCATTTGATTTTGTTTGCAGATCAATAGGTCAGTTGTGCGGCTGATAAGGCGGCGAGGCGAGAGGATAAAAAGCGTGAGCCGCGTTTCGTCGCTCTTCATTCGGCCCAGAGAGAGCCAGGCCAGGCCGACCCGCCCCCTCAGGTTGTGCTGCAGCGACCTGAGAGCGAGTGAAAGCAAGGCCGATGTTGGGTTCGCGGTTTGATTTACCATGAGCTTGGTCGCCGCAGTGCACAGACAGAAGCCCATTTACTATTCCGACTACTCGGACACAAACTAGACGGTTTTTCCTTCTTCGCAAAACCCAAAGTACAAGTCGTCGTGTCATAAAAAGCCCTTAAGAAGGTCCACACTTATCTCAGCGGACCACAATTTTATGATTAGCGCCGACAAAAACACCGCCATGGATATTTTGAATGTAAGTCTGGACGGAAATTTAAACAAAATTTGGTGTTAAAAGTTCAAAATTTTGCAGAATCCGGTGCTCAAGTCGTTCATCGCCGGCTCGTTTTCCGGCACTTGTTCCACAATTTTGTTCCAACCCCTCGACTTGGTCAAGACCAGGCTGCAGAACCCCATCCCCGCCACCATTGGGTAAATATACACAACTTTTAAATTGAAAAAAAATAACTATAAGCTTATAAAAAATTTAATCTCTTCTGGCTAAAATGAGACTATTACGTAATAAATGTCAAAATATGCAATGAATATTATTTGAAAAGCTTCAAAATTGATTAAAAAAAGCAGAATTTTAGTTTACGTACAATTTTGATGCTAATTTTTGTATAAATTTGACTGAAATTTATTAACCAAGTTTAAATCTGAATTTGCAGAGCGCCGACAACTCCAGGAATGTTCAATCTCATGGGTCACATAATAGAAAAGGAGCATCTGAGAGGCCTCTGGAAAGGCATGACTCCCGTAAGCACCACAAAATTATTTTTATTTGTCCTCAGTCTGTCCGAGAAAAAAACAAATTTGACTAGCCAAGGGTCACTTTGCCCTAGTCTCTGACCCACTTAATTGTTTTGCCTCCCATGGCAGCTCTTTGCCCTTTGCTTGAACTTTGAATAATAGATTAATTTATTTTCCATATTTTTTTCCCCAGTCGCTGACTCGGACCGTGCCCGGCGTCGGTCTTTACTTTTCCTCGCTGCACTGGCTCAAGGGCCACTTTGTCGAGCCTGGCAAGGAGTTGCAGCCCCTGCAGGCGGTGACCCTGGGGGTCGTCGCGCGCACCATGAGCGGCGTCTGCATGATTCCCATCACGGTCATCAAGACCAGATACGAGGTAAAATTTAATTGTCAATTTGAACCAAAAGTTTTGGAATTTATAAAAAAAAATGACACGTAACTGAATTTTTATCAATTTAATTTTTCTTCTACAATGAAACAAATTTTTATATAATGTTGAAAGTTCTTGAATTAATTGTTTGTTTACTTCAGAGTGGAGTTTACGAGTACAGAGGCGTGACGGCGGCTCTCAGGGTCATTTACAAGACTGAGGGAGTGAAGGGGTTGTGTTGCGGCCTGGTGCCCACCCTGTTCAGGGACGCGCCCTTCTCAGGCCTCTACCTGCTTTTTTACACCCAGACCAAGAAGTCGCTGCCACAAGGTGAGGATTTTCACATTTAATTAGCTAGTTATTTACATAAATTGTTTTCCTAAAAATTGGTATTCATTGCGGAGCTTTCAAATAACTGGAGTAAAGTTAAAAGTAAAGAATTAATTAAAAAAAGTTGAACATTAAACTAATTTTAATTGAATTTTCATCTAAATTCATTACTTTTAATTTTGTGGTAGAATTTCATGATCGAGGGTTGATTCATGGTGATTTGAATTTAACTCTAATTAATTTAACTTGATTTTAAATAATTTCCAAACAATTCATAATTTAAAATTAAGTTTAATTGCGGTGTTTAATTAAGCATTTTTTTTATTGGAATTTTCATAGAATTTTGATAGTTTTGGCGTCTCAAGCAATTAATAACTTTAATTAGTAAAAAGTCTTAGTTATTAATAAATTAATTGACATGCAAATCTTCTAATTCGAAATTAAATCCTCTATAAAATTAAATATTTAGGTAATTAATTATATTGCTTTTACTCAAATATCAATGTTTTTTTGGCGAAAGAATTAAATTAAACGTAAATATTTTTGCAATGTCAAAGTAATTTAGTGACTTTTAATTGAATTCTAAATAAATTTTTTTAAACAAATTGATTGATTTTGCAGAGTGGTGGAGCACCCAGTTGGCGGCGCCGCTGCACTTTTCCTGCGGAATCGTGGCCGGTCTGCTGGCGTCGGCGGTGACGCAGCCGGCCGACGTGGTCAAGACCAAGATGCAGCTGTACCCGGACAAGTACGCCAACATCCTGTCCGTGATGGCGCACATCCAGCGCAAGTACGGCGTGCGCGGCTACTTCAAGGGCCTGGCGCCGCGCATGCTGCGCCGCACCTTGATGGCCGCCATGGCCTGGACCGTCTACGAGCACATGATGCGCAACCTCGGCATCAAGTGACCCCCCGAAGAGCCCGGCTCGGGCCCGCCAATCTAGAGGAAACTATTTTTACAAACAAACTGTCGATCCAGATTTGTCATGTGCATCAATTCCTAAATGAAAGAAAGAAATTGTGATGTTCCTCGGAGTAGGAAGCAAGCAAAACCCAGTATTACATCTAGGAAGCTGAAACGCTCCGTTTTTTATGTAAAGACAAGGTTTGTCGGTTTAGAAATGCCATTTCTCTTTAATTTTGCCAAGACTGATATGTTATATATTATTTTGTAAAATGTAATTTTATCATTTTGCCTTTAGCCGGAAAGCATGCAAGGTCCACTTTCTGGGTCTGCAAAATACAAATACATGTTTTCATACTGTAATGGTGATTATTGCATGAAGCTGTGAAAAGATTTTTAATAAAAACGCCTACTATTTAAAATATAAATTAAATCATAAATTATTCTCAATATAAAATTATAATTATTTCCTTTATTATTTAATACAGATAAATGAAATAATGCGACCAAAAATTTTAATTATTTTGACACATTTTTCTCAAAAAAAAAGGGAATAAATTTTGTTTTAGTGGAATTAAAAAGATAAATATTTATTTATTAAAAAAGAAAATGAAACAGTCCTGCTGAGAAGTTGGCTGAGCTCGTCCGGTGTAGTGATGTGAAGCGCATTCTGCCGGTGGTCGGACGTTCTAGGTCGAGCTGCTCAGCGATTTGAATTTAAAGGCGCCAAATCCACGTGACCAAAGCAGAAAGATAAAAAGAACATTAAATTTGGAGATAAACGAAACCTTTTATTTTTTTCCTAAAAAAAATTGTGGAGTTTTTGGGACTCCAGAAAGCAAAAGTGGACGCTTTTTATTCACAACAGGCAATAAAATTGTAAAATATTTAATGTTTTTTTTTTACTAATATTATTTGTAACAAAGAAATCTCATAGGCACTGCACCTTCAATGAGAAAACTCATGGCCTTTGGAAGAATTTGTTTTAGAAAATAAATCATTTTGAGTTTCAATTTACATAGTTGAGAACTTTTAAAAACGAATTGTGTTCAAAAATTTGGAACGCCGAAATATTTGGGAAATTTTGAAATAATTTAAAACGTGTGCAAGAGAGTAATAAAAATTTCATCTCTCCAGACTCAGTTTTTCATGCCAAACAACTTATCTGGCGACACCAAAGCTTTGGGTCAAAGGTCACTATTAAGCAATTTTATAATATTTTAGTAAAAAAGTCAATTATTTTTTAATTTGTTTCAGGTATAGGGAGAAATTTAGCTCGTGTAATTTTACATTGAATATGTAATTTTCAGCGAATAGTTAAATTTTTGGTTTGCTCACAAATCACGTCGGAAGTTAAAAAACTAAATAAAATTGTTCATTTTTACGAAAATTTTAAAAGTATTTTATGTAACGATTATTGATTATGATACTTTTTCTAATTTATTTTCTCAACAATATATTGCGTTTTATCTTTTGAGAACCAGATTAAAACAATCTAGACCAAGGTTTTACAATATTATTGTACAAAGTGTGTAAAAAAGTTATGAATCATGTGCAAATGATGCTCTAAGTACATTTACTCAACGCACAATAAAAACATTGCTCATCCACTTAAGAAAAGTGGAGCGAGATCGAATGCAACCGCGGCGAGTCACGCACTTCAGCTAGGAGAGTCGCATAGACGCAGCCAATTCGATCAAATGTCCTCTTTTCCGAAGTGAATACAAATTAGTTCCTTGATCGCTACGGAAATTCGGGACGTGCTCCAAATCCAGGGTAACTCGTCGGCAATTAAACGCATGAAGTGAATGTTTACGCTGGTCGTAAAAAAGCAGGCGAGCGTCAAAGCAAGTTGGCGTATCAAAATAATGATGCTTATCTTATCTGGAGCGCGCACTCGCCGAGTCTCAAACCTTCTTGATTCCAATGAACGGAGAATCGCCGCAGTGCAGCACCGATTTCCACCTCGCTTGAGACTTAATATCAAGAATAAATACACAAGTGCGAAAGCAAAACAGCCAAAGTTTGCCAATGGGACAGACGGAACCCGGCGGCCGAAGAGGCTGGGCCATTTCGGCCGGAATTCTCTCCACGGTAAGTTTAAAAAAAGTCCCAAAAATTTTGCAATTTTTCCTTCAAAGATTCACTTCTTATTTTGATAGAAAATTTCTGCATACTTAATTTCTGCTTATTTTTTTATAACCTGGAGTAAAAAAATTAAACGTATTTTGTTGAATTTAATTTTGATTTGAAAGCTTCAAGCCGGGGGGTACCTGGGACTGGCGATCTCGGCCCTCGCCCTTTACTACTGCCAAATCGAGGCGAAATTCAGCACTAGCGACGTGGGATTCCTAGTCTACGTCACATACTTTTACAGTGAGTTCATTTTCTTCTTCGTGAGACACGAAAGTGAATGTTGAGATAAAAAAACTTGTCATTCGTCGCTATCTGAATTAGTCACTCTCTCGCCAATTGTCCTTTTTATCACATTTTTTTTCCACGACAGATGCCGAGTGCCGCGAGAAAATCGGCGGGGACGTCATCTGGCCCGACCAAGAGTTCCCGACGGCCACCCTCACCTGGCAATGGGCCGTCGCCTTTTGCGCCATCAACGGCCTCTGGCTCTTCTCCAGCTTGTTTTTGACCAGTAATTTATTCATAACTATTTAAAATCGAACCAAATTTTATTGGAAATCTAAATCAAATGAGGTTCAATCATTTTCTAAATATTTTGAGCTCCAGTGAATTTTGTCGTTAAAAAATTTCACCTTCTGAATTTTGAGTTAATGAAAAATGTTGATATATAATCTTTGCAGTTGCCGGTGCTGCCCGCGGCAAGAGTGGTTTCTTCAGAGTGGCCATTCCTGCGCTGTGGCTTATCTCGACGGCCGCCGTCCTCGTCGCTGACGTCGTCGCCTCAATCATGTACGGACTGGACCTTGGAAAAGTTCTGGTAAAAAATTACTCTAAAAATTTGGGAAAAATTGATAAAATTGGTTTCATAGAACGCGAGTGAGAAACCGATGTTGGCGCTGCTGAGCTTCTTGGATTCGGGCTCGCAGTTGGCCCAATTAGCGGCCACCATTGAAAAGTCCGTTGCCATCATCCCCTCGATTGCCCTTCTGATCGCAGTGGCACGCGGAGGGATTTTGTGGGTGCTCAACGCCATCTTCTTCTTTGGCGTGCTCGTTTCCACGATCAAATCAAAGTAACAAGAAAAATTAATTAATATATTTAACGAAAATATTAGAAAAAGTATTGTTTAAATCCATTAATTGAAAACCCAGACCTTAAAATTTTACCAAGAGCTAATTAAAGGTTTTGATTATTTTTTGTAATTTTATTAATTAAAATTGATAGACTCAATTATTTATGTTTTGTGCTCTATAGTCTCGTCACAACAATTGAATTTGAATACTTTTTGATACTTTTTAGTCTTTTTTGATACGTTTCTGTGGCATTGGCTACTTTGATATTAATTAAAAATTTCCAATAGAAGAGCAAATCGGTCGGCGCCAAAAGTGTTGGCTCAGCAACCTCCCGAGCAACCCAAACGTGGAGATCAATTTTCGCACCAACAGCCAAGAGGGGTGCACAACCCTGCTTTTGAAAAACACGGAGAGGAAGACGTTTACGCCATCAGCACCAAACACAGGTAAAATTAATTAAATTTTCTATCAATAGAATTAATTAGTTATTATTCAGCGAAAAAAATTTAATTTTTTTTAATTTGTATTTAATTTTTTGTGAAAATTTTCTGACAATTAATCGATATTCTTTTCTTTGAAATATTCAAATGCAAATTATTTTTCATTTGGGAAAATAACTTTCAGAAAAAACTTAATCTTTCGTTTTTTGAGAAACAAGTTTTTAATTTTGGTCCGAAATCCAATCTTCTAATGTAAAAACAGGAAACCAAGATTTTGAACTGAAAAAACCTTTTTTTATTTCTGAGAAAAAATTTTGGTAATTTCTTTCGAAGGCGTGCTCGCGACCCTGAAATCGTGGCGGCCGAGGCGCGCGCCGAGCTGCGGAACCAGCGGCCGTGGTCGTACCTGGACCCTGAACCTGAGGAGCTGGAGCGCGTGAAGCGGCGGCCGCGGACGCCCCCTGCCGAGGAGTGGAGCTTCAGCCCCGACTCGACCCTGAAACTGCCCCGCGCCACCCTGCACCCGCAGCCCTCGGCGCCCCACCCCTCGCACCACGCCTACCACTACCCCTACCCTGACCAGGCGTACGCGAACCGATACCTGGACACGACCGGACGCCACAACCCGTACCTCAAGTGATTCTTCCAAAGAAATTATTAATTGTGCCATTTTTTACAGAAATATTTATACAGGTTTTTTATTCAAATTTGTGACTTTTCTGTGCAACAAATTTTTTATTTATTTCTACTAAACTCTCGCAAAACGTCTTAAATGAGAGAATTTTAAATAAAGTTATGCCACACATATCATAATCATTGCATTTTTAATAACTTATGAAATTAATTTTGATCTTTATTTGCAAATTTCGGTCCATCCATTCTGTTATTTTGATTTTTTATAATAACTATTTCAATCTCACGCAAGCACAAATGCAGACATTTTGCTAAGATCTTAAGTGTCTAAATTTTTCATCAACTACGTTTATATTATCGATTAAAATTTAATGTTTCATCTAAAAAATTTAAATTGTAAAATAATGCAGACTAAAAAATAAATAAAAATAATCAAGGAAGAACTCCTTTGGTAAAATTTTGAAGTGTTCAAACTAACAATAATTATTAATCAATTGAACTCTGATTTTGGTATATGTATTTACGAGAAAGGATTGTGAATCGCAACATTTGTTAAAAAGAACACAAATACAAATGTGATCTAATTATTGATGAATTATTCCAAATTTATTAAGATTTTAATGATCGTTTCCAGTTCTCTCTGTTTTTTTTTTTTTTTTTTTTAAAACTAAAAATAATCGTTTCCCACGACAAAGTTGGTGAAGTAACGATTTTATTTCAGAATTTCCTGCTCTCATTTATTGTTATAAAGAATCGTCGTCACAAACAAAAAACCTCAAACTGTTACGCAGTCTCTCCTTTTCCACTTTGATGCTAGAATAGGAAGTTTTGTGACCGCAGAGATAGTTCAACGGACGCGTGATAGCATCTCAAAAACTGCTGTTCAAAAATCAAAGTCTCAAACGCGCTTCTTAATATTCTCATTTCTCGGATTGCAAGAGTTGGCAGGTGGGAGACTCGTCTTTTCAAATTCGCTTAAAATTCGATATTAATCTTGGAAAGAATTTGCTTGGCAAACAAGGATGAAGAAACACGCCCTGCTAGATTTTTTTTTTTTAATTCGTCTATTTATTTCCAGCGCTATCAATTATTTTGCTTTTGATGCGACATGTGTTGGTTTAATATATTGATTGTTTTACTGCTGCAGAGTTAATACCGGGGCGATTGATAAGCGCGCGATATCGCCCGCCCACCATGAGTCGCTAGTGCGTGTCCATCCACCTTAGTCTTGGCAGGCGATGGCCTCCGAAATGATGTCGCCCAACACCAGGGTGATCGCCCTCCTCGCCGGCGCCCTCGGCACAGTGAGTCTTTTATACTATCATTTTTTTTTTACCAATACTCTGTATTTTTCTTTTTAAAAACAAAATTGTTGCTAAATTGTAAGTAGTTTTGATTATATTATTGCTTTCCAAACTTTATGGATGATATTGACAAAGTAAATTAATTAATTGTGATGATTGAAGCAATCAATCAAATTGAAGTAGGAAACACTTCATGTTATAATTATTTAATACTTAAAAGCTTATTTCATTACAAACACTTTACATATCAACAAAGCTTACATCAAAATTAACCGATTTTCAACCATTTTATTCACGTTAAGTTTGAACAAAATCTGTAATTTTGCTAGTTGATTTCATTTGTAAATTTTCATCTTTATTGAAGAAATAAAGTAATGAAATTTCCTCAAACCTTCGCCGAGTTTTCTCCTCAAAGAAACTTCTTCGACATTCATATAATTTAGTCACCAAATACTCTCTAATTAATGACACAGTTTCGCTCCAATTTTGTCGAATCCAATTAGTTTTCGTTCGTCCTACACGTTTGAAAGCATTTCGGTGAAATCGCGGGTGTGGTTTTGTTTCGTCCGTAATTCGTCACAAAAGATTAAAGTCAGCCTAATTGAGACATTTTCGTGATAACGCTAATCCCGGTTTGTTCAAAACGAGCTCTTTAGATGTTTGCGCTGAAAAATTATGACCGCAAAGAAAAAAATTTGTGACGACTGAGAAGCAAAATGACTAATTCGCGAGCGGTGCGAACGTCAAAGCTTGTGCGGCTTGGGATAATAAAAGACACGTCGTAATTATTGTTGATTAACAGATTCCAGCGATTGTTTGCTCGGCAAACTTGCTTCCACGGTTTAAGTTGCCTTAATAAAAGTCAACATTTCATTTGTCTGATAATGAAGATGTATAATTATATCTTCTTAGTTGACATATTTGACAGCAAACCTGGACGCAATCAATTGGAATTTCTTAATATTTAATTTTCAGAACGGTGCAGAACGGTTTATTTGTTTGCATAATAAAAACATTTTTTAAATCTTATTTAAAAATGATTTAATGTACAAAAATAAATACAAAAATTAAAAAAACTTCAGATATTACTAAACAAATTCAATTTTAATTCGACAATTTTTTTAAAATTATGAATAAAAATGTTTTAAAATTTTCCTTTCATTAATCAATCTCATTTTCGAATTTATTCTATTTATTACATAAAATTAATTTGTTTGAAACAGTTTCAAGCGTTGTGCTGGGGAAACATGGCTTTGCTGGCCGTGATTGGCCACGGCGACTGTCCTCTTTGGGACGCCACCAGCACCTTCCTGATCGCAATGCAGCGAATGTACTTCCAAGGTATGCAAATTTTGAATTATACAAAAAAAAAACAATTGTTAAAAATAAAAAAAACCAGAGCGAACGTGTCTGAACAACCCGATAAACCCGAGCTTGCCGGCGTTCAGCTGGGCCGAGAGCATCATGGGCCCTGGTTCGATCCTCGCGTGGATGATCATCCTGCTGGCCATCGACTGCATCTGGTTCTTCGCCTCCCTTTGCCTGATCGCAGGTGCGAGAAAATCGCTCCAAAACGTTTCAATTCACTTTTTATTTAGAAGAAAGTTGATTTACGGCCGAGTTAATAAATAAACTTGATTTATGTTGGCAGCGTGGAAAAGCTCGCGGCTCACGTTCACGAGCATTGTCAGTGCAATGTGGTGCGTGGTGACGTCAGTGGTGATCATCGTCGACTTGGTCGCATGTGCCATGTTCGGAGCTGATTACGGAAAGATTGTTTCCGTGAGTAATTAATTCATTACAATTCAAAGATAAGATGCCTTGTTAGATGAAAATTATTTAGGTTAAAATTTTTTAATTAGATTGACTTAAAAATCATTTGATAAATCTTTTTCTTACAATTCATTGGATTTTTTTAAAGAAGAAACAGGAAAATTGAAAAATAATATTTAAAAAACAAATTTTCAATTTAAATTTTGATGTCGATCTTTTGGTTTTATTTTGCCAATTTGCCTGAAATAAACTTGGTTTGGTGTAAGTTTTACCAATTTTAATAGAGCCAATTTGTGGGGGAAAAATTATTTTATAAATTTCCAATAAGACGCATTTTTAAAAATTTCAGTTATCTTCCAATTAATTCAATAATTCTTATAATTCCAACCACAGACCAATGCCAAATGTTCACAAAAATTATTATTTGGCCCTTTTTTTAACACAAGAATTTAATTAATAACAATTAAAAAAGCTTTTCCGTTTTTATGCCGAGGGACAAAAGATGGATCAAAAAACTATTCCCACGCTAGGCATTCGTATAGAAAGCAGAATTTGTGTGAAAATCTAGTTTCTATTCTTTCTAAGGAGGCTCCGATCGCGCATTACGCATACTTGGCCCCACCTGCGGTCATCATGACGCTGGTCGCGCGAGGATTCGTTCTGTGGGTCGTCAACTTGGTGCTGCTGACCCTGCTCGTCCGATCTCTGCCGGCGCTTCGCCAACACAAAAAGGTGCGACGACACGAGCTAATTTACCAATTTTTTTTTATTTATTATCATAATCCTTTTAATTAATTATTGCAATATTTGGAAAAAATTTGCAAATAGGCGGTGAAAGAGCACGAGCGGCAAATGGCCATGGTCGACTTGTACGGACCACCCGCGCCCGGACACGACTCGTTCCACAACCACGGCTTCGTGCCCGACTACACCAGGTACACGCACACCCGCCACTTCTGATGAATTCAAACATGTCAAGTTTCAACAGAAAAATACGAATCTCCAAAAATAAACTTTTTTTATTTTTTTTTTTTTATCAAAATTTGAATTATTTTTGTAAATATTTGGCTTTTGTAAAAAATAAAATCTAGGCCGCCGAGCAACCAACCCCCCCGCGGCTTCACCATGTACCCCCGGCCCGACTACTCGCCCCCTGGCAGGAGGGTTGGTCGCGCCAGGTCGGCCTCACCTGTCAAGCACTTCGCCCGCAACAAACCCAGACAAGGTGCTTTGAACTCTAATGCGACCTTTTTCAAGGTGATTCTTTTGCTAGGGATTTAGACAAAACGATTCAGAACTCGTAAGATTTGAATCACTTTAAATCCATGGCAGCAAAACCCCTCAAAGGAATCACAAAATAACAAAAAAAATTATATAAAACTGAGGCTTTTCTCTCTGCTTTTCAGGTTACTGACCTCCTCGCTTTTGCCGCCTCGCCTAATCACAGAAAAGAAACTAACATTGCTTTTAATTCCCTTAAAATCGCCATTAAACAAGTTTGAGAATAAAAAAAAAAAATCACAGAGTTTGCCATGCTTTCTATGGACGTGTGCGCGGCGCCAGTCGGTCGGCCTTTGTTCAAAATAATAATAACAGCGAGAGCAGCTTTTTCTATATCGATCTGGGTGATTGACAGAGCGGAATGATGGACTCGACCGGCAGCTGCGGCACTTCCTCCTTTCCACTCTTTGCCGAATTTTCAATTGCAATTCAAGACGTTAAATCACTTCTGTTTGCGCGCCAACGGTAAAATCTTATTACAAAAAATTAACTTCCTTGAAAATGCAGTAATAAGATTTAGCCTTGAAATTTACACAGTTACGAAGAGCCAATCTGACATGATATTTTATCAATTTATCAAGAGGAAAAAATTACAAGTGAATAGTTTTGTTGATGATTCTACATAGCAGCAACTTACAAAACATTTCAATTAGAAAGTGTCAGAGAGAATCAGTTTTAAATTATGCAATCACAAGAAATTAATTTATTGATCTTTTTTCTATGGAAGAATTTTGCTTTCTACAACGTTGTTATTAAGATCGTCCATCCTTCAAATAGAAAAGCAAGGGGAATGATGAAGAAAATGCTGTTTCTAGTAAAAAGCTCCGTTTCTTATAAAACTAATTACATTTAATCCTCTCTCAGCATTGACGATGCAAACCCAGATGGAAAAAAGTAATCAACACGACTTTAATGAGTGACGCTGTAGCTTTGAATCATTCAAACGCACTGCCGAGCGCTCATTTCACGGCCGAACGAACTTTTGATTTATATTGCGCCAAGTGTCACTCGCACTCTCTCATTACAAGCAAACCGCCGCGTCCAATACAATCGCCGTGATTATAATTTGATATGTGCACAAAAAAAAATGTATTCATGTTGGGCTGAATGGAGGTTGCGGTGGGCCGCGTATAATTGATTGGCCCGCAGTAGAAAGGACGTTTGGCGAGGAATGCGCGATCTAATATCAAAGATCCACTTTCTATCGCGTCCGTTTTCACGCTCGACTCGTGTTTTCTGGTGTTTGGGCCTAATAATTGAGACAGTTCAGTTTTTTTCTATTACAAGATTTATTATAAATCGTCATAAATTACATGGTTTGGAACAAAAAGTAAAAGTACATTTTATGAGCACGAACAATAATTTACTTCCGAGAGAAAAGGCACAAATAACTTTCTTACTTGCACAAACTATATAAATAAGAAAGAAAATTTTGATAATTTTTCCATATTTAGAGCAAATAGAGATTATTCGGTGAATTAAATCTCCTAATTTCACTTGCTTGAAATTTGCCAATTATTTCCCTTGAAATGAGATGCAAATGAATATCAATCAAATGTGACGAGGTGCAAAAGTGTTCTCTCTCGGTTCGATGGACATGTGGCTTGGCTTTAATTTAAATTTTAATTGAAGAAATTGAAAACGCACCGGTCACGCCTTCTTGAGATGGACGATGCGCACGTTTTTTCTGGAGGGGATGATTCGGACGTTGGGCTGGCGCCTCCGCCTGAAGAAGTTGGGGCTGCCGGCGAAGGACGGTGGCGCCGGCGTGGTGCTCGGCGGAACGACCATGGGCGGCAGTTGGATGCCGCCCTTGGGCGTCCTGCGGGGCGCGGGCGGCTCGTCCACCTGCTCGTGCACCGCGTACTCCTTCGAGCCCTTTGTTGGTTGCTTGTGACGCTGGACCGGAGGCGGACGAGCACCACCGCCTGAAACGGCAACATCGATTTTCACACAAGACCTACTCACCACCCTCGCAATAATTGTTCCCTCGCCCAATGCAAATATTAACCATCAATTATTGTTTCGTCAATTTTTACTTAATTCACTGGAGATTTAGGCTTTATTATTAATTTTTTTTTTTTGCAGATTTCAATTAGTTTTATTTCTAATAGAGAGGAAGAATTTTTATTTTTTTTTGTTTGCTGTGAAATTTATTTGCACTTTCAGGCAGAAAAAAACATTTTTGTGCCGTGCTTTGATCAAACCCACCGCTTTTTTCATGAAAGAGTGTTTTTGGCGTTTTTGCGCGACTATTGTCAAAACCAGCCTTGCTCAAGTCTAAATCATATTATTTGCAAGGGTGACACGCCTAGCTATGAGAATAATTTTTTTACGCAATCCATTAGAGCACAAACAGCTGCGGCTGAAGCGGAGATTATTCTTTATAGCCAACCCTTTTTTTTAAGTATAATTTTGGTAAAATACCTTTGAAGAAATCTGCGCCGACTTCGTTGCTTTCGTTGGACTCGGACGAACCTGAAGATCCGGACTCGTTGGACTCGTACGAGGATCCGCCGCCGCCGCCGCCGAATCCTCCGTCGCCACCCCACGGCGGCGAGTGGCCGAAGTTTGTCGGCGGCGAGTGCGACTCGGCAGGGAAGCTCTCGACCTGCACGTGGTAGTTTCCAGGGTGGCTCTCCACGTGCGACACCAGCGGTTCGTACTCGATCGACTTTTGCACCTTCACCGAGGGGATGATCGGCTTCCAGCTGCCTGCGAAATTTATTACAAACGAAAAATTAAAACAATTTGGAGTTAACAATTAATTAATTCTCTATTGAGCTGGAGTTTTAAAATTATAAACTTATGAAATTTAAGTTATTTTAAGACAGTTTTGGTTAATTCCTTTTTTATATATTTAGTTGAATTGTCACATTTCCTTCCGGAACGGCATTTTTTTTTTCTAAATTTAGAAAAAAAAATAAAAAGACATTATACAGAAAGAAGAATAAACACGAGATTGTCAAGCTATTCAACAAAATAAAGTATTCATTTTAAATAAAAAATTATGTTGATTGTGTTTATTTTCGGCACGGCTAGTCGCACATTCAGCGGATATAAAAGTTTGAACCGCGTGTTTTTTCATGGCCGGAGCTAGCGAGGGCGAAAAACTTAAAGATGTAATAATGCGCCAGACTCTGCGGGCAAACTTCAAAAGTACAAATTGACTTGCTTGCAGAGGCGAGCGAGGGTGCCCGCAGAGAAAAACGTGCCGACTTTGGGATTTTCTATCTCGCGCGCGGAAACAAAAGCAACGTGTTTGGTTTTATCTCTCACGTGTGTGTTTTGACGCCCGCGGCATGCAAAAGTGGAACAAAAGCAGGAGAAGAAGAGACCGCGAGAAAGAGATGTTATTATTTAAGGAGTATAAAGATCGACCCACGTGCAAAAGAGAGGAGCCGCCGAAAGAGAAGCCCAGGTATTTTAATCCAATCCATTTTCCCGCAGGGCTTCGTCCCAGACCGTAGCAAAATCAATTCAAACTCGCTGGTTTCAAAGAAGTTTTATTTAAATTTTCAAATAATTACAACGAATGACAAGAGTTTTTGATCAGAACTAATTGTTATCAGATATTGTGTTTGTCAGCATTAACTTTTTTACCTTCAGATGTGCAACTTCTCCTATGTATATGTTGAATTTTCTGATCAATCAATTTCTGACAGATGCATTTTCGGACAAATGACTTAATTTACACTGAATGATATAAAGATATTATGATGTGACAAAAAATGATTTCTGATTTTAGAATTCGGGATCAATTACAAGAATTATTGAAGATCGGACAATTTTTCATCGGAATTTTTTAATTAGAAAACACGGTAATTGAATATATTAATGAATTATTTCCAGTTGACTAATTAGTTAGTTTGCTTCGATTAGATGAATCAGTGTTGCATGCGGAATGAGAATAATTAGCTCTGAATAAGTAGATCTCATTGCACTGAGAAAGCTCAGCTCCTTGGAAACGATTATCTTGGCCACAAAAGCCACCGCCGACCTCCCTGCGCATTTGTCCTGCTGGAAACACGAAAAAGGTGTCCGCGTAAATTGTTTTACGAGTTCGCAATAAAGATTATCGTGGGCGCTCGAAAGTGGTTCTGCTTGTGCAAAAAGTGGTCGAGAGCAAATTGATGGCTCGTGCTAAGCCGGTCGTGCAAGCGAGGAACACATACGGTGGGTGCCCAACTACCGAGAATCGATTTGCATCAAGAGCCAGTGGAGAAAAAAAGAGCGGAACAACTGGGAAGCATGTGTCTGATCGATTAAATTATAGAGAGATGTATCATTGTGTCACATGGGCATGGCAAGTACAAGAATCTTTTTCTTTTAAAACCAAGGTTTTCAATTGGAAAAATATTTAAATTGAGATAAAAAAATTTAAAAACTTCAGATAATTAAAATATTTCCGTTAATTTGAGAAAAAATTGACTTTTTTTCATTCATTATTATAGTCCAGGAAAGAAAAAAGTTTCAAAGTGGACAAAATTCATGCCAGTTTTAAATTTTCACCATCAATTACAAAGAGAAACATTTTTCAGAGATTTCTGTAGGTAAAAAAGTACCTTTGAAACACTTTGAAAGGTGGCGTATTTTTTTATATTTTTTTGCAGTAGTTTGTCTATTTCTGTGAAAAAATTATGCATACACCAATAGATAGGAAATTTAATAAGCTTTTAAAACCTCGCCTTGTTTTCTTGAATCAAACAATTTTTAGCGCCCAAAATTTTTATTGTTTAAAAAAGGTCAGTTTTTTTGTCACTTTTTTATTGTATTTTGTAGTTCTAGCTCTTCTGGTAAACATTTTAGAAAGAAATGTTCCATATAAAACTTGAAGAAAACTTAATTTTGCACAATTTATGTATTTAACATTGGGGGAGATTCAATAGACTTAGCTCTCCCGGGAAAAAAGATATCTCGGGATAAATCAAAAGGGATAAAATTTATACTTCTGTCCCGGGTTAAATATTTTTTGTCCCGCCTTCAATTTTTTGTCCCCAAGTCATTGGGGGATATCTTTTCTTGGCCCCCTCTACGGGATAAATATTTAACCCGCGCTAAAATCAAATCAGCTGGTAAATAAAAGGTCGTCAACATGCTCGCAAACTTTTTAGATTTTGGCCAATTGCAATGAACAAAAAAATTAATTTTTCAAATCAGAATTTTGTGAGGATCATGGAAATGAGGGCAAAATTGAAATCTAAAGCTAACACAAAAATCTGCATCTAACTTAATTTAAAATTGCATATTTATTTTGCTCAGAAATTTCTAAAGACCTCTTCATCAAAGCGAAATTATGCAAGGATTTTTTTAATCTTTTGAAATTTTTTGCACGTGAAATTTCAAATTTCTCAACTCTGAAAAATTAAAATTCTCAAGCTTATTTTTTATTTGTAGATAAATTAAATTCGCCAATTTTTTTTTTTTTAATTACACTTAACAAATAAAAAAGGAAAAAAAATTAGTGAACGTGAAAAAGTAAAAAAAAAAAAGAATTTGCTTTTCTTTCATCTAAAAATTCACTACAAAACGACTGCAAGCGACTCCAAGTTGACTACAAACTCACTACAAAACGACTGCAAGCGACTCCAAGTTGACTACAAACTCACTACAAAACGACTGCAAGCGACTCCAAGTTGACTACAAACTCACTACAAAACGACTGCAAGCGACTCCAAGTTGACTACAAACTCACTACAAAACGACTGCAAGCGACTCCCTTCCCTCCCTTCCGAATTGAAATCTTGTCCGGCCCCCGATTTCCCCAAATTGTGTAAATGTTTTGTGATGTCAGATTAATTTTTTTTATTTTGCTTACGGCTGCAGTACGGCGAGTATTGAGGGCGGAGGCAAATTTCTTGTTTGTCTCAGTTCAATGATGTATGAGTTTCAGTGAGTTGTTCACTAGTACTGTAAGCCTATTTCTCCGTAATGTAAATTTTTGACTCAGATGCTTTGACTTGTTGTGGAGAAATAAAACGAATATGAATTGAATTGACTCCAAGTTGACTACAAACTCACTACAAAACGACTGCAAGCGACTCCAAGTTGACTACAAACTCACTACAAAACGACTGCAAGCGACTCCAAGTTGACTACAAACTCACTACAAAACGACTGCAAGCGACTCCAAGTTGACTACAAACTCACTACAAACTCACTACAAAACGACTGCAAGCGACTCCCTTCCCTCCCTTCCGAATTGAAATCTTGTCCGGCCCCCGATTTCCCCAAATTGTGTAAATGTTTTGTGATGTCAGATTAATTTTTTTTATTTTGCTTACGGCTGCAGTACGGCGAGTATTGAGGGCGGAGGCAAATTTCTTGTTTGTCTCAGTTCAATGATGTATGAGTTTCAGTGAGTTGTTCACTAGTACTGTAAGCCTATTTCTCCGTAATGTAAATTTTTGACTCAGATGCTTTGACTTGTTGTGGAGAAATAAAACGAATATGAATTGAATTGACTCCAAGTTGACTACAAACTCACTACAAAACGACTGCAAGCGACTCCAAGTTGACTACAAACTCACTACAAAACGACTGCAAGCGACTCCAAGTTGACTACAAACTCACTACAAAACGACTGCAAGCGACTCCAAGTTGACTACAAACTCACTACAAACTCACTACAAAACGACTGCAAGCGACTCCCTTCCCTCCCTTCCGAATTGAAATCTTGTCCGGCCCCCGATTTCCCCAAATTGTGTAAATGTTTTGTGATGTCAGATTAATTTTTTTTATTTTGCTTACGGCTGCAGTACGGCGAGTATTGAGGGCGGAGGCAAATTTCTTGTTTGTCTCAGTTCAATGATGTATGAGTTTCAGTGAGTTGTTCACTAGTACTGTAAGCCTATTTCTCCGTAATGTAAATTTTTGACTCAGATGCTTTGACTTGTTGTGGAGAAATAAAACGAATATGAATTGAATTGACTCCAAGTTGACTACAAACTCACTACAAAACGACTGCAAGCGACTCCAAGTTGACTACAAACTCACTACAAAACGACTGCAAGCGACTCCAAGTTGACTACAAACTCACTACAAACTCACTACAAAACGACTGCAAGCGACTCCAAGTTGACTACAAACTCACTACAAAACGACTGCAAGCGACTGCAAGTTGACTACAAACTCACTACAAAACGACTCTCAAAATGCGCTAAAACACGCAAAGCTCGTTCTCCCTTCATATTTATATACCACCTCGCTTAAACATCCCAACAATTTTACCATCAATAAGCCGTCAACTATTTCGACTGTTGAACCAGCTGACCTTGCTATCAATTTTGAAACAAAAAGGTCAGCCGCTAGTAATAAAAACATAAATAAATAAAACCAAGTCAAACATTTTCTTGACTTTGGCTGAGCTGAGTGTTCATTGCAGTTGCACTTTTGACAGCCGGCAGCCGGTAGCCAGCCACTGGTTCAATACTTGATTTGATAGCCATACGAAAAAGATGTATTTGCCCAAATTAACTTTGACGAAAAGGTATTTAAATATTTGGGAAACCTTAAGATGAAAGAAAAGCAAATTCTTTTTTCTTTTACTTTTTCACGTTCACTAATTTTTTTCCTTTTTTATTTGTTAAGTGTAATTAAAAAAAAAATAGGCGAATTTAATTTATCTACAAATAAAAAAATAAGCTTGAGAATTTTAATTTTTCAGAGTTGAGAAATTTGAAATTTCACGTGCAAAAAATTTCAATAGAAAAAAATCCTTGCATAATTTCGCTTTGATGAAGAGGTCTTTAGAAATTTCTGAGCAAAATAAATATGCAATTTTAAATTAAGTTAGATACAGATTTTTGTGTTAGCTTTGGATTTCAATTTTGCCCTCATCTCCATGATCCTGCGCGGGTTAAATATTTATCCCGTAGAGGGGGCTAAGAAAAGATATCCCCCAATAACTTGGGGAGAAAAAATTGAAGGTGGGACAAAAAATATTTAACCCGGGACAGTGGTCTAAATTGTATCCCTTTGGATTTATCCCGGGATATCTTTTATCCCGGGAGAGCTAAGTCTCTTGAATCTCCCCCATTATCTCCAAAATCTGAAGCGGAAAGATTAAAAAATGAGGTTTTCCTTTTGGTTGAAAATTAAACACGGACCTAGAAGGCTCCAAATCACCTGAGGTTTTGCTCTATTATATTGGATGAATCGTGCCAATTTATTATTAGTTAGTCTAATCCGTTTAAAATTAAGAAACTTCAACTGAATTTTTTCTGTCAAAATTTTACGCTTCAAATTTGAGCGGCTGAGAGGAAATTTCTATGAATTAGCACGATTCGTCTCCTTATTATGACGGGCAAAACTTCAGGTGATTTTGAGCCTTCTCGGTTTGATTTTCTCCCATAAACAAGAAACCTCATTTTTTAAAACCATTTTGCGCATTTGATTATTGCAATAAAAAAACCGCTTAGATTGGTTGTTGTGCTTTGTCATACGTAATTTTATTGTGCTGAAACTTTCCGCCTCGTTTTAAGAACAAATAAATATTCATTGTTGTTCTTCCTCTGAAGTCAGAATGGATTTTGTTTTTGACCCAAACTTTGGAAACTAGCTCCGGTTTCCACATCCTCAAAGATCAAAGGCTTGCAAGGAATTTGAAATTTAATTAAAAGCTCAAGGCCGGTAGAGTTTTGCAAAAACGCTTCTCGTTACTTTAATCAACAAGGCGCGATGCTCCAAATAAAAGGCGAAAATCGATGCAAACGAGCGCGAAAAGCTTTTGACTTTCTTTCTTTCTCTCGCCGCGCGGCCGTTACGATAAATTACACGCGGTGCTCAATGAAGAGCACCTGTGGGCTAGACGCATTAATTTTTTTTTTCGGCCCGTCTCTCGGTAGAGAAGGAAAAAATCTCTCGGGGCACTGACCTAGATGATCGCGAGCGCGCCTTTAATTCGATCGAGAGCCGCGCGCGCTTTTCACGTTGATTGAATCGCTTAAATCGCAGAAAAATTCCAGCGGATTGCTTTTTGCGCGCAAAGGTCGTGAAATTACCTTTGTCGTCACGGACAAAAAGAGTCAACAGACCGCGTTTTTCTGAAGCAAAACGTTTTGAACTCTTCTCACAGAATTCCATTGTCAACAATTTATTCAACAGGCTGGAACATTTTTAACCATCACAAAATTCTCTCTGAATAAAGGAAAAAATGCTTTGTATAAAAAGGCGGAAAATTGTATTATTCTTTAAAATTGGAGACGAAAACAGTGATTAAATTGGTTATTAACAACGATAAATTTCAAATTTTGTGATTATAAAACTTTTAAGTTTTTAAACCAAACATTATTTTGAGATTAGGAGAAGAAACGATTTTCCCTTAAATATCACTTTGAAAGTTTTTACTCAGATTTAAACATTTATCTACTATCTTTGCTAGTTCATTTATTTAAAAAACACGTTGATTTCGCCAAAAAGTTGAAACATTTTTAGCAAATTAATCATTTCGGACCTGATTGCTTTTTTAAATCAATTTTAAAGAATTAAGAAAATTGTTAGAAAACCGCTTTTCAATCGTTTGAAGCGAAACTGACATGAATTACGGCTGCAATTTTCTCTTTTCGAATGGAAAACCGCAGAATTAAACGGTCGAAACCGAAAATATGCTAAGGCGTGCCGCGCGGCGCTCGTTTTTCATTTGACAAATTGGCCGGCGGCTGACAGGCGGATCGTCTTAGTTAAGATGAAAATAAAAAACAATCTCACCTTGTTTCGAGCAATCGGAGCACGAGGAGGATCCTTTGAAGCCGGGAAAGTGGTGACGCTGAAACAATGCAAAAAATGATGATACAGAACGAGAGCAAAGGTCTCTCTCTTTCTTTCTCTCTCTTTGCACTTTTGCACATTCATCGCGTGGCACTTCTTTTTACACTCGCTTCGTGTCCTTGCACATTTTTGGGTTAACTGGACAAAGGAGAAGATGACAAAAGAGAGAGAGTGCATCCGCGTTGCTTATAATAAATTTAGACCGGAAATTTAAAATAAAAATGCAATTTACTTTAACCGTGAAATTGAAGGGGTTATAAAACTTTGAGAAATTCAAAATTAAATATTAATATAATGAATTTTAGAATAATAACAAATTTCTTATGGAAATTTTCTAAAATGATTTTTTTTTTTCACAAAAATTTTCAGACCAAAATTAATAAGAATTTCACCAAGTCACGTTCAAATCACATCAAATAAGATTAAAAATAAATTCAATTGACCAGTCAATCAACATAAAATATTTACATAAATTTGATAAGAAACGGTTGATAAGTTGTTGTTTCAGTGTATAATCGTAAGCTTCTTGCAAACAACTTCGTCAATTTATGCGTCATAAATTATTTTTTTATTATTTTATTTCTTTTTTTTCTCTCTTCTCAAATCTTGTAGTTTTTCATTTATAATTTTTGAATATTTGGATGATGTATCTCGAGAGGCAGAGATTGCCTTGTGGTACACCAATAAACTTAATTTGCAACTAAAGCAATTTTTTCCTCAAGTTTTCTTTTCAATTAAAACTGTTTAAATATTCTTGAGTTTTCAAAAAAAATTTATGTTTTTTGTTCACATAATTTGTTGCGATTTTGATTGAATTGAAATAAAAAATAAACACTTACGTTGAACACGTGTCTGGAGGCGGCAGGGACGTACTGGGGGTGGTGCAGGAAGAAGTTGCGCGGCCCCACGTGTCTGACCTGCAGTTTGGGCTTTCGGTGATGGAGGTGCAGCGGGGGCGGCGAGGCGAGGGCCGCGGCCACGAGCGCCACGGCCAGCACAGCGACGACGCTCCTCATCGTGGTCAGGGCGCAGCAACACTGCCACCTCCGGCTCACCATCCTGCCATTCAAGCCTTTCTTTCCTCGGACGGCCCGACCGACGGACAAACGGACGGACGGACCGCCCCACCCAACATCGCACTCTCTCCGCTTCTTCTAATCGCTCGCACAGATGCATTCGCGCGCGCAAAAATTACATTGAAACTTTCGCAAATGGATTTCTAATCAGCAAGAGATAATTTAACTATTCAAAATTTTATGTTTTCAGCAAGCATTGCAATTATTTATTTCAGTATCGTTCATAATTCTTATTTTACTTCAAAATATTAATTTCTTACGTTTTTTTTTACATAAATCTGCTCATTTTTCATTGAAAGCAATATTTGATCACTTTTAATCACCAAAATGTCCTGCATTCTTTTTAATCAATCCAAACATAACTTTCGCTATTAAAAAAATATTGCTATTTTGAATTGAAGATTACATAAAATTCAATTTTTATTTGATATATCATTGATATGTAATAATTGTTTTAATTTGCTGAATGCATCTTAGTAAATGAGTGACGTTGTAAGAAAATCTAGTTGTTATCGCTGAAGAGGAATTTAAACTTTGAATTACTTTTGTGTAAATATTTTACTTCTGTGAGAACAAAGAAAGAAAATAGTTTTCCTGCTTCTTGCATAACTGTGAAAAGTTTCAATGTAATCTCGCAAGTGTTTGCAGCCGCCCTAAAAATGATATGAAACGCTTTGAATAATTCGCTTCTTTGGCGAATAAACGGTCGCTCGCTCGCTCTCTGCAAGTCGTAAAACCGCGCCGAGCAATGAAAAGTAATATACATGCTTTTTATACTTTACGACTGCAGCACCAACTCATCTTTCTTTCTTTCTTCTTTCTCTCGCGTCCACTTTGACAGCCCCGCAGCCAAATCATTTTTCCTTGATTGCGACCCGTAATTGTAATTGAATCGCGTTCTTCACAAAAGAGAGGAGCAATGGCGACGAAAAAAAACCATCTGATTGAAGAAAGTCATTTCCTAGTTTTGGTGAAATCCATAACGTCGCGCCGGACAAGAAAATTCCGGTTCGCGAGACAAAAAAATTCGGCACGCTTCGAGAGAGACGCGCGGACAAAACGGTGCAGCTTTTTAAGTGGCCGATTAACAATGAGACGGAGAAAGTACAAGTTTTTTTCCACGTAATGGAATCGGCAGTCCGTGCGCGTCATTTGCTCTCTTGTCTTTCCATTTTATTCGATCTCGTAAGAAGCGCTAATGCGTCCTTGGCCAACGGGATTGTTACTTAATTTCAATGCAGAATTAAACAGATGACGGTGCTCGTTTCAACAATACTTTTTAAATGCATTCAAAATTACACTGATTATACAAAGGTTCTGACCTAATTCAATATTTTGAACCTTTGCGGTTGTTTCAAGAAAGAAAAAATTCTTTCAAAAATCAAAATTAATTATTTTCTTACTTTAAATCTGGTAATTTCTGAAAACTTTGACCTAAAATTTGACAATTTTTCGCAACATAAAATTCTGAGATAGCCATTTTGAAGAACAGAAAATTTTATATGATATTCGTTCTTAAAAAAATGTAGTATGAATTAAAATAATTTTAATTCAAAAATACGAAAAGCAAAAAACGTGGTTTTCCGAGCCCTGGAGGATTAAATTTGTGCCTCAGTAACTTTTTTCTGTTTAATTTTGGACAAAATGTATGATAACAAAAAGTGATTCCCTTGACTTTTTCATTCAGACCATGTAGTGACCAGGTCACACAAGGTCATTGACCATAGTGACCTTTGACCATTTTAAATTTCGCGAGTGTGACAAATGGTTTGAAAGAGCATATCAAGAGGAACATTTTGGTACCCAGAATCTTGCCGTAGCTTCATCAGGAGCAGATTTATCGCAAAATTTTCTAGTTTTAAATTTAAAAAGTAAGAAAAATATGACCATAAATTAAAAATTATGAGATAGCAACTCCGCTTGAATTGAATCCATTAAATAAAAAAATCTTGAAAATTTAAATGAGAAATTTTTGTAAATTGTTTGAAACTTTTGAAATTCCCGTGCAACAATACTTTCTCAGATTTATTAACAATTCACACACGCACTCGCTATATGTACAGTTTTGGCTCAAAACACTCCTCATCTTAAAGCTTGATTCAAAAATGGTTCGCTCGCGCATTTAACAGAATTAATTCGTTTCTGCAGCGAAAAGCCAGCGCAAGAAACTCCAACAACGCACGTGCGCGCTTAATTAGAGAGAAAGATAGGGAGGGAGATGAGCTGCGCGCACGTAATAACAATAATAATTATCATCTTGTGTTTGCAGCGACGCAACTACAGCAGAGACTAGATTTTGCGGACGCTTCTCCTCTTACGTGTAAAAGTAGTTTTGAGCTCGCCAAGTTTAATTCTACCAAAGGAAGCATTTGCGCTCGGGATTCATCGGCGAGCCCAAAGGACACTGGAATGCCGACGCGAATTCCGCAGAGTTCATCATGATCCCGTTCACCCTGCGACACAAACACACACAAATCCAAAGTAGAACAAAATTAGCTCCAACAAACAAACATTAAAACTAAACAAAAAGTCAATTATTTTTACATAAACAACAGAGTTCGTAGATTTGAAATTTAACATTTTTAGAAGAAGAGAGCTTTTATTATTTTAATGAATTCAAACGAAAATTTCATAAAATAGTTAGAAGTATTTTGAAATTTTTTAAACAGAATATCTATTTAAAAAGGCGGCTTCAAAGTAAAAAAAGTCTGCTGGTTTGAAAAAAAAATTAAAAGTGTAGCCAAAGAAGTTAAAATTTTGATAGGAATTTCACGAGATAGCTGAAAAATTCAATTGCTTAATTTAAATATAATTTGACAAAAACAATTGAAAAACTCAATGGACTTTTATTTAAAGCCCTCAGTTAATTTCACTTTGATAAAATCCGCATACAAATAATTACAAAAAAAATTTGAACATTTATGAAACAAACAAAGTTTGCATTTCAAACCCGAATTGAATTGTTTTTTTTTTTAGCTAAAATGAAATTGAAAAAAAGTTGCTCTCTGTACCTTTCGGGGAAGGGCGTGTGGAAATCGAGTTCGACCAGCAAAATGTAATCCTCGGCGCTGAGGTTGGAGCAGTAGGTCTGCAAAAGGCAAACAAAATATAGCAATTCTCAAGTTGCAGATCAATTAAAGACCGACCTGAGCGGCGCTGACGAAAAAGAGCTGCTCCTTTTTCAAGTCGACGTTGGGCAGCGTCGGGTCGGAAAAGCCGAGGTGCAGCTGCTCGCGTCGCCACGCCTCGTACGCGATGTGCAGGCCGCTGATGTCTGCCATGTTTTCGTTAATTGTGATGTTCCAGTCGAACTGCATCCAAAATTTGTCACCAAAAAGAAAAATGTAAAATTTTAAAGTCTTAAAGGCTCGAAGTTTAAATTTTTTTAAGTAATTAATTTGAACACTTTACAATTCAAAGGTCGCTTTTGTAAAAGTTATAATTAACAAATTTCAAATTCAATCTGGCAGCTAGGATTGGAAATAAATTGTTTTCAAATACAATAAGATTTGCGAGCACCAGTTTAATTTTGAGCATGAATGAGCAAACGTTTTGATTATTTTGAGGTACGTTTATACTGTATTCTTGATGTGTTTTTAAAATATAAAAAAATTATGAAATATACAAAAAATTAAATCAATTCCAAAGTTATTTGCAGCTAATTTCAAATAATTATTGCATTTCAAGTATAAGAATTTGATACCTCGACATCAATCTGGCTGCCCATGAAGGGGACCTTCTTGATGAAGGTGCTTTTGTACTGGTCGGCGACGCACTCGAGGCGCTCCTCGAACGCCGCCTTGGCCTGTTCCGAGAGCCACGGCCGCTTTTCGCCCCGCTCGTCGAATTGCACCCCTGCCAAAATGCGATGAGAACGGGCGCGGGGGATCGTTTTTTGCTTTTGGCACGAAACTCACCGAGCAGGTCGAACGCGTGCAGAATTTCGTGCGTGAAAATGAGACCCATCTTGCCGTAGGGGATGTAGCGCGGCATGTCCTGCTGGAAGTACGGCTCGGTCAGCACGGCCAGCGGAATCACTTGTTACAAAAGAAGCGCAACAAAATTATCAAAATTTCTTTCACAATAAGCGAGCCCCTCACCAATGCTGTTGATCCGCTGCTCGTAAAACGCGTTCACCACAAAAGGGTACGCCCACCTGCAACATTCAAAGCGCCCTCAAAATTTTAAAAGAATTTAATTCAACAGTTATTTTTTTCATTTCTTCTCATGCTTAATTATTTAAAATAGAATTTCCTGCAAAATAAACACAAATATATTTAAGATGTTTCAATTTTATGTACAAACAAAAATAAAAAATTTGCAATAAGTTAGTTTTTCAACTTTCCCCTGAATTCAAATTAAGCAGTCAGTAATTTTATTTATAATTACAGAACAACCCAGATTTGTTTGAAAATTGCCCAAACTAATTAATATGTGTTTAATATTTTTACCTTCAAATCTCCAAAAAAATTTTTTTTTTATGATTTAAATACACAATCTGTGGTTTTTGCAAGAAGAATAAAGATATTGCACTTTTTAGTTTTCCGTTTTTCCCCCCAAGAAAAGGTTTGCCGAAGATGAATTTTAAATAAATTTTCTCTTGGAGCCGTTCGTGGAGAGCGTTGCTTTTGCAAGCTGATTAAATTCCAAGTAAAACGCCCAACGGGAGGAGCAGTTGCTGCTGCATAATTGCATTTCCACAGCTTCAAAGTGCCACATTTATTTTCACTGGGGAATGAAGTGCGCCATAAACGTCGCTGTAGAAATGCAGTACTTTTTTTGGCGAATGCAAGAAAAGCGAATTTACTGCTGGAGTCGCACTTACTTTTTCTCGTAGGAATCGGCCTCGTCCAGAGTGCCGTTGAACGCCCTGAGCTGCTGGTAGCGGCGAACCACGTTCCAGAAAAAGTCGTCTTCCCGCACGTCGATCTGCGTAGCAAACATTAATTTTCCAATTTTGCCCGAATTTTTTGGTAATTTAAAATGTTCGCTCGCCTCGCTCATGGCCGACGCCACGTACGACTCGTTCCAAAAGTGCGGCCACGTGAAAAAGTGGCCGCTCAGGGTGCGCAGCTTGGCCGCGGCGGCCGCCCGCGACTCCTCGTCCAGCCACAGCGAACTCGCGATTCGCCCTCCGAGCGCGTGCTTCAGTTGGTCGAACAGTTCTTGCACCTGCACCGTTTGCAATTTATATGCACAAATTAAACAGCCCGTACAAAATAATTCCGCTTTTTATATGTAAAAAAGTACTGCGTTATAATTTTATCACTCAATGCAGAATTTTAAGTAAAAAGAAATGTTAAATTTATACTTTCGCAATGACTTCAACTATTCAAAACAAAACGATAACAAATTTTTTAAAGTTCTACACTTGATTAAGTGGAATTGTAATTATCTGAAAGTTTTCAAACTCTTGAAATTCAAAGTGTTAAAACAAGTTTTTGTGTTTATTCCACTTTAGCAACACAAAATTGAAACTAATTTCCAATTGCATAAAACTGCCTTTGCAACTCTTGATTTTATTTCGTTGCGGTGTCGCCGTTCGAATGTTATAATTGCCTGACCACACGCGCAGAGCTGGGAAACAATTGAACGTAATTTACCCTGGTCTGCAGCTCGAGGAGGAAGTGTTGCGAGTACTGGCGCACGTAGAGCGCACTGACGGCGCCGGTAAAGACGTTTGTGGTGATGCGGGTGCAGTAGCCGTCCCAGCTTCCGACCGCGCTCGTGTTCACCAGCTCGAGCAGCGAGTCGCGCGCGAACAGCACCAGCAGGCTGTTGTGCAACACGCTGCATGCAAATTACACAAATAAGCAAATTATTTTAACAGCTTGTTGACATCTAATATTGCACGCCGGGATAATTGCCTCAGCAAATGTGTGTTTTCAGATTTCCGAGTTGCATTTTAATTATATAGATGGAAACGTTGGAGTTTTGCCTATGATTAGACTGTTTTTCCACTAAGCTGACTTGCTAGGCTCGAATTTCAGTTCTAATTAAGTTCAGAGATTTTTTAAAGATTCATTTTTTTTCTAGATTCTACATTTGTTGATAAATTTACGGATATTTTGTTGAAAATTCATTAGATTCAATTCAAAATTTTGTTGGTTTTTGAACTCTGGAAGAATTTAAGTTTTGATTTTAATATGAGAATATAATAAAATTTCCTTAAAGACCCACTCTGGTCATTTAAATTGCTCTTTATTCTGAAAGATTGTTTTACATTTCCAGAATATCTTAGTGAAAACAATATGTGAAAAATTCCAAACCGTTGCGTCGCAATCAAAAGAAAAAAAACCTTTAGCGAGAGATTCGCGCGAAAAAACGTGTGAGAATTGAGAAATTCCGTCAGTTTGGTCCAAAAACTGCAGGATTTGGTCACATTGGCGCTGCGATCGCTGATTTTGCCGCTCGTGCCCCACGGCGCTGTGCAGAAAACTTTGCAAAATCAGCGATCGCAGCGCCGGAAGTGACAAAAACCTGCAGTTTTTTTTTTACCAAACTGACGGAATTTCTCAACTCTCACACGTTTTTCGCGCGAATCGCTCCTATTATTAGGTTTATTCTTTTGATTGCGACGCAACGGTTTGGAATTTTCACATAGTTTTTTCACAAGATATACTCGAAATTTAGCAGAATAAAGATTAATTCAAATGACGGGAGTGGGTCTTTATATAATTCAAATATAAGAAGAGAAACCGTACGAATGTGAAAATCATAAATTATCTGGAAGACTCGGCACTAACTTTAATTGGAAGGTTGATTTTCATTGTTTCGGAGCAAAACAAAGGCGAGACTAGAGACAAAGGACCGACCTCTTATCGAAGCGGTTGATCAGGCTGAAGAGCCTGCGCATGTAGTGCGGGGCGAGCACGTAGGCGAAGTCGTGGTCGGACACGTTGAGCGCGAACACGTCCAGCATCAGCAGCTTCCAGTCGATCTGCGGCTTGAAACGTGCAATTCGCTGCGAAATCAAATTGGGGAAAATTTTGAGCTCACCGCGTCGAAGCGGCGCTGCAGGTCGGCGATGGCGATCGGGGGCAGCGACTGGCGCGTCTGCATCCGGCCCAGCATCTCCTTCTCGCCCGGCAGACTCTTCAAATTTAAGTCGGCAAAAGTGCAAACACAACTCGCAGTGGAAACAAAGAAGAACACCAACCTTTGTCAACATGGAGACAAAGAGCAAAATCTGCTGCACTTCCGACGCTCTGGTCGCGTCGGCCACCGTCGCCGGCACCAAGTGCTGCGCCAACCGCTCCGCCTGCACCAGCTTCTTCTCCTCCGCCGTCGCCTAAGCAATATCTCACGATTTATTCTTTCAAGCATTTCCGTAATTAAAAATTTTATTGATTTTTATCCTTTTTCTAAATAAATAATCAATCAAAAGGTTTTGTCAATAATTCGCTTAAAAGAACATTTAAGGAGAAAAATGGCCTGATTTCCTGATTAATTTTGGTGATAATTTTCTCTACAATAGCATTAAATTAAAGATTTGCCACTTCCAAAGGGGCTAGGGTTTTTAAATGATAAAATTCATACACTATATTTTAATTTCAGTTGACAACTCGCAAAATTGCAATGCCAAAAGTAAATAGAATTAAATTTACAATGTTTGTTGATCAATATGAATCATATATATTACGGAACCAATTTAAATTGGAAATTAATCGCTGGAAATTGAAAATGATTTGCACAAATTTTCCACAATCTATATAGCTAACTTTAAATATATGGAATTATTCAAAATGTTGAATTGTAAATTATTTTCCAAAATTAATAAATTATATTTATCCTGTAGGTTTAAATTCTGAAAAACTTGAAATTTATCTTCATCATTTAAATGGATTGGATTTATAACAATTTATTACTCTCGTCCCGATTTATGCAAATTTGATCAAAATCGGTTAGTAAAGATTTCACTTTTGCACGGATTTGCATCGAAAGTTTCCTAGTTGTAAAGTAATTATACTAAATCTCCTTAATAAGTGACGCATTTGTACGAAATTTACATAACTTGCGAAAAGTTACTTTTCTGCTAATGAAGTATGCCGTGTTTTTTTTTCGTAAATTGCTAATGAGGACGTTTGTCTGCGCGAAACGAATGAAAACTTGGCAGAGCGCGTGGAGCGAGATTTGAATTTGCGCGTCGGCGTTTGATAATAATAAGAACTCACTTTCATGTAGTTGAAGGCTTTATTGCTGCGGGCGTGTTCGTTGCGCGTGGCCCTGCGAGGGGTGTCGCCGGCCGCCACAATTTTCTGCCACCACTGCAAGCCTCGTGTCGGTTAAACTGTCGCTCACCGCGTCTAATTAAAATTTCACCTGCACGACGGGGTCGTGTCTGAGCAGTTTGAGGAAGACGTTGGCCTTTTGCGGCAGGTCGATGTAGATGGCGAGTCGCGACCTGCGGTTCACGTCCTCGTCGACGTACACGTCGAAAAGGGGCGCCCCGTTCACCCTGAGCAACCGCGCGATCAGCCGCGTCAGGTTGGCGCGGCTCGACTCGCCGCGACTCGCGAAACCGCCCAACTCCTCCAGCAGGCCGAACACTGCCAACATTTAACAATCGCCGCAAATTTGTTTTAATTCTCAAGACAATTTATTAATTTAAATTAGCTGAAATAAGAGAATAAAAGAGGGAAATTTTTGAACACAATGCATTTTTCTTTATGGAATTTCAAGCAAGGAAAAAAAATATGTCTTACTTTTGTCGTCTCCGCCGCTGCTCCCTTTTGCCGCGACGCAGCTGCCGTAAAATTCTCCCAGTTTCCTGAACGGCTCTCTTTTCAGCTTCGATTCCCGTGAAAGGAGCACTGCAAATAAAAATAAAAATGCAGATGTTATGCAGCTCGTGATACCCATCCGGCTGCAATTGAAACGTGCGGTTGCATATAAATATCAAGAGCTCTTCATCGAATGAAGCGCAAATAATGCAACACGCTCGGCCGTGGTGCGTCACAGGTTGCATAACTCGAAAGCTCCGATTTGCGGGATTAACTAATCGATATTCCCCGGTCATTTTTAACTGGACCTGGATGAAGTGTTTTGAATTATATGCTTGGTACTTATCAAAAGTAGAAACTCGAAATTTATTTAAAGAGAGATGCACAATTGAGATTAATATTCACCATGAAATGATTAAAATTAACGTTTGTTTCAGCCCTCTAAAGCAAGTAGAAGAACTGTCATTTTCAATTAACAAAGCTTTATAAATAAACTGGTAAATCCAAAGTTCAAATTTGCTGCACAATCAAAAATTCGTAAAAAAAATGCCAATACTATTTTCACTATTTTATTTATTTATTGTATTATTTAAACCTCTCAATTTCTTCCGGGGTGGGTCCGAATATCAGAGAAATGATTCTCGAAACGTTTGGCGAGAAAAGATTCTCGCGCAAGGATTCTCCAGGAACGTTTCTGCCTTTATAACTCTACTAAAGAATCGTTCCTTGAGAACCCTAGCGCGAGAATCTTTTCTTGAGAATCGTTTCTCTGATATTCGGACCCAACTTTGATTATTTTTCCAATTCTTATTTTCCCTTTTTTTTATCAGGAATTGAGTTGAAAAGTCCATAATAAGCGACAAAATCACAATTAAAAATTTGGGTTTCTTCGCAATAATCCAATATTTGATCAAGGAAAAGTGCTTTTCACCAAAGATTATTAAAGAAAAAAAAATGTAGGTTAAACTGTTGTGACAGCATCTCGATCTTTATCAAGGCCTGAAATGAATGCATCTTTTAATCAGTAATTATGCTCGTCGTCCCCGAGTTCACTTCTTCTTCTTGTGAAAACAATCAAGATACATATCGTGTTTGTTTTTTCTCAAAGGAGCGCTTATTGCTCAACAATGGGGAGCAAGATCGATTTTTTTACTTCAAAGGAAATTGAAAAACTCACTCTGGATCTCGAGGTTGACGTGTTTCTGCAGCGTGTTGAAGCTGGGCGCGATTTTGGCGTTCTGCTCGCTCCACCTGCCGCACGCGAACTCGTAAAAGTCTTCGCACGGATCCGCGGCCGCGTTCAGCATCGTCCGCAGCCGACTCGCCGCCATCAGGCACTGATCGCGTTTGCACACCCGCGACGAGTTGTTCCTCCCCGAGCAGTCGTCCTCCTAAATTCGTTCATCATTAATCATTAATTCCTCTTTACAACAAGAAAAACTACTAAATAGAGTAAAAAATAAGGAAAGCTTTTCGGCAAAAGATGATTTTGTGCACATTCCTATGCAAAATCACGTGAATTTAAAAATAAAAAATCAGCATTTGAATACTTTTGAAAAATTTCATCAATACCTACGAAGGGAAAAAGTTCTAGAGCTGCACTGCCTAGAGAGAAAGTAAGTTTTCCGACTGTCAAGTAACAAACCAAGAGGCGCTCGTCAAAAGTTTATTGTAGGAACAAATCTAGTCCTAAGTCAACAGCTTTGCGATTGAAACTTTTATATATAAACTCGCTTCAGGATTCAATTATCAACTTTTAATCAGTGAAACAATTAAATTGGTTTATCAAACACATTTTTTTTCGATTTACTTAAAACAGAAAGAAAAGTTTCATTAACATAGACTTGCAAATTCCAATAATTTTCTTGGAAAATAATTAACAGCTTTTTTAATTGAATTTTACACTAAAACAACTCAAATATCTTTCATTATATTCCAAATTATTTTAATGATTAAATTTCCTTCTCTGCTTATTTCTTTTCTAGATTCTAGTTATAAAGAAAAATTTGTTCACATTTTCTTAAACAAATCCAAAATGAAAAAATAATGTTTGTCTATTAATAACCTTAATTAAACATTAAACCAATTCAATAATAAACAAAAATTTACTATTTTCCTAAACTTTTGGACAAATCCCTGGCTTATTTTAAGTTTTTTTTAAATGCTTTTATTTAATTTTTACAAAATAATTAAATTATCTCAAAAAATTTGATTAACCATATTTTCCAATTGAATTTTTTAAATTTTAATAAATCTCTAAACTATATGAAACAATGAAGAACTTATTGGATATTGTTCGTTAATATTATGATTAAACGTTTTTACTGTTTCCAAAATATTTGATACTTTGTAAAACTTTTTATTTCCATTATTCATATAACTTGTTACTTATTTGTATATTGTAGTTTAATAATGTTGTCTGTCACACTCAATAATTCTTTAGATTCCATATTAAGTTATTAGTTTTATTGTAAATTTTAACATAATTGCAGGTTTTAAATCGCATTTGCAAACTTAGGTTTTTAATCAATATGGAAATAATCACCAAACTATAGATAGAATTACCAAGCTTATTAATTGAATAAAAAAATCAATTTTGAACCGTTTAACTTGAAGTAAAATTTAGAAAGTTTACAAACAATTTGAATTAAAAGAGAATGGGGGAGAAAAAAGGGACCTTTCTGCAGTCGCCGGCGTCGCGGACCTCGTCGCGGCTGAAGCCGGCCCTGAGGTCGAGGTCCTGGAGGAAGCGGGGCGAGACGACGAGCAGCAGGCCGACGAGCAACACCCCCAGCAGCCAGCAGAGGCGGCGCAGGCGGGCGCCGCGCGACCCCTGCTGCTGCTGCTGCTGCTGTTCCGCCTCCGCGTGGGGCTCGCCGGGGGCGGCAGCCGCCTCCGCTGCTGCCTCCGCCATGGCTGTTCGCTGCACGACTGGCTTCAGCTTCACTCCGGCCCTCGCTGCCTGCCTGCGCACGACACTCGCCCCCCCCCCCCACCCCGCTCCATCAATGACCTCTGCCCTCCTCGCCTCGCGCGCCCCCCCCCCCTCCCGCCGCGCAACCCCGAATTTCGTCAATGGCGCCAACACGCACCGCCAAATTGGGTCAATGGACGCCTGCCTGCCTGCGTTTTTTTTTTATTCTCTCCTGCGCCCCTCTTCATCCCCTTCAAACTGCGCATTTTGTACTCCCGACGACGTCTTTGTTTGTTTTGCCTTTCTTATTCCACTCGCGACGTCCTAATTTCTTGTCTGCAAATCGATTTTAAAAAGAGCTTTTATGTAATGATTTCTTTTATTATTATTTACTCGTTTTATTTTCATTGAAAATGTTGAACATCCTCGCAGATTTGAATTCATTTCACATTTTTATGAGAGGAACTTGCAAAATATAAAATCTCCTTAATTATGTTTTCACTTCAGATTTTTTCTTGCGTTTGTAAAAATTTTGAAGAGATTTTTTGTGTGTGTGAATGGAAATTCATATAACAATCAAGAATAATTATAATCTCTAAGAATGATCAAAAAAGGACTTATTTCTGGCTGTAGATGAACTTCTACGGAACGAGAGCTCTTGTTTGTCAATACTTAGGATCCTTCCATGAAGCGAAAAACGTGAAAAATTTAATTATTATAAATTTGAAGCTAATTATAAACTGCGTTTGATTTGTGCTTTTTTTCTCTTTCTGTGAAATGAGAATGAATTTTATAATCAACGGGGACAACGGGATATTGTCAAAAACTTTAATGCAATGAAACTAAGATTCAATCAATTTAGAATAAAATTTAAATACATCAAACGATATGATTCAATCTTTAGGATTTTATCTTCAATTAATCTAATTAAATTATTTAAACTTAAGGAAAGCAAAAACGTTGACCACCATTTTGTTCATATTTAATGTACAAACTTTATAGATTTATGGGTATTTTTATGTTATTTTCGGCGCTGAAAATTAGCGCAGAGCCTCATTTGCTGCAATATCTGGCGATGAAATCCAATTACAAGCGGCCCCAATTAGCGAATGGCCGCGCTCACAATTTGGCCAATTTGCAATGCATCAGCAAATTACCGAATGCAAATTTTAATTAGCCCTCTCAGCGTAATTTTGCCGACCTATCGATTTTGGAAAAGCGGAAGAAGAAAGATTATGGCTGCTAAAATTAATTATCTTTATTTTCATTGTATATCATATTTGCACTGATTGATAAAAATAACGTGAATTAAAAATTACAAGTATATAAGTTTTCAAGAATTTTCATATCAATTTTTGGTAAATCCTCAAATTCGTACGTGTGTGTAAGTCCAGATTATTTTTTATCTTTTATTGATCAATATCATAAAAATAATTGCATGTAGGTTCGTTCGTGGTCAATTTGAATGAAAGAGTTTACAAGAGAGAGAGAGAGAGATTATTTACAATAATCAAATATATAATCGCATTTCGATCTATCGTCAGCAGAGAGAGCGCGTCGTGTCTACACAGGTTTGCACATCGAGTTTTTTTAATTTAATGAATCTGCACTTCTTGTTAATAATTGTCGCGCGGAATTATAAATTTAATTTAATAAAATGCAGGATTCTCAACTTTATTATGGCGGAAATTAAGAGGCAGGAGCGCTCCTCAAACTTGGACCCAATTACAATCGATTCTTTTCAATTAACTCGATTATTTTCAATTTGCAATGCGACGGAATTAAGAGAAAGGAACGCTCTGGAAAATTTAATATCTGGACGCAGATTTGAAGATTGCGTCCAAAATTCTACTTGCTCTCCGCTCTATTGGTTAAATATGGCGCGCGAGTTTTGAAATATTTATTTTTATATGTTATTAATAAGACATGAACAAGTTTTCTCAGGATGGGTATAGTTTGTGTAATTTTACTTTTAGACATCACATATCGTACCAAAATAATATAATATAAGAAGGAACAACGTGCCGAGAAAGAGAGTGAGAAAATAATTCTGCTTTTCAACTCTTCTTCACATGGAATGAATAAGTTTGTCCTTACAAGTGCGGAGAGATGCGCTACATCTTGCTATATAAATAATGCCGAGTTTGATATACAACAAATGTACACAAAGGGATCGAATATATGGAGCAGGATATCATTTTCCTTGCTTTGTCGAGAGCAATAACAAGAATGAGAACGGAATGCACGTCGCACTTGCAACAAAAGGGCTTCTTCAAGGTGGAACGAGCGCGTCGTGGTTCAAATTATTGATTCTCACAATTTAACAAAAAAAATTCTATGTTTTGGTGAGATTCGGAAAATCTTTTGATTGCATTCAATTTTCCCACTCTTTCCACCTTGAGATTGGTTAATGCTCGGCGTGTGCCGTAATAATTGTATAATGCGCAGTGACGAAAAAGTTCAAGTCGGAATTAGTGGCTGATCGAAATTCGCCCACTCAACAAATATGAAATTGTGAATTGAGTTTTGAGCTACAAACGTAAAAATGCGTGTTTTTTTATGCAACCTTCCGTTTCTTCAACTTCAGTGACTAGAGAGAGAGACAAAATAACTTTTAATGATCCGATTTGAATTTAGAGCAGATTTCCAGCTCTGAATGGCTCTAAATCGTAGAAATTTCTCTTTTTTCGTTTTGAAAATACTTGGAATTCGAGAGAGATCTCAAGAAAAGGAACAGCCGATTGTGTAAATAGTGTTGCGGAGATGCAGGGGCCGCGCGCGCTTTTAAATCTTCTTCCTCTCCTCGTGCGCCTTCTTGACCAGGGCCAGCTTCGAGTGCGGGTCGGAAACGGGCAAATCGCTGTACGGGGCGTCCCTGGTGCCGTGCAGCATCAGGGTCCACTCCTTGATGAAGCCGCTCTGCACCACCTGCGAGTTGAACCGCACCTGCGAAAAACGCATTTCCGCACATTTTTAGCAAAACAAACCACTAAACTAAATATTCAGAATTTAATTGTACTTTAACATGATACAATATAAATTAGTTTCTAATAAAAAAAATTTTCAATAAAAATTCCAAAGGATCGTTTATTTTGAAAAGTTTATAAATTTAAAATTTCTTTATATTGAGAGCTGAGGATAAATATGAAAATATAACATATTTTCCAGTTTATTTAAAAACATTTAGAAATTAATATATTCCAAAAAAACTTTGACTTTTTAATCACCGTAATAATATAAACAAAATAAAATGAAGAGAACGTAAATTTAAATTTTATTCTTCGTAAAAAGCAATGCTTTAATTTCTGTTGGTAAATTCAATAAACCTAGGCTTTTGAGAGAACAGCATGAATAGTTTTTATAATAATACCTCCAGTGTCCAGACACCCTGCGGGTACTCGCCCCAGGTGTGCGTGGTCATGAAGGGCCACTTTGTGAATCCGTCGTGAGCGTCGTCGTCGTTGGGCCTCCTGCTCAAAATCATGGACCTGCAAAAGCGCACAAACAAAATTGAATAAAAATAAGCGAGTTTATCGATTTAGGATTTTAGAATTAATTAATTGTTTTAATTAATTTATATAAAAATTATTAGATTATTAAAGTAATTTTTTTTACCATTTCATTAAATATAATATGATTATATAATTAATACGTTTAACCAAACGTAATTTAATTTTAATAATAAAATTGTTTTTATTAAGTAAATTAATTTACTGTTGAATCTATTTCAATGAAAATATTCAATATGAAATTGATATATTTATCGCCGCACTCACTTTGTTCCCATGGGCGAGGTGAGGAAGATCTCAACGTCGCCCCGACGAGTCGAGTTCAGGGTGATGACGGCCTGCACGTGCTCCAGGTAGCTCACCTGAGTGTCGCTGCCCGCGCACGCGTTCGTCTCGATTTTCATCACCACAGACTTGCTGCTCGGAATCGCTCTGAGCAAAATTAAAGGAATCCAATTAGTGATAATCATTCATTTTAGAAAGATAAGAATTGGATTTTTATTCTAAACAGTTGACAAATTTTTGTATTTTATGCAGTTTATTTAAATAAATCGTTAACAAAATCTTTTTCTGAGCTACTTTACTAAAAATTCAGAGATAGGAAAATTCAACTTACAATTTAAATTCATTTGGTTTATAATCTCTTGTAAGTTTAACAAAATTTGTTGAAATACTTTTAAAGCAATTTTTCGATAAATAAACTAGTTTTGTCAGTTTGGTCTTCAATAAAATCAATAAAATTGCATTTCAAGTCCTAATGAATCTTCTCCAATGCGTTTTTTCCTGTATTTTTATTAATTATTATTGAAAAAAATTTGTTCTTACTGAGTTCGCATGATGCTGCCGGCCTCGCAGTGGTACCTGGCCGGGACGGTCTTCCACTGCTTGGACAGGGCGACCATGGCGCCGGCGTCCAGCACGCCGAAGCCGAACAGGTGGTTGAACTCGAGGCCGACGCCGTTCATCGTCCAGTGGAAGCGGCTCTTGGCGTCGTACAGCGAGTTGCGCTTCGACGTCAGCACGGTCAGGTGCTGAATGTCGCGCCAGCTCAGTTGCGCACTGAAATTCCAAACAAATCTCAATAAAATCAACACATTTTGTTTCCAAATAAGGCAAAACTTTCTAATAACAAATTAAATTCCAAATGAAATGATAAATATTATGACTTTTAATTTGGAAATTTTTATGCACAAAATATATACCAGGTGAATGTTTTTTTTTCTTCAAAATTCAACAGGAATTTGTATTTTTTTCCATCAAATCGACTTTTATGTTTCAGTTTTTTTTTAAAATCTTAAGTTTAATTTTAAAGTAAAATTTTTTCTTACTTTGCCTCGAGGGCAAGAGCGAAGACGCCGGCGGCCTCGGGAGCGGCGGCCGAAGTGCCCGAATGGGTCGTTGTGCATTTTCCGTACAAGTCCGTGGTGGCCTGGAAACGTAACAGTTTTGATTGATGGACTCGCGACGCGCAGCTGATAAAATGCAGGAAAAATGTATCGCCGCAAACGCGTCAAGAGTAATTGATTGATGAGTATTGGCGGCGTCGATGAATAAATAAATAAATTCTCCCAATCTGTATTCATAGCTTGAGCAGAAATTCCATTTTCGAGGCAAATTTCTTGCTCGTTTCAATGCAAATTGGGAAAAAGTTGTGACGCGGGATCGATTTGAGAGGAAAGAGCGGAGCAGGCGAATGATTCGATTATGGGTAAAATCAACAAAAGATCAAGAGAGGAGGCAAAAAAAAAACTCCCGACAACGTTTCATTGATTGGGAAACTTTCAACCTTTGAAACTTCAATTCGTGCTAAATAATTTAAACACCAGAGAAAAGATATTAAAAGGAACTTTAGTATTCAGTTAATTTAAACTTTTTCCAATCAATGGCCCTTATAAATTTGGTTTAAATTTGAAAATATTTTTTTCAACTCACAACTCCAGTGTTGGGATCCTTGGCGCCGTTGCTGAAGGTGGAGGCGAGGGTGGAAGAGCAGCTTTCGTCGTAGTGCGCGTTTTGTCCGTCGTTGATGGCCGAGTTGATCGAGATTGTCCACATGGAGGCGGCGTAGCCATCGCAGTTGCAGTCGTCGTCCTCGCCCCCGTCGCCGCTCGCCCACACGTAAATGTTGCCCAGCCCGTTGCGTCCCTAAAATTGCACCAAACCAACCTTAGCAATTTTGCGCTTCCAGTTCAGAGAATAAAAAAAATCTTGTTACTTGTGGACCAAAAGAAATTTCTTTCCAGTCAAATTCACGCACGCACCATTTATTTGCAAAATTAATAATTATTTACTTCTTATCAACAACAACCAAATTAAATGTGTTCCAAGATTTGAAACGATTTTAATGAAATTAATGAGAATTCTGATACACATTATATTTCATTTTTGTGTGTCAAAACATTTTATTTCCAGGGAGATATTTTTTATGTTTTTAAACATTCCAAAATTTAAATGATTTAAATAATAAAACCAAATTGAAGATCCTCATAGATCTCTTGATCACCATTTTTAGCCTGTTTTCTAAAACAAAGATGGCTACCGCTGGAATAACTTTGAAATTCCAGAACTCAGTCAATTTGTGTGTAAAAACAATTTTCTAAAAAACGTTTGAATTTTTAAGCAACGATCTATCGGTATTTTCGATATTAATTTTTTGATATGAAACGACTTTAATTTCGACCGACCTCGTTGACGCCTCTGACGATGGCCCTCATGGTGGCGTTTCGGGGTCCGTCGACAGTTTTGCCGTCGTCCGTGGGACCCCAGGAAGCGCTGTAGATGTCGATCAGGTTGGGCTCGTGGCCCATCGAGTTGGCCTCGATCAGGTCAGTCATGTACGGCTGGTCCAGCATGCGGATCCCTGCAAGTTCAGACACGTCAGACGCAATTAAGCGGGGTGAAAAAAGGGGGAAAATTACCAGCGATTTTTGAGTCGTAAGCGACGCCGACGCCGCAGACTTCGTTGTCTCTCGCCGCAGCAACTTCACCAGCACATCTCGTTCCATGGCTAGTTTCACAATTAATCATTAAATTTAAGAAATAAATTATAAGTTTCAATAATTATTGGAGACGAATCGCTAATTCGTCTCTGAAAGAAATTATGCTCCAATGTTGCTTAATAAATTAACTCTCTTGATTCAAGGTTTCTAGTTTTTAAATATCCGAAATAGGAAATAAAATTTCCTTGAAACACGACTCTAAGCGTGTTTTTTTATAAAAAAAAAAAAATATACAGTTACGAGTCAAGTTCTAAATTAAATTAATTGAAAAAAGTGTTGTATTTTTTGTGGAATTTTGTGTTTACCTGTTGAACCAGTCGTCGGTGTATCTGGGGTAGGGGAAGGGGTCGTTGCTGCTGAAGTCGTAGCTGGCGCGCGCGTTCTGCCGAAATAAATTATTCACGAGCTGCCAACTTTTGAGCGAGAAAACGGCGCGCAGGTAATTAATTTTTCAGACCGAGGGCGCGTGGGCAGAAAAGATCAAAGAGCAGCCTGTGTGTTTAATTAATTACCTGCGCCGGCCGGCCACTCTGACAAAGGCACTTACGTAATTAAATTTGAGATCGGGATGCATGTAGTCCACTCCTGAAACACGAAAATAATCAAAATAGATGTTTCGGGGAGGAAAATATCGAGTTATGCAACCGGGTGAACGGCCGCGCCGCGCCGGTTGCATAACTCAAATCCTCTCGAACGAGATTCGCGGCTCCTAATTCGAGCCGTCGCGAGTGCGATTAATATTGAAATCGGCCACGTGACTCGGGAACGTGGCACACGTCGAAAGCACTCTCAGCTGCGTTTGTATCTGAGCGCGAAGTATGTCAAATAAAAAAACAAAAAATATGCGTCAGTGTCACGTATTGAAAGCGTGATCGATTTTTCTTTTTTAGCTCAATTACATTTGTATGGTGCATGAAATGAGTGGAAAAGAAAAAAATTTATTCTCAAACGATTTAAAATGAATGAATCAGCTACAATATTAGATAATAATTGAGGGTAATTTAAAAACAGTCTGTGTTTTCGGCAAAAAAATTCATTTTTTCTTTGTTTCAGCACAAAAAGTTTTCATTTTTAATTTAAGGGTTCAAAATTAAAATCTGAGAGGTGTAAAAAGATAAATCAATTCTATTTGTTTTAAGATTCCTTAAAGAGAAGCAAAGTTTTGCAATGCAATTTCTTGAGAATAAAACGCGACATAGTTCCGATGCGGCCACTTGTTGTTGTTGTTGTTGTTGTTGTTTTTTTCTTCTTCTTCTGAGAGCAACGTCATTATTATCCATCCACAGAGCTGAGGCGCGATTTGCTCAGCCCGTAATTGGATTGTGCGCGACAGATTCAATATTTGCTCAACCGCAATTTGTTCTCGCGCTCTTTCTTTTAATTAAATAACACACACGTTCAATTTGGTGACAATTTTACGACGCCACATGAAAAGAGGGTTTGCGGTCGTAAAGAGCGTAACAAAGTGGCACCTACCGTCGTCCATAATGGCCGTCGTCACATTCTTGCCGGTCACGCCTTGGGCCCAGGCAGCCTCCACGTTCAAATCCAGCTTCGGCTTGCCCCCGTTCTGGCCCGTGTTTTTCTGCAAAAAGTAAGAGAAATAAGAAAAGAGAAAAATAAGTTGGCAGAAAATTAAAAAAAATGCACTTTCCTTTTTTCACAGTTTTAAAACGTTTTTCCGGGCATTTTGGGGAAGATGTTGATCATTATTTTAAATTTTTAAAAAGATGGATGTTGGATTTTTAAAGGAAAATTATTCTACACTTGATTTTGTACTTTGGACACTTGATGAAGTGAAAAACGCAAGCTTTTCTCTCCTTTATATACCGAGGACCTTTTGAGATCTACCTTGAAATTAAAACTTCTTCTTAAAGATCAATAAGATAAATAATGTTTTATGACGATTATTGACTTTATTTTTCTATCTTGTTGGGGGTGATTATGAGCCTGATTTGGTCAAATTTTCATCAATTTTGGTCACATCAATTTGAGAAAAACAATTATTTTAGAAAATGTCCATAGAAACGATGTCAGATTTCAAAAATTCAGTTCTACCAAAGAACTGAAATCTGCAAAACAATTTTAATGCAGAGAAAAATTTAGCAAAAGCCTCTCCTTAACCAAAGAAAAAGGCTCTCTAATATCTTGTTTTGATAAAAACACATTTGTTTTTGTTAAATCTGTGTTTCTGAAGCTGATGGAGAAAAGTAATAAAACTTTCCTTATTCCACAAAATTTGTAAAAATTGGCAGAAAAGAAGCAAAGCTCTCTTGAGAGAGAAAGCTTCGAGTTTGAAGCAGCTGCCGGTTGTTGCGCGCTTCGACCTCCTTAATTTCGTCCAAAAATACTTCAATTGGCAGAAAATCGTTTAAAAATAAAGAAACCTCAAAATTTGTTTTCCAAACATTTTCTGATTTGGTCGCAAAATAAAAAACTGAGCTTTCAGATTTCACTGGCGAGTGCGAGGAAGAAAGATGATCTGCGGAGAGGAGCGTCGCATCCATCGATTGCCAGCCTAACCGACTCGCAAATGCCAGAGGTCGCGCGTGCCCCCTCCCCCCACCCCCTCCCTCCCCGCCCTCGCGCGCCATTCACGGGAAAAAACAACAATAACACACACGCCACAGGCTGTTTTCTCCGGCGCCCCGCGCACTCGCTCGGCTTTTCTTCCCTTGTTGATCCCTCTTCATTTTTCCATTTCTTCTCAAAGTGTGTCCGTAGCAAAGGGACGACTTAAGGGAGGATTTGGTTCCGGCGAAATAACACGGAAATTGTTCTTCCCAATGATTTTTTTTTCCCAATTTTTCGCAACAATATTGTTTTATTTTTAAAACCAACCTCTGAGAAAAAAAACCGGCGTATATCGTCGTGAATGAAAATTTTCCCTTACAATTTTATTTTCCCTGTGTGCGGGAAAAATCCAATATTTGCCGCGGTGAATTCTTGGAAGTCGCACTTTGCCGATAAAAAACGGAAAATTGCGTTGAGCCCCTTCTTTTGAAAAGCTCTTCACGCCGCGGAATTCTCGTTGAACGAGAACTTTGGAATATTGGAAGAAAAAAAATATATACTCACCAGGTACCACTGGAAGGGAAAGTAAGGGTCTGTGGGGTCGTCGTGCGGCTGCAGCTTGACCAAGTTTTCCACCCTCAGGGGGTTGTAGCCGCGCTTCACCCGCCTGAACCCTGTTTGCTGAACGGCGAACTCCACCTGAAATCACGCGCAACGCACATTTTAATCATTGGGATGAAAATTTGTGGCCTCTACTTAATTAAAAGAAAAAAAACTGCTTTTTTTTCAAACAATCTGAGTTTATGCTTTTCAATTTTTATTTGATTATTATTTTAGTTTATTTGTCCTATTATTGATAATATTAGTTTATTGACAACATCAAAACCAAAGATAAATTATTTTGTAATTTCAATAGATTCAATAAGAGAGATTTTGATAATACTGTGTAAATTTTGATTTCATTCCACTTCCATAGTAAAATCGCTAAAAATTATAAACTGATGCTTCTCATTTCCTTTGACCATTTCTCTGAAGCTGCTTTTACTGCAATTGCGGCGGAAAATTGAAACGCAATCAAAAGGAGCGGCAAAGCAGAAAATTATTCAGGGATCGCAGCGGCGGCTCCGCAGAGACTGACGCGGCCCTTCATTTTTTGTTTGCGGCGGAAAAGAATATGAGAGAGACGAGAGTGGCACTCGTGAAATTGGAATGGAAAATTCTTTCACAGCTGCTGTCCTGCCAGACCAAGCGCGGGGGATGCTTTGTCCCCTGAGCGCGGGTGGGAGGTCAAGCTTTGAACTCGCCATTGTGTCCATGTGTCGCGCGCCCACATGCGTCTCATCTAAAAATAAAAATGGTCTTTGTTGTGTCGCAACACTCAAATAACGCTGTCTTAAGGCGCAGGACTTCTTCAACTTATTGTGACGACAAAAAAAAACAAAAGAACAAAAATCATGTATGAAACCAAAAGTTCGTAATTCAATAGAATTCCCATTGAGAAACTTCAAATTTGTTAAATCTGGATGTCAATTTAGTTGAAATTTCTCAAATTTCTAGTTCAAATAGTACGAAAATTTTGTCTAATTTTTTTTTAAATTTTAGAACATTTTGGTGGAGAAAATGTCAAGGTGAATTATTTCCACATTTCGAATCCTTCACAATAATTGCAGCTCGTGTTTATTCCAAATCTTTTTTTTTTCGGACGTTGTGTTTTGAAATGTTGTGGCTGAAATGCGGACGAGCACTCAAATAAGAGAGCCGCTCTCGACCGTTGCTAATCACATCTGCATATCTCTCTTTCATTTCAAAGCTGACCTACTTGCCTCGCAACGAATAAAAATAGAAATAAAAATGTTTGCGTTTCGCTCTTGATTCCGAGCACTGAGCGACCTTTTTCCTTTTAACTTCGAATTTCGCTGTAAACTTGAATCTTTTCATGGATATTGATTTCAACTGGGCTTCGGTTGAAGGAAGAGAGAGCGAGAGACGTTAATTCCGTTTTAATTGGGTGGTGAGCGCGGCTTGCGAAAGCCCAAACGCATATCGACGCTTCCTAATTGAAATCCAAGGGCGCATTTGACCGACCCAGGCCTTAATCTCGATTAACAGACAAGTCGCTGAAACATGCTTTTTTTTTAATTTGATATGATTTCTAAATAACAAAAAAACTATAAAAGAAAATACAGACAACGAACTTTGTTTTTTAAATTGCTGTCAATCTTATAAAAACAATACTAATTTTTTGGCACGAACTTTATATCTAATAAAAAAAACTTTTGATCTTCTCCCTAATCATTATTTTTTTATTTTCATTATGATTTTACAATTGAGCTGCTTATTTTTGACCTAAATTTTTATCTCCCTGCTGATGAGCCTGAGAATTTGTGGCACATTTTGTTTTGACTGGAAAATGAATGTCGTCGTGCAATAATTTATGAGGGCGGACGATAAGAAAATACGAGAGTGACGCATCCGCCGGCCCGGCCGAATTATCATTGATGGATCGCACACGCGGCGTGGGTTTCGCAGCAGATTAAGCTGGGCGCGTCACGCTCCGTAATTAGCGAGTGGCAAACACGGCCCGACAACATAGTCAACCGCGCAAATAGGTGCTCAACTTCCTGTTTGCGAAACACTCGCCCGGACAAAAAGAACTTATTTCGGGACTTGCCACATTCGGCCCCGTCAATTTTCCTCTTTTCTTTCAGGAGGGTTCACGGAAAAACCAAATCGTCCAGGAAAACACGCGGAAACATATACTTGGATTTTTTTTTATTGGAAACAAAATGTTTCAAGAGCAGGATTAAGGCTTCGAATTTAGCCAAAAAGTTGCAATTATCTCACTTTTTAGTAAAATTTCTCGATATTTGTTTATGTAATTATTATAATATATTATATTGTATTATATTATTAATTATTTAATTATTGAGTAATTTATCTAATTTCTGATATTTAAATTAAAATTGCAAAAAAAAGAGAATCTATTTTATAAAACAAAATTTGACTTCAATTTAGATTGTTATTTCTAGTTTCCATCTTCATCAATAAATTAATTATTTCTTCTTCAGCTTGAGAAACATTATTTGATTAATATTTTACTTTATATTTGTAATGAATTAAAATCCAAATTTTTTTTTCACAGGATGGAGGCAAAGAAAACTGCTTTTCAGCGGCAGTGGCAAGAAGAATGGCCGCATCGATGGCCATTTAATTGGCCCAGACGGCAAAAGCAGCGAAGCAAGGGTCGGCGATTTATGGCCGCTTTCGACGGCAAAGGCCAGCGCCAGGTCGGTGCGGCAATAAATCGTGTGCGCTACTCACCATCGGGTCGGCCTTTAACCTGCGGGTGTGCGGCACGCTGCGCTTGGACCGCGCGTGCGGAAGGGCGCGGTGCACAAAGTGGAAGTCGCGACTCGAGCCCAACACCTGAAACACAAAACAAATTCAACGTAAGATTAAAAAATAAAAAACATATTTTGATCTACATTTTTTTAATTCAAAGTTATAAATTCAAATTAATCAATGAAATTCATTTGATTATAAAATAACGAATGAGAATGATTTGTGATAATAATCGTTGGAAAGTAAAAAATCCCGAGCCTTTTATTCCTAATTGTCTATAGAAAGGTTTTTAGAATAAAAAATGTAAAAATCGTCACTTTTGATGCTTTCGTTGACCCTTAAATTGGTGAAAAATCTCTAAATTTCGTTGGCATGAATAATTTGACCAAAAAGGTCAGGGTCACCGCGATATATTTGGTTTATTTCCTAGAAAATCAACGTTAAAGGATACGAAGCGCTCCGATTGGTCCGAATACTTCCCCCACCACCAAATTATCCTCAACATATAAAGTGTGACACGTCATTGGAAAGGTCATGACACAAGGAATCGATTTTCACCAAAACCTGAGAGGCCAAATCAAAAAGAACAAAACCTTCAATTTACAAAAATCCCAATATTGACTAGTTTTTCTAGGTTGCATCGGGACTTACATTAGTCACGAGATCAATCAAGTTGACCGTAGCAAAAACAAACGCTATATTAAAGTTTAATTTGGCAAAGTGAGCGATCGAACCGAACTGTGACGCAAACCAAAACTGAAGCAGCTAATTAAATCAGAAGAAAAAACAACTTTGTGCTTCTGCTCGACTGATGGGAATTTAATTAAGGAAGCTTCTGTCAACTCCTCGCATTCAAAACTAAAAGACCGCGTTTTGCTCTCTGTGCAATACAAAAAGCATAAGCGTGCATGATGAAGGGGAAGAAAGAAAGGAGCGGCGGCAGGGGGCTGAAAGTTTACGTCGCGCTTTGCATCTTCCCTGCCGAGTTAATATCCTCGGCGGCAACAGCCCGTGAAGATAATTGTCTCGAGAGATAATGACGCGCGCCCGCCAGCTTCATATCTCTCCCTTCACAGAAAAGCTTGTTACATGACAAACTAATCGAGCGAACACGCATGTTCAGGACTAATAGCTTCTTTTTTAAATGCAACCCAAAATCAATTCTCTCCTTTCACAAAAATTAAATTTTGTAATTGTTGAATTCCAAACAGTGGCCAAATTTCATTTAATTTTTAAATACATTTCTAATTAAAAATGGTACGTCCGAGTTTCATTTCCTGCCAAATGAATTTGAACACTTTTTGCTTTTAATTTTAAATTCCAAGAAAATCGATTTAATTGTTCAATAAATACTTTAAGAAAATATCAAAATCAGACAATTTTTGAGCTCAATGTTGAATTAATCTTTAAAAATTCATTCATAAAAATCCTGTAGAACAGAACCTTTTGATCCTTAAAAAAAAACAATCTTGAGCTCTCTCCAATTTATATTTAGCTCAAAAAATATGCAAATTTGGTAAATAAAGTTGAGAAAGACGATGAGCGGCTGAAGAAAAGAAATTTTGGGTAAAATTCGCCTGCCTGTGGGGAATTTTCCTCTCCTTGAACGAGGCCTCAGGGGACATATTTTTGTATGATGGATGAAAAAGTATGCCGTGTTTTGATAAAAGTGAATTCGCGGCTGTGCGGCCAAATTAGAAACGATAGAGGTGACCGTGCAAACATAAAGCGCGGCGAAATTGCGGCCCAATGAAAACGCGGGCAGAATATAATCATAAAGTGCACCATAAAGAGCCATGTTCACGGCGCTGCGAGCCATTAAAGGACGCGCATCAAAAGACTCGTAAAATGCGAAATCACACACAACGCACAGTCGAGATTAATTCCGCGCAAAAGGACAAGCGAGTATGGAAATAAATTCGTACTTCTGCTCGAGGACACACGGTTTTTAATATCGTCAGCAGCTCTTCTTACGAAATGCACGACGCACGGCAAAACGTTTTATGTTAAAAACGGGAAGAATTGCTCTTTCAAACGCTCGTAGGAGCTTTATTTGGTTTTATTTGTTAATTTGAAGGGACAAAATTGAATTGTGCATGTTTCATTAATACATATATAGGAATATGTGTTTGAAACAGAAAGTTTTGAATTTATACCAATTTCTAATTGAAACATTTTTATTTTGTTGTTGTTGTTATATTTTTAATATAAGAACGCTTTTTATATTTTGGATAATTAAATTAGGTAAAAGTGAATGAAAATCTGCCTTTAAAAGTTAAAATACCACAAAATTCAAGGAAAATAAGAAAGAAAATTGTAGAAAAAAGGCATTTTTTTCCCCTAGGAATATCCTTTTGAGCACGAACAATTTACAGCAATTAATTAATTCCGAGTTGTATACGTTTTTGTGACAAGCAAGAGTAAATTGCAGTCGCGGAGGAGCCAAATTGACAATTAGCGTGATTCCTCTGGGGAGCGGTGACGCAAATGCGGACACTTGTTAATTACAATTTCTTGCACCGACGAGCCTGCAAGACAGGAAGTTTTTTGTTCCGCACGCAAAGCAACGCGCGGGGCTAAAAATAGTGGCAAAGCGGGGAGCAGAGGAGATTGGAAAAGACGTCAGCGCGGCCAATTATTGCCCGTTCGAGTGACACCCTAGCCGAAATTGCAGCTCCACGTTTTCTAACGACCAAAAGAGAGAGACTCGTCCTTATTCTGCAAAGCACGCACCGCCGATTTCCAGCAATAAAAAGAATAAGTAGAAAACTCGCAAAATAGTGAGCAACAGACAAAAAAGAACTATAAAACCAAATTGAAGAATTAACTGGACAAAAATGAGAAACAGTGAAAATTTTATCAGTATCAAACGCACATTTGCCTGGAACATAAAATTCTTTAAACAGAAAAACAAGATGAAAGGCTGTTTTTAATTATAATTTTTCTTAATTATAATATGTCTTGAATTTTCAAAGAATCTGAACCTTAAGATCTTGAGGAAATACACTCCTTTCGTCCTTTCGGAAATTAGTATTTGATGAAAGGTTGGCGAAGTTCTTAGGAATCCATGAACATTTTGTCTCTAAAATAAAAACTTGCAATCGCATTATTTAGAGTGAATTTTGAGTGAAATTTTTAACTTGTCACTAAAGATGGAGAAATCTTTGTTATTCGGTAATGAGATCGTGAAATTCGTGTGTCTCATTTTATGAGGGTGATGGAGTTGGGAGCCGCCCTAGGGAGTGCGCGAATAATCTGATATGGGCAGGGGCGAGAATCTTTAATTTCCTGTGCCAGTTCTCGTGCGACACTCTCTGGTGTGGCCAGGGCCGAAGAGTCTGCAAATTGCGCAGCTGTCGGACCAGGAAAGAGAAAGTCCTCTCAAGTCCCCCGCGTGCAGTCGTAATTAACCCGGCCAGTGGCGCAACCCGCATTCATCTCAGCCCCAAAACTTTCAATTGCTTTTTGACCGAAAAACACACTTTTTTTTGTTTAATGTGAATAAACAAAAACTCAAATCGGAAGGCTTTTTAACGATATTAAAATGAAAAAGTAAATATTTATTTTCTTTATTTTAAAATTTTTAATTTAAAGTAGTTCGGTTTAATTTTCCGGCAAATTTTCAAGATTCAACATTTCAAAAGAGGTCAGCTTTGTGAAATTAACTACTGGTGTTGTTATCAAATTCAAAGACCTATTGGAAAATAGATCTGTTCTTAATTATTCTGAATTCAATGCCAATAATTATCCTTTCCTAATTATAATTTTCATCATTTTGAGAATTATTTACTTTACAAATGTGTATTTTCTTTACAATTTTTTCTTTGAAGTCTTTCAGTTTAGGAAATCAAATCATGAACACAATTTTGTAATTAGTTTTGTTGCCGAACTTGGGGAGTGAGAAAGCAATTTACTCGAAAGCACATGTCATGTCACTCCACCTTAATGAGAGTTGCGTCTGCGTTTCCACTTTCCGTGCCGGACGAGATTTGGTTGTGGAGTTTTCTCGTTTTGGCCGACGTCAGCGCGAAATCTGGCGTGTTTGCACAACAGCAGCCGCTTCCAGAGAGGATTTAATAAGACTGTTTGCTCAGGGAATTTGCAACGCAAATCCTCGGCTGATGAGGTTTTGCTGGAAAGCAAGAGAAGCGACGAGAAAGCGGGTTTAATGCGATAGAGTTGAAGCAGCAAAAGGCCAAAATCGATCCCTTATTTCTTTTTGTAATTTCAAGACTGTAAATCAGTTCATCCGTTTAATTCGTGAGCAAGAAATTTGGTTAAGCAGACGCACAGGCACCGGCCGGCGGGCAAATAAATTAATCCTGGAGTGGGCGATAAATTTGTTTCGCGTGTGTCGCCCTAAATCTTCATTCCAGCGGCTAATTCGGCTGGCGAAACGCGATATTCCTGTTCAAGGACTGCGGCAATTTGACACGTAGAACAAAACGCCGTGACATTTCAAACTCGCGGGCGATCCAATTAAAACACAGTTTTGCTGCTCAAACGAACGTAAATAAAAGTCCAACTGCAGCAATTAACGTGAGTGAAAGAGCAGCAGGTACATAATTAAAGGAGGAAGGGAATTTCCTTTGAAATGTGAGAGAGAGGAAAAGCAAAGATCGATCGAGTGCCTCTTGATTGAAACTATGAGCTGAGGAAAAACGCCGGCATCACAAAAAAACCACCCCAAAAGTGTTAAAATAAAAGGTTTAAAAATCCTGATTTTGTTTTTAGGATTGAAGATGATTTTCATTTGTTTATTTGCTTTTGATTGCGAATTCTATTTGGGACTAGAAAGCTTCTTCCTTGTGCCGGAGATCAATTTATTGCTAATGAACTCGTTCGTGTCTGGCAACAACCTCTGGCGTGATTATGCGGGCGCGCAAGAAGTGGATCACGCGCGACACAAAATGCATTAAATTTTCACAGACTTGAAATTGGCTCGCGAGTTCGCTTGCTCGGGGCAAACCATCTCTCAGAAATAATTTAGAACAGCCGCCGATCGATTTCCACTCTATCAGAGGTCAAAATTTTGGTATGAATTATTCAAAGAAAGGGTTAATTTTGAGTTTCAGCTTCAATTATTAACTTTTTCTGTAATTCAATAAATTTTAAAAAAATTTTAGATAGGCAATATACTTTAAAAATAAAGTTTAAATGACTGAAAATTATCTGTTCTGATGTGTTAAAAAAATTAGCACTTTTTCTTAAATTATTGTTTCTTCCTCACAGAATGTTTATAAGAATATTTCAAAGGCTCTTTGAAAATGAAAGCCAGAAAACCTTTTCAGCTCATTTTATTCCACTGGAACTTTCTCGTATAAAGTGAGTTAAGATTTGAATATCCTTTTCGAGTGGAAACATTTTGCTTCTGGCGCCGCCGGTTTCTCTTGCAACTCCTGCGAGACCGCATTTGTTGATTTTGCTTCTTTTTCTACTTTTATTCCAAGTTTGGGCCAACACGCTAGCGACGGCACCTGCCGCTCACCTCCGCGTCGCACAGATAAATTGAGAGAGTTGCGGGCGGGCGGGCGAGCGAACGAGGTGCCGAGTTTTATTGATTGGCCGCGAAGAACGCACAAGTCGATCTCACGTCGAGCCTCGCGTCGAATCCGATTCTCGCTCTCGCGCCAAATGATCCAGTTTTATAATTAATTTTGTCACCGGCGTTGCCAAAATAAACGGCGCCCCAGGGCGACTCTGGCCTGCTTTTCACCCCTGCTCCGCCACCCCCGACGACGCAAATTGAGCTTCATTTTCAAACCTCCAGCGCCAAGGTCACTGCTTTCGGATTCGGAAGAAGCAAAAATTCTGACTCGGTGATTTAGCAAAATAGAAAAATCTTATGAAATTTGACAGTAAATGGCCGCTTTTTCAGTTTTTTTCTTAGCAAAATCTCATTAATTGATTTCAGAACAAATTTAATCTTATGTTTTTTGTTAAATTTTTTTAAAGGAAAGCGAATAAGATCGGAACTTTTTCTGATTCTACAAAATCTTGAGAAATACAAACTTTTAGAACGTTTTAAAATGAAATTGGGTATTAGAATTAGTGAAAATTTCTCTAGGAATGATGAGTTTACATCTCCAAGTCGTAAGTGTAAATAATAATTTTTTTTTCTTAAAAAAATAATAATTTTTAAAGGGTTCATCGTTGACACACTTTTCGCTCTTGTGAACTAAATTAATTAAGTCAAGTTATTTACATTTCTCATTACTTGTTTGGAGATGCAGCTGCGTATAATCGCAGATTAATTAAATTTGCAAGCCTCTTTTGCGCTGTTGTTAATCGCGATGCTGCTCAAAGCGGAATTAACGAGAAGTTGTACTACAAGAAAACGCTCCATTGCCTTTCGTTGCTGGCTTAGATGCAGTGAAACATGCGAAACGCGGCTCAAGAGCAGATTTATTAAACCAAAACTTTTCTCGTGCAGCCAAAAATAAACTATCGGGGTGGATTAGCTGCGCATGAGGCTACGAAATTGAAAAGTTTCTGTAAAAAAGAGAAACCTAAAAGAAAAGTTTCTCAGAAAAGTTAGCTCGTGCAAGATGAAAATTAGTTTTCAAAATATTTCAAAAGTAATTAACTAAAAAGCACCTTTATAACTCAAATTTTTTCTCATTATCAAGGGTGAGGTAAAAAAAAACTTTTCAAAAATTAATGTATAAGATTTTGGAATAAATTTTAATGTTAAATATAAGAAATGAGAAGAGGGGACTGAAGAAGTGTTTGATTTTAGGACTAATTTCCAAAACAGATTTCCCCAAATTTGTATACTTGATTTTGATTTTATTTTATGATTGAAAGCTAAACCAACTCTTTTTTTAATTATGAGACAAATCTTTACCTGAAATTAGGAAATTCTACCAATTTCAAACAGCCGTTTGCCCAAAATTTTGGAAAGAAAACGTTGAATTAATATTGCAGTTCAAAAATAAAATGTAAAAAATGTTATTTTATGATAATTTTAATTTGTTTTGCACTGGACAAGATTTCAAAGACTTCAAACAGACACAATTTTACAATTAGAGCAAAATAATTCTTAAGTTTCAGTTTAATATCTATGTATATTTTAATTCAATCACCTCTGTGTGATAGTTTTGTGCCCATACAATGGCGATTCTGATGAGAAAAAGTATTACTTTTTATTCCTACTTTCAAAATATTATAGTTTTTGAGTTCCAGAGTGAAAGAAAATGTTCTTTATTTCACAAAGCGTTTTTTTTTTAAGTAACTTGCAATTTATTTTGCAAATTTTCAGGCGCAGACGGCGCGGAATTTGGCAAAAAGCCGCCGAGTCGGGCGAGTCGCCGGCTGTCTCGTAAATAAACCAATATTGGAAATATCGAACCGCCGCGAATTTGAGAACGCGCCGAGGCAGCCGCCGGCAGACGCGCGCTTTTTGTCACAAAATAGCCAATTTATTTCTCTAAAGATTGGCAAAATTGTTTTGTGAAAGATAATTTCATTGTTTATACGAGGAAAAAAGTAATTATCATTAGCAGTAAATTAGTTTTTTTTTTTTGGTGATTTGAATTTAAAATCGGCTTTTCCTCGATGGGTTTTTGTGAGTTGATTATTGTTTCAGAAAAAACAATATCCTGCTCTTCATGTTTCGGCTGCGGGCTGCAGCCATAATTCATGAGCTTTCTCGGCGGTGGTCGAGAGAAGACCACCATGAATCACCATGAATCAACCCTCGATTGTGAAATTCTACCACAAAAATAGTTTTTTTTAAATATTTCTTTTAGCTGAAGCAATTTTTAAAATAATTAACTAATTCAAATTTTTTAGAGAATTAAATTCGATTTTTTTTTTATTATTCGCCACGAGCATTTCTCCTGAGTGCACAATTAGATGGAGATTCGATCACGTCTGCGGAGGAAGAGGGAAGAAAATTATGCAAATTCGATTCTCTGAGCAAAATGAGAAGGCGAAATTCATAATTTGATTGAGTGCGTCTGTCGCTTTGTTATCGCTCGAATGTCATTGAGCCGCTTATGTACTTTTTTTTTGTCCAAAATAAAAAGAAGAACTTTTGCCCTTTTTCGCGCGCGTCGGAGCTTCATTATCAGAAGAGACGCAATCGATACGCGCGCAGCTCTCGGAATTATTATATTTTTCTGCGTGTGTAAACGCTTTTGACTGACGTCACGCGTGGAAAATTCATTTCGAACAAAGCGCGTAGATTGCACAGCACAATTCGATATTATATATTCGAGTGGAAAATTCTGCAGCGAGGCCATTCGCTCTACAATGCGTAATTCAAAACATGGAGGCACAAAAGTTTTTGCAAAATGACACAAGTGGCGTTGCGAAAATTTCCGTCGCCGCACAAAATAGGAAAACGATCGACGCTTCCAACTCTTAATTGCATTTCCAATTTCCCCGAATGAGGGAGGCAAAACCTTGATGCTTTCCATCACAACCAAATATTGATTCAGCTCTTGATGCAAATTTAATTACCTTTTTACTCATACAAAAATGAAGTCAAAATTTGAAGTATGATATTCCACACTGTATTCAGTTTAAAAAGAGATACTTAAACAAAATTTGAAAACTGCAGGATTAAGTTTGGTACTATTTTTAAAATTGTATAAAATTCGAATATTAAACTGCTGAAAATGTGTCAATTTTAAATAAATAAAGATGTTCCTCAAACTTCAAAAGCTCTTAATTAGGCTAAAAACCAAATTTTATTAATCGAATAATTAAATAAAACGAAAAAATTGAGTGTTTTATCCATTTATCACGTTGAAAAACCAGTTATTTGGCCAAATTGCGAACTTTAGAATCAAAATTGAAAGCCTGAATTTTAAAAACTTATCAAGTAGAGCAAATATTAAAGCATCATTCAGTACAACACAGCAATATTGTTCAATTAATTTCGCTTCCACAAAGTGGAAATTTAATTTTCATCTTAAACGGGAAAATCTACGACCCAAATTTCCTTCGAAATTGAATTCAGAAAGATTTTTTGGCGAATTTCGACTCACCGGTCCCCAACTCTCGAAGCCGGCCCTGTGGGCGACGTCTCTGGCCGCCTGTTGGCCGTGGTCGGCGTTGAGTCTGACGAGGAACGAGTTGGTGAAGACGTCGGCCGAGTGCAGAGGACTGGCCGCCAGCAGCGTCATCAGCGCGACCAGGTGCAGCATCGGGACGCGAGATTGTGATCGGCGGACACGAAAGCTTGAAAACTTTTCAACTCCTTGTCCACCTCATGGGCGGCCGAACAAGTGCAGGGCGAAAGCGCGGCCGCTGCTGCTGCTGCAGGTGGATCTCGTCTTCGGGGCCGCTCGCTGCTCTCAGTCGTCCGTGTGCACCCGCCAGGCCTGACAACACGCACCCCCCCCACCCCACCCCCGACGTCACCAGTGACGTCATCCGCATTGATTTTCCCTGCTTCCTCCTCCTTCCTGAATTTATATATTCACAATTTTCGCCCGAAAACCCCGAGCAAAAGTAAATTTAACAATGAGTCGATTCATTAAATATATTTTCCAGTTTTTCGTTTTTCCTTCGGTTTTGGCCGCTGCTGCAGCCGATCGCGACAAGATCGAGTGCGGCCACGGAGCGTGCGCCATGTTCATTGGGTTAGGCGGCCCCCGGGATCAATGAAACAGACCCACACACAGTCCCTCTCTCGCTAAACCGCACTTTCTCTTCTCTGTGTGTTTCAACTTTTTCCATTTCGATCAAAATTCGTCGTTCCGGCTCGTTTCCTCGAACGGCGAAATATGCAAATCCAGCAGAGACACGTGATTTATGCAAACGGCCCCGTTTGAAAAGTGGTGTGTTGAGCTTTGAATATTCATTTTTGCTTGTGCAAATTAAGCGCCCGCGCCCCGGTGTTTAATAAATCGACCTGCAAAGAAAACACAAGAAATAATTGCGCTGCACCTTTTCATGATACAACAACTGTTTACACTCAGTGAAAAATACGATCGGTTACATTCAAGCGGAAAAATTCCAATTTTATTTATAAATAATTTTTTTTAGTTAAAACCTCCAAAAAGTTCTTCATTTGAATTATTAATTATTTAGAAACATGCTTGAAAAATATGTGATTAAAAACTGAAGAATATCTTGGAATATTTTAATTTGTATATAAAGTTCAGGGTGTTGCCGTTTGTCTTGGTTTTTGTAATTTTAGATGGAAATATTAATATATTTGGAGACAGAAATCCTGATCTGTTTAAAAAAATTAAATTAAAAGTTGAAATTTGGACATTTCCATTCGTTTTCCAAGCAGTGATTTTTGAACCATACGTTAAATTTTCTTTAGGGAAATTAAAACGGAAATTGGAATTACTTAACAACGGAAGAAATACACAAATATAAAAAATATATATATATATATATAAAATACACTAATTATCAAAATAGAAGTGTTTTTCTTTTTGATTTCCCCACAAAAAGTAAAAAAAAGCCTTTTTTAAAAAGGTTACCAATTTTTTAAAAAAATATTACAAAATTTAGATTTGGCTTCTTTTAATTGTTTTAATGTTGTGTTGGAAAAAAAGTCACTTTGCAATCAATTTGATTTGATTTTAACATAATTATTTTGAGACACTAAAGCTTACATAATAAAAATCAGCTGGGGATAATCAAGCAAAATTAGGCCACTGTTTCCTATCAGTCAAAATCATCCTTCTAATTATTTATTGGAGATTCGTTTGGCAGATCAACCAATACTATAACCAGACCAAAAAGGAGCCACTAAATTAAAAAAAAAACTACCAAAATTTAAATATGGAAATTCATGACTTTCGTTAGAAATGGAATCCAAAATAATATGATTTCAAATTTACCCAAAATCATCGAAACAACGATTCTGTTGTTTTCAGTTGAAATTTTAATTTTTCCCGTTTAATGAGGAACTGATTTTTTATTTCCACTCGAAGGTCGAACATCTGCTCTCTCATTAAGTTTGAGAGGCGCGGTTTGCGCGAGCGTTTTCAAGTGGCGGCCGATTTTCAAGTGTCGGGTGGAGAGAGTGGGGTGTGCGCGGAAGTCGCTCCTAGTTTTATTTCCCAGCGGCGGCGTAAAGAGGCGCCCGCCGAGCATGATGGATTCGCCGCGGGGATCTGCCGAGTAATTGGAGCTCGCCCACTGCGATAAGTGACTCCGCACGCGTGCTCCATTTCCAGCCTCTCTGTCCCGCAAAAGCAGAGAAATTATCAGAGACTGCAATTTCCTCTCTTTATCTTGCAATACGACATTTCCAAATCCATTATAAATATAAACGTAGAAAGCTCAATATCCTCTCCTTTGGCTTTTTACTTTTATCTCGTATCTGGCGCCGCCGTCCGCGCTGCACTCGTCTTTTATTATCACACACAGAAAAATGAGTGCGTGCAACAAAAGCGATTGTCCTCGTGCGCCCTTCTTAATCATCCGAGCGTCGTTGACTCGTTGCTCGGCCACTCGGCGCGAGATAAATAATGTGCAGCTCTTTCTTGAGGTCAATTGCGAGCGGAATAAAAATGCAATCCACACCTGAGCAGTGGAATTAAATACCAACTTGTGGATTCTTTTGATTTTACATACACAGAAGAGTGAGGAGAACAAGAATTAGCGCCTGAAAATTTCGGCTTATGTTGTGCGCCGTACGTGGGCGTCGCACCGGTTGCATACCCGGCCGATTTATGAATGAGCGCCGAGCAGGCACCATCTGGCGTCGCTCTTTGACTTGCATGCGCAGAACTCCACTGACGTGAGAAAAAACCTTTTTAGTAAATAATTGCAGTTTTTGTAATTATGTTGGCTGATTTTGAAGTTTTAATCAATGTTATTATTATTATTTTTTTTAATAAAAAAGTATTGGATTATTATTTGACTAAAGTCATTATTATTTTATAATTAAATATGAAGGACAAGAATTTTTACATATTATTTTGTGATTCAAAAATATTTTAATTTGTGTGGAACACAAACGATTAAAAGGCAAAAATACCTTAATTGATTTGCTACCCACATATCATGATTTCCTAATTTTCAGTCAAATATGGTTTCTTTTAGTAAATTGACCAGTCTTAATTATGAATATCAGCATTTTTAATTGATCAAAAGTCAAATTAATGTTATTTTAATTTTGTTCATCCTTCTCGTTCATTTCTGGTGTTTTCTTAAGCCAAGGACACGTATTAAATACTTCGATCAGAAGATACTCTTTAACTTGGGCCAGGCTGTACGGAGCACCAATGATGGTGACCAGACTTGGGTCAGTAGTGCTCTCGGACAATCTCATGCCAACCTTGAATTCTTCCATCACCTTCTGAATGTCAATTTCGCCCTTGCCTCCTAATAACTCGTTGTGCAACTCACTTGAGATGGACACCTGTTCCTTTTTCTAAAAAAAGCAGGTTTGGATTAAAATCTTTGACTAGACCTCGGAAGCAAAAGGTAAAAACTAACCAGCTTGCTAACAATTTTCAAAACGTCCTTCTTGACCGCTTTGGCTTTCTCCTCGTAGCCGGTGATTGTTATGATGTTTTTCTCAGCATCACCCTCCTTTGGGAATTTGATCTGCACATCATGATCCCGCATGATTTGAAGGATCACAGGTCTTAGGGGACCAATCAAGTTTCCTAGGAAGTCGGGGTCGACCTTAACCTGCGCAAAAGAATAAAATTGATTATACTTAATATTAAAATAAACTCAGGAAATATCAATTTAAACTTTTAACAAGAAAAAAACTACATATTGACCTTGAGTTGAAAGGAGCGCAGCTGCTTGTCTTCCATCTTCTTCCATTGACTCTCGATTTCCTCCTTGGCTTCGGACACGCAGGCCGGCGCTCCCGAAATTGTGATGAAGTTCAAATGCTGGTCGGGCGGTGGAAAGTTGAGACGCACACGGAACTTCTCGTTCAACTCTCTCACATTCGAGCCTTTCTTGCCGATGATGGAGCCGTGGTACTTGTGAGGCACGTGGACCTTCACAGGCACCTGTTCCAGCAGCGCCTGCTTGGCCTTTTCGCAGTTTTCCTTTTTCTTGCCCCTGATTCGCACTTTCTCGCTCCTCTTGTCAGCAGGGAAAATGACTTGCACCTCAAATTTGCGATTGATGCTCTTAAGCCTCGATCCGCCTTTGCCGATCAATGTGCCGTACATGGTATGCGGAATCAGGCAATTGACCTCCGCCAGTTGCCCTGATTGAACGAGGTCTACGTCATCTTCATCGTACTCATCCAAAAACTTCATCATTCTGGAAAAAAAAGGTAGAAACAATCGCATTAATTCAATCGTCTTCTCATAAATATTCATAATTCTTACTTCTTGTCCATGCTAAGCTAAAATTTGCTTCACGTACTCACTATAGCATTAGAAGTTCTTCCCTCTATTTTGGTTCTTCACCAAACCCAAACCCATAAGACGGTGGTGCCAGATGGCAAATAAGGCCTTGTCATCACTCAAAGATAATTTTTTTTTGTGATTATGCTGGTATTATTTTTAGGCTCACTTGTGCATTTTAAAATGATTTAACTACTTTTCAGTTTATCGTGTGGATTGATCATTTTGGTGAATAAAACAAATACAGAATTAATATTTGATCCATCAAATTTTGTTTATACCAAGAATGTAGTCTATATAGTGACAAGAATTTTCACATATATGTTGATTCAAAGATCACAATTAATTATAAAGGCACGAATGTGATTCCAGCAAAGATTAATTAAATGCCAATCTACATAAATCACATTATTTTTCCTACTATAATTTTCAGTCAAATTGTTTCTTTGTATTAGTCTCCATTAATTTATCTCAGCATTTGTAACTAATCAGCACCACCCTCGTTAGTGAGGGCAAAATGCGTTTTTTGAACTTTTAACCTTTTTCCTGCATCTTTTTAGACAAGGAAGACAAAAATGCTTGATTCTCAAGGTACTCTTAGACTTTGGCCAGGTTTTCCTCAACGCCAATGATGGTGACAAGACTCTGGCCGGGATCTGCGGCGTCTGAGAATCTGATGTCAACCTTGGACTCGTGCATCAACTTCTGAATATCAATTTTGCCCTTCTTGCCTCTCAACTCCTTGCACAACTCGTTGTCAGTAGAGATCAACATTTGCTCCTTTTTCTGTTCTTCCTAAAAAAGATTAATTTACAATTAACGACTTCCTTAAAAGCAGGATGTAAAAGCTAACCTGCTTGCTGATAATTTGCAAAATATCCTCCTTGGCCGCTTTGGCTTGTTCCTCACAGCCAGTGATTGTGATGATGTTTTTCTCAGCATCACCCTCCATTGGGAATTTGATCTGCACATCGTGGTCCCAGATGATCTGATTGATTACAGATCTTTGAGGGCCTATCAAGTTTCCTAGGGAGTCGGGGTCGACCTCAATCTGTTTCGAGGATTGGAACACAAAAACTTGGTCAGTAAATTGAGTTTTTACTTGGAATAATAGGATGAAAAATGTATTAGGAAAAATCAGAGTTAGCCAAGCATCTTTCCAATGACAAGATGCTTTGGAGGCAAAAAACATGCAACCAAAGCGATCTCTGTGATTGAATCAGCCTCGTCATCTTGATCATCATTCAATCTCTACGAGTCAATAAGTTCAACTTCAACTCTAGCACATAAATTTAGTGGAATTTAAAAAAAACAGAGACCTTGAGTTGTTTGATTTTAGGCAATTTTTTAGCCAAGGCCAAAAGTGTATTGTTGAGCAGGCTCTCTTTGACTACGGCCAGGTTGTCCTCGGGGCCAACGATGGAGACAAGCGAACCAGCAAACCTAATGTCAACCTTGTACTCCTGCATCACCTTCTGAATGCTGTCCTGCTCGTCTTTCATCTTCCTGAACATTTTCTCGGTCATCAACACATGCTTCTTTTTCTATTAATTTTATGAAGTTTAAAATCTTTGACTTTTGCAGGTATGTAAAAACTAACCAGCTTTCTGACCATTTTCAAAATGTCCTCCCTTGCTGCCTCAGCTGTCTTTTGGTTGGAAGAATTGATTGTGATGATATTCATCTCAGCATCACCCTCCTTTGCGAATTTGATCTGCACATCATAGTCCCGGATGATTTTATTGATCGCAGAACTTTGCAGACCAGTCAAGTTTTCTAAGAAGTCAGGGTCAGGGACGTCAGGGTTGATCTCAAGCTGTATAAATAAAGGTCAGTAAAAATTGGGTTTAATTTGAGCAATTAAAATATGTTTAAGCATCTTCCCAATGACAAATCTTCGGACGAGAATAAACAACAATAATAATAAGAGTGCTTTGGAGGCAAAATGAAAACTTGCAAAGCGGTCTCTGTGACAAGATCAGCTTTGTTATCTTGATCAACTTTTGAAATGAGTGCAATCAAAACTGCATTATAATCAAGCACCTCGATTTGAAAAGGGCGCAGCTCCTTCTCCTCAATCTGCTTCTCAATTTCCTTGTTAGCTCCCGACACGCAGGCTGGCATTCCTGTGACTGTGATGAAGTCCAGTTGTTGCTCGGCTGGTGGAATGTCGATTCGCACATTGTGCTTCCTCATCAGCTCTTTCATGTTGCCACTCTTATTGCCCATGATGAATTCGTGGTACTTTTGGGGCACGTTGACTTTGACAGCAACAACGGGAGCCAGTTTGAGCAGTTTCTGGACGTCGTCCGCTCGGTTTTCCAGGGGCGCAGCATTGAGCGTTTCTTTCCGACGCACATTGCATCCCTTCTGGTGTTCAGATGGCACGGAAACCTTCACGGACTCTACCTGTTCGAGCAGCTTCTGCAAGGCCTTCTCGCAGTTTTTCCTCCCTCTGACTACGACAATGCCACTTCTCTCGTCAGTGGGGAACATGACTTCCACACCAAACTGGCAAACGATGTCCTTGAACTTCGGGCGCTTTTTCAATTCTCTGAAAAGCTCATAAGGAATATGGCATTCCACCTCCTCCTGTAAACAATCAATGCTTTCGTTGTTGTCATCCACAACCTCAATTCTAAAATGTTAAAAAAAAATTGTCATTTATTTACTGTTTGATGATTATTTCTTCAAAATTCTTACTTCTCTTCCTTGAGACGTTCAGGCACTTTTTTAGCTAAGTCCAGCAGGCACTTTTCGATTACGGCCAGGTTATCATCTGGGCCAACGATGGTGACAAGGGAAGCAGCGCTCCCAGAGAACCTAATGTCAACCTTGTACTCCTGCATCAACTTCCGAATCTCCTCGTCTTTCACTTTTATCTCCCTGAACTTTTTCTTGGTCATCTGCACCTGCTTCTTTTTCTATTTTCGAAATCAATATCTCTGACGTTCACACATATGTAAAAACAAACCAGCTTTCTGACAATTTTCAAAATGTCCTCCTTGGCTGCCTCCGCTCTCTTTTGATTGCCAGAATTGATTGTGATGATGTTCACCTCAGCATCAACCTCCTTTGGTAATTTCATCTCCACACTATGGTCCCGGATGATTTGACTGATCACAGATCCTTGCAGACTTTTCAAGTATCCAAGAAAGTCTGGGTCGAACTCAATCTGTTCAAAAAAAATGGTCAGTAAATAAATATAGTGTTTAATTTTGATTGATAAGATGTAATTTTAAATACTAAGTGAAATCAGAGTTCAAGCTAACTAAGCATCTTTCCAAAAACAAGAGTGCATTGGAGGCATAACACTTGCAACCAAAGATATCTCTGCAATTGGATCAGCTTTGTCGTTTTGATCATCTTTCAAAATCAGTGCAATTAAAGTCTAGCAATGAAAACTGCATTATAATCAAGCACCTTGGTTTGAGAAGGGCGCAGCTCCTTCTCCTTGATCTGCTTCTCAATTTCCTTTTTAGCTTCCGACACACAGGCTGGCGCTCCTGTGACTGTGATGAAGTCCTGTGGTTGCTCGGCGGGTGGAATGTCGATTCGCACATTGTGCTTCCTCATCAGCTCTTTCATGTTGCCACCCTTCTTGCCCATGATGAATTCGTGGTACTTTTGAGGCACATCGACTTTGACAGCAATGTCTGGAACCGGTTCAAGCAATTTCTGCACGACGTTTTTGAGGGGTGCGAGGGCAGTTGTGTTTTTTGAACTTTTAACCTTTTTCTCCTTCTTTTTTAGTGCCTTTTTAGACAAGGAAGTAAAAAATGCTTCGTTTTGAAGATACTCTTTAAGTTTGGCCGGGTTTTCCTCGGCGCCAATGATGGTGACAAGACTCTGGTCGGGATCAGCAGCGTCCGAGAATCTGATGTCAACCTTAAACTCCTGCATCAACTTCTGAATATCAATTTTGCCCTTCTTGCCTCTCAACTCCTGGCAGAACTCTCTGGAGATCAACATTTGCTCCTTTTTCTGTTTTTCCTAAAAAAGTTATGTTTACAATCTTTGATTTCCTCAAAAGTAGGATGTAAAAACTAACTAGCTGGCTGACAATTTTCAAAATGTCCTCCTTGGCCGCTTTGGCTTCCTCCTCATAGCCAGTGATTGTGATGATGTTTTTTTCAGTATCACCCTCCTTTGGGAATTTGATGTGCACATTGCGGTCCCAGATTATTTGCTTGATCACGGATCCATTTTTGCCGATTAGCGGTCCATAAAATTCGGGATCAACCTTAATCTGTTTCAAAAATTGGAAACAAAAACTTGATCGATAAATAGGAAGTTAACTTTAGATAATGGTAGCATTTAAAGAGGTGAAATAAGATTTAATAAAGCATCATTCCAATGACAAGATATGCTTCGGAGGCAAAAAACTTGCAGCCAAAGCAATCTCTGTGATTGAATCAGCCTCGTCATCTTGATCATCATTCAATCCGTCTTAAACTCAAGCAAATAATTTAGAATTAGAATTTTCTAAAAATATACCTTGAGTTGCAAAGAGCGCAGCTCCTTATCTTCTATCTTTTTCCAGTGTTCCTCGATTTCCTGCTTGGCTTTGCCCACGTAGGCTGGCAGTCCCGAGATTGTGATGTGGTCCAGATGCTGGTCAGGGTGTGGGAAGTTGATGTCCACGTGGTGCTTCTCTTTCAGCTCATTCACATTGGAGCCTTTCTTACCGATGATGAAGCCGTGGTACTTGCAAGGCACATAGACTTTTACGGCCGTCTCCAATAGTAGAAGCAGCGCCTTCTTGGCCTTCTCACAGTTTTTCCGTCCTCTGATTATGACTTTGTCGCTCTTCTCGTCTGTGGGGAACATGACTTCCACACCAAACTGGCAAATGATGTTCTTGAACTTCCGACGGTTCATCAATTCTCTGAAGAGGTCATGAGGAATATGGCATTCCACCTCCTCCAGTAAACAATCGAGGTTTTCATTGTTGTCGTCCAACCTCTCAACTCTGAAAAGTTCAAAAAAATTATCATCTACTGTGTTCAATGTACTCTAAATTCTTACTTCTCTTCCATGCGATTCCTACTAAACAAAACATAACCATCTTCCTCCTTTTGTTTGATTTTAGGCACTTTTTTAGCCAAGTCCAAAAGTTTATTGTTGAGCAGGCTGTCTTTGACTACGGCCAGGTTGTCCTCAGGGCCAACCATGGTGACAAGATTCAGGTGGGGATCTGTGTTCTCTGAGAACCTGATGTCAACCTTGTACTCCTCCATCACATTCCGAATCTCCTTGTCTTTCGTTTTCATCTTCTTGAACATTTTCTTGTTCATCAACAGCTCCTCCTTTTTCTATTTTTGAAATTAAAATCTTCGACTTCCACAGATATATTATGTAAAAACTAACCAGCTTGCTGACAATTTTCAAAACGTCCTCCTTGGCCGCCTTCGCAGTCTTTTCACTGCTAGAATTGATCGTGATGATGTTCATCTCAGCATCACCCTCCTTTGGGAATATGATCTGCACATTCTGGTCCCGGATGATTTTATTGATCGCTGACCTTTTCAGACCAGTCAAGTTTACTACGAAGTCAGGGTTGATCTCAATCTGTTTAAAGAAAATGGTCAGTAAATAAATAAAGGGTTAAATTTTGATTGTTATTGACATGCAATTTTAAATAATCAAGTGAAATCAGAGTTCTAGCCAAACATCTCTCCAAAAACCAGAGTGCTTTGGAGGCAAAATAAAACTTGCAACTAAAGATATCTGTGATTGGATCAGCTCTTTCGTCTTGATCATCATTCAAAATTAAAGTTAGAGTACTTTAAGTTAATGAAAACTGTATTATAATGAAACACCTCGACTTGAAAAGGACGCAGCTTCTTCTCCTCGACCTGCTTCTCAATTTCCTTTTTAGCTTTGGACACGCAGGCTGGCGCTCCTGTGACCGTGATGAAGTCCTGTGGTTGCTCAGGAGGTGGAAAGTCGATGCGCACATGGTGCTTCCCCGTCAGCTCTTTCACGTTGCCACCCTTCTTGCCCATGATGAATTCGTGGTACTTTTGAGGCACATCGACCTTGACAGCGACGACAGGAACCAGTTCGAGCAGTTTCTGGACGTCGTCCACACGGTTTTCCAGGGGCACAGCATTGGGCTTTTCTTTCTTGCGGCGTACCCGGTGTTTTGATGGCTTGTCAATCTTGAAGGTCTCCACCTGTTCGAGCACTTCGAGCAGCGCCTGCTTGGCCTTTTCGCAGTTTCCCTTTTTCCTGCCCCTGATTCGGATTTTCTCGCTTCTCTTGTCTTCCGGGAAAATGACTTGCACGCCAAACTTGCGAATGATGCTCTGCACCCTGAAGCCGTTTTTGCCGATCAAGTGGCCGTACAGCTTGTGAGGAATCAGGCATTCCACCTCCTCCAGTGCACGGACGAGGCTTACGTCGCCGTCGTCCAGCCCTTTCAGTCTGAAAAAGTTACACATTCATCGTCTGTTCCATCTTTATATTTTTAATTCAGACTACTTCTTATCCATGTGAACAAACGTAGCAACTTCTCACTAATAAAATTTTTGCCTCACACCGAATTAACTTGCTTGGCTGATAAAAGTAAAAAGGTCCGTCGACGTTTGTCCGAGATAAGTTCAGATCTGAGACTTGAGGCACTTGAACCTTGAGCTTCTCATTCCCTCTTCACATTCGCTACATTGTACAATCTGGTTTTTGGTTATTCACCAAAACCCAAAAGCACGTCAACATTAATTTTCACATTGTAAACAAATGGCCCGACAAAAGACGCATGCGCATCATCGATCATCGATCAACCATTTCGGCAAACGTAAACAAATCCACATGGCCCGAGAAAAGCAAAGAGCCTGTTTGTTATTTTCCGAATAAATTGTGATTTGCCATCTCTAATTCCTGCGATTACAGTTTGAACTTGTAAAAGGTAATTATTGAAACAAAAAGATTACCGAAAAAACACAGACATTTACATGCGCCTAAAGACAAGAGAGATGTCGTGCTTTCCCAAGAATAATTTTGTTCTTCACTTTTCAGGGTACAAATCAACCAAGTATGGGTGACAGTGACTCTGACGTGGCTCTCTCGGACGATGACTTTTTCACCGGCGAGGAGAAAAAACTCCTGCAAAAGCACAGAAGCAACGTCAACAAAAAGCGCCAACGCACCGAGGCACTGCTTTTTCAATTTTGAAATTATTTTTTCTCATCTTAAACTCTGCTCTTCAGGAGGCAGTCCTTGGCTTTGACGATTCCAATGATGAGGAAGAAGAGGGGCCGGTCGACGCTGACCAAGAAATGGACAGTGACGAGCAAGCCGGCGAGAGCGACGACGACTTGCCCAATCTGCAGGCCTGGGGAAAAAAGAAGAAGTCGTACTACAACACCGATTTCGTAGACAAAGATTTTGGATGTAAATTTAATTCAATTGCTTGTTTTTAAATGTATTGAATCTAAATATTTAGCTTTGACTGAGAAGGAAGAAGAGGCTGCCAAGCTGGAGGAGGAGGAGGCTCTGCGGATTCAGAAAAGATTGGCCGAGCAGCTGGAAGAGGAGGATTTTTCGCTGGCATTCCAAGATGATCAGAATAAAGTATAATATTTTTTTTTATCATTATTTGTTAGTTAAAAATTTATTTAAATCAGGATACAGATAAAACTAAAGAAATTAGTGAAGATCGGAGTGAGGTGAAGAAAGATCTCAGCTCCATGTCGACGAGAGAAAAGCTCGAAATTTTCCACCAGGAGAATCCAGAATATGCATGTTTGGTTGAGGAATTCAAAGGTATAAGTGATGTTTTATAAATTCCTATTAACATTTTTGTAAAATTCACAGGAAATGTGGAAATTTTGAAAAATACTGTCGAGCCGATTCGAGAAATGCTTTCGAAAATTGACATGTCCTCGGCCGAAGATGGAGAGAATTTGGTTGAGGCGCTGGAAACTTACCACCAAGTTCTCGTCAAGTATTTCTTAAAATTGATTTCCGTTTTATTCCCTAAAACTTTAATTCTATAGTTACAACATCAATCTTTGTTTTTATCTTCTGCTGAAAGCCAGACGAGTGTCTGTGAAGTCCCATCCTGTGGCTCGGAGACTCTTGCAGTACCGAATCCTGCTGAGGAAAATCCACAAGAAATGGATTTTGTCCAAAACGAACAATTTGATTCAAAAGATCTTGAGTGTGGCTGAAGAGCAAATGAAAAAGGGAGCCACTTTGAAGACAATTTCAAACCAGTAATGATGTAAAAAAAATTCTTGGTGATTTTTTCTAATTGATTTCAACAGGCACAAGCTTTTTGTCGAGAAACTTCTGGAAAACATTGACATGGGCAAGGATCAGAGCAGTGAGGAGGAAAGCGAGGGTATTGGTTTGATGAATATCAATTGAAAATATTTCAAAAATTTAAATTTTAGAAGAAATGGCTGAGGCTGAGGAGTCTGAAGGTGAAAAGGAGGAGGAAGGAGGTGAGGGGGAAGTGGACGAGAATGCCAAGAGAGGGATCACATACCAAATCCGCAAGAACAAGGGCTTGACCCCTCACAAGAAGAAGGAGCTCCGAAACCCCAGGGTCAAGCACAGGATGAAATTCAGGAAGGCCGTCATCAGGAGGAAGGGCCAGGTAAAAATTATTCCAAATCTGATCAAATGGTTTCTTAACTTTTCTTTTTTACTCAGATCCGCGAGCACAGACCCGAGATTAACAAGTACGGAGGCGAAATGTCAGGAATTAAGGCGTCCGTCACCAAGAGTGTCAAATTTAAGTGAGGTTTTACTGAATAAAGAAAGATTTATTAAAAGATTGAAATAATATTTGTATAATTTATTACAACAGAGAAATTAATTTCCAACATGATCAGACATTTTACAAAACAACAAATTTGTATTAAAAACTGATGGAATTACATAAATTGTCACAGCAAATTTCAGTAACAAAACAGGAAGTTGAAACGAGCACCTCTCTGAGAAGACTCAGTCTTTCTTCAAATGCTCCTCCTCGGCCTGACCTCCGTGGTCCACTCTGCTTTTGTCAACCGGATACAGCCTGATTGAAAAGACAAAAATACAATCTTATTTTAATTTAAAGAGGACAAAACTGACCATCTCTGGTACAAATAGACGAGGAACACGGCGTCGTCTCGGAAGCAGGCCACGCGATGGGCCATCGGCATCTTGATGGTGAAGGCGAAGAGATCGTCGATGAAGGTGTTGAACGCCTTGTAGGTGAACGCCCTCCACGGCAGGTGCGCCACCGACTTGAGCTTGTAGTTGATGAACAGTTGCGGCAGCATGAAGAGGAAGCCGAACGCGTACACGCCTCGCACCAGGTTGTGCACCGTCCACGAGTACCAACTTTTAATTTCATCAAAATTAGAAATTCGAATTAATAGATAATTTTGACCAACCCAGTGTGGGGTTCGTAGAGGAGGGAGTAAATGGCGCCGCCGACACACATGGGCCACAGGAGGTACTGCAAGTAGGACATGCACTGCTGGTCGAATTCCTGGGTCTTGCTCTCGGCCTCACCGGAAGGGTCCTTGCGCACCCCCCTCCAGGAAACGTGAACCCTCAGGCACTTTTTCGCTTTCCAAAACTGTCAAAGATTTAAATTTTTTAATACGAAAATTCAATTTAACAATTTTGAATTTTACTTCGACCATGGTGGTGAGTCCTGCGGGCACGAGGACCAGCATCGAGGTGTTTTCGTCCACCAAGTACATGAAGATGACGGCCTGGCTGAAGGCGCGCCATAGGATTGTGCGAGTGGACAGTCCGACCAAGGATTTGGTTTGTCTCCAGAAGCTGACGTCGTTTTTCAGAGCCAAAAAGTCAAACAGCAGCTGGACGATCATAAAAATGATTAATCAGCTTTATTATTATTCTCAAAATTGTTTACGTGGACTGCGGCGACAAACATGGTTGTGCACAAAAGGTAAATGTTTGTGTCAGCGAAAATTCCTTTCACTTCGTCAATGTCCTTTGCCGAGAAGCCGAATTCCTTGAGCGAACGCAGTCCACTCTCCAGTTGCAACATCAGTCTGAATAACAAGATTGGTAAAAATTGAAATTGTTTTCTCGGTTTTTCACCTCAGCCTGCCGACTGCTATGGGGGCGTAGGCCAAGGTCACGTTGGCCTCCATCGTGTCCTTTTTCACCTCGACCAAGTCGGAAATTCTGCTGCTCAAATAATTGTACTGCATCAGCGGCAAATAAGTTCCATCCGGGGCCAGTCTGCAATTTTCAAAATTAAATTGAGTTTTGCTCAAGCAGAAATGAGCAAACCTTAGGAGGTAGGCCAGCTCAGGAGGAAGGTCTCTCATGGGCAGAGGATAAGTTTCGGCGAGGACGGTGAACTGGACCGTCGGCTTCATGTGCACCACCGGCGTTTTAAATCTATCATTTTCCTTTGAATTATTTTTTAATTAATAAACAAAATTCCAAATAAATTTGAGTACTTTAAGTGTTTTCTCTCCTTCCTTGTCACCGAGCAGTTTAAAAGTCTCGGCTTGAGGGACTCGGTACTGGGTGATTTTGGCGAAGGCGGTCACCGTGAAGGGGTCCTGCATCAGGTTGATCCACAGACCCGTGCCGTGCTTGTTCTCCCTTTCCTTGGCCTTGCCCCAGTCGGCGGCGGCCACGAAAACGTGCAGATACAGCGACCCGTTGTTCCGCACCGATTGCGGCAGAGGAATTGTCAATTGTCTGAATAATTATTCAAATTATCAAAAGATTTAAAATTTTTTAAATATTATTTGTATACTTTTCAAACTCTTCTTTGTACTCGAAACTTCTGCTGTTGTAGACCAACTTGACCTCACTCTCGACCGAAGGGTTTCTTCGAACTGATGTGAATGCAAACATCTAAAAATTCAGAAAAATTTATTAAAAATTTTTGTGAAATAAAAATTTTTACCTGAAGTTTCGGATCCTTGGCGAGGAAAGACTGAATGCAGCTTTGCCCGGGGTGGCATTTCGGAGGAATAAAAAGCCGGGCGATGGTCCAAATGGAATGGGTCATGTACGCGATGAAAATGCAAGAACCGACGAGGGTGAACGAAAACTTCATTTTTCCCCTCTTTTTTGACAACGTTTTTGAGTGGGAAAATGAAGGCTTGGTGTGATTTTCGACGCCGGGGACCGTCAAAATCGACTCTGGACGAGTAAAAGACACATTTTCTAGTCTCCGAGTCACTTACGCTTGATTAATACCGTCATTTATACACAAAAAATTTCGATTACACGCACACAGAGACCGACGGCATAAATAATACACAATCCAAGCAGTGCTGCCAACAAAATTTGCATCGTTTGCAAAACACGAGGACCCGTTCAGCAAGTTATACTAACAACATTTCAAAGCAAAGTTTATTTATAAAAACTTAAATTGTTTATATTAGTAAAATTTGAACTATTTGAAGATAACAAATCTTTTAAATCTGAAAATTCACATGTAGGAATAATTAGGTTGGCATCCCTGATTGCTGATTATTTTCACAGCTGGACAGATTTTTCTTGTTCTCCGAGCAGAATCGCAGATTAGGTGATCAAAATTGCGTCGTTTCGCGAGATCGATGAACAATGTTTCTGCGAATTCGGCTGTAAATTTTGGTGCTTCACCCGAGGAAATAATTTATCTTTTCATCTCGCTCTCTTTTGATCGCGTAATCTCGTCGGCCGCTTTTGGCTTTTGATGGTCTCGCTTTCCAGCCAGATTTTTATATTTTCTTTTATTCTGTTAGGTAAATATTTTCACTGTTACATAATTTGGCGTTTATTTATTTCGCAATCACAGATTTCATCAATTGCAAGTGCCATGAGCTCGACTGCGAATTGCATTGAGACGGAAAACGCCGTCTGCGAAGAGCGGACCAGCGAGGAAGAAGCCTCGGACGCCCAAAAACCAAAGAAAAAGACGCGGCGGGGCCGGAAAAATAAAAACAAACTCTTCTCCTTAGAAAAACTGCAGCAAGATGCTCATGAGTACCCCGATCAAATAATGTTTTGTTTATAATTTAAATCATTTTTAAGTAGATCAAATGTGGACTGCGTCATCGAAGCAATTCGAAAAGTTGCCGTGTCCGGTTGCGAGATGTTGGACGTCGTTCTTGGCACAGAAACTAATGTTGCATTGCCTAACATAGGTAACAGGATTAAATCCTCTTGGTAATTTGATTTGTATGAAAAATTTATTATGCAGAAAAAGAGGATCCCGGTGCAGCTGGCTTGGAAAAGTACTTTGCTGAAGAAATCGAGCAAATCGAAAACCAGAGCAAATCGGGAGAATCTCCTGCCAAACCCAAGAGGAGACCCAAGGCCAAAAAGTCTGCCTCAGGGACCATTGTTGAAGGTTCTGCCATTATTGAGATTCAGCCTGCTGAGGAAGCATTGGAATTTGAAAAGCAGAAGAAGAGGAAACCGAGAAGCAGAAAGAAGAAGGAGGTTATTGGGACGGTTGAGGAAAAGGAGCAGCAAGAGGTGAACAAGAAAAAGAAAACAGCAGAGGGGAAGGAGAACCAGTTGGGGGAAAGTCCGAGCAAATCGCCCAGAAAGGGAAAAGGGGCAAAATCGAGATCGCCGAGAAAAAGCTCAGGAATGGACAACGAAAAGTTTCCTGACTATTGGCAGGAGGAAGTTGTCAAGTCTGCCCTGAAAGAAGGAACTCTGATCAAAGTGGGTTGATTTTTTGTTCAAAAAAATTCCAAAATAAAATTTACAAATTCTTCATAGGGGACTCTGCGAATAAACAAGAAAAACTTCAAGGAAGGCTACATCAAGAACCCAGAGGGTGGGCTGGACATTTTCCTGGACGGGGTGAAGGCCAGGAACAGGTCTCTCGAAGGGGACGAAGTTGCTGTCAAAATCCTGCCTGAAGAAAACTGGAAGGTGAGAGAAAAACAAATTAAAGCATTCTTGAATATTTCCAAATGATTTGTTTTCTTCAGAATCTCGGAGAACGAGGTGTCCAGAAGTCAGGGGAGGTTATTTTCATCCTGCTGAAAATGCACCACCGCAAGACTGTGGGCTGCCTGAAGCCTCTGCAGCACAAGAACTCGCCCTTTGCCCTGCTGGTGCCCCGAGACTACCGAATGCCTCGCATTCGAATCCCCGTCTCGCAGTGTCCGCCCAACTTTGACAAAAATCCGGACATGGTTTACCAAGCTGAGATTTCCCTTTGGCAAAACACGACCTACGCCTTTGGGTAGGAAATTGAGAAGAAGAAAAAAAAATTGATCATAATTTAATATTTTGCAGGAACTTGCTGAAGCTGATCGGAATGCCGGGCACCATCGAAGTGGAAACCCAGAGCATTTTGCTGGACAACGGTCTCGACGTCACTCCGTACGATCCCTCCTTCAATCAGTACTTCCCTTCGCAACCATACAAAATTCCCGAGGAGGAATTCAAGTACAGAGAAGACTTCAGGTACTCATTATTTAGCTGAACTCAAAAATTCACTTAAATGTAAGAAGTATTAATTCTTTATTTACACACAATTATTTCCCAAAATCCATTGCGGAGTTTTTATTTCATTTGAGTTGCAAGTAATAAATTAGGGAAAAACTTGTTATTTTTAATTAATTTCTTTTAATTAAAATATAATAAATTAAATCTTGTCTTTTATTTAATTTATTTGTAGAAAGCAGTGCATTTTCACAATCGATCCAGCCACGGCAAGAGACTTGGACGACGCAGTTTCCTTTCGAAAACTGGAAGGGGAGGAGGGTTTCGAGATAGGGGTGCACATTTCGGACGTGGCGCACTTCCTCACCGAAAACACCCCTCTGGACGAAGAAGTTGGACAAAGAGCCACAACCACCTACCTAGTGCAATCAGTGAGCAATTGTAATTTTAAAAAATGGGATTCTTATCCGAAATTTTAGGTTTTTCACATGTTGCCGGTGGAGTTGTGCAGGTTGTGCTCTTTGACCCCCGGGGAGGACAAACTGGCCTTCTCCGTCTTGTGGAAAGTGAAGCCGGACTGTTCCATCGGAGAACCGCGCTTCACCAGGTCCGTGATTCACAGCTGCTGCCAAATGTCCTACGAACATGCTCAAGTAGAACCAGTTTTCTTTGATTTTATCATAAAATTTATGAAATTTCCTCTCAAGGCAATCATAGAGGCGCCTGACGACAAGGTGTGGACTGAGGAGGAAATGCCCAAAGTGCACCCTCCGCACTCAGTCAAGGACGTGGTCAACGTTGTCAAAGGTCTGCGGCCGATCGCACTGAAACTTCGGGCGGGCAGGTTTGAAAACGGCGCGTTGAGGATTGACCAGCCCAAAGTTTCCTTCCGGGTGGACGCCGAGACGGGGCTGCCGTCCGAGTTCAACATTTACCAAAACATGGAGTGCCATAGGTAGGATTAAATTTTTTGAAAAAATCTCTCTCATTGTCCAAAAGATTGATCGAGGAACTGATGCTGCTGGCCAACATGGCCGTGGCCAACCACCTCTTCAACCACTTCCCGGACATTGCGATGCTCCGCAGCCATCCACCCCCTCATGACAAGCTGATGGAGGAACTGAGCAATTCGCTGAAACCTGCCGGCATCGATCTGGACGTCAGTTCCTCGGCGGCCATCCACGCCTGTCTGGAGAAGTTTTTGGCCCAGGAGGATGTGGAGACCAAGGCCATCGGCTACGGACTGTCCGCTCTCTTGGCCAAACCGATGGCGGTGAGTTCTGATTTGGGACAAATTTTGAATTTTTACAAGTTCTTAACCAAAAAATTTGAGTTAATTTTAAAAGTAATGAATTGAGTAAAAGAACTTTTAACTTTAATTCGAATAAAATTTCGCCTTGCAGAGAGCTAAGTACTTGTGTTCGCAAGACACGCAGGCCGAGGACCAGTGGCACTACGCCCTCAGCGTGCCCCTTTACACCCACTTCACCTCCCCCATCAGGCGATACGCCGACGTCGTCGTGCACCGACTTTTGGCCGCCTCTCTCCAGTACACGCCCCACCCAGGCTGGGACCCTGACCACGTCGCTCAGTAAGAATTTATTTGCAATTTTTAGCCCAAAATGAAGTTCTTTTGAATTAGAATGGCCAGCGTTTGCAACGGGAAGAAGTGGTCGGCCAAAACGGCAGGCGAGAAGAGCATCGAGTTGTTCCTGGCCCTGTACCTGGGCATGCACGGGGCCATGGTGGAGGAGGCCGTCGTCCTCAGCGTCATGGACTACAGCCTGGACGTCCTCGTCCTGCGAACAGGCTCCACCCACCGAGTGTACACAAATGTATAAAAATGGTTTCATTGATTCCAAGGTGGATTTTAGAATTGTTAAATTTCAGAAATTCGACGCCAAGGAGGCGAAAATCGAGCACAATGTGAAGGAGCGGACGGTCAAAATCAATTGGCTCCAGCCCAGCCAAGTCGTACAAACTGTCAAGACTTTTTCCGTCGTCCGTGTGGAGCTGAGCAAGGCGTCTGATCTCAAGATCGTGTCCAAACTGGCCAGTCCCGTCTCGGCTGACGAGCAATAATCATCAAGAGGCATTTTGTTGCATTTCACACTAGAGGTGGCTGTGCTTTAATAAGTCATGTACTTTTCTCTCTTCCGACGTGGCGGTTTATCATTGGAATTTTTAATCATGTACTTAAATTGACAAAATCTGCATTGTGAGATTAAATTTGAAAAGATGTTTTGATATCATTTGACTAACTTTATTAAAGTAAATTAGAATTAGAGAAAAATCTAGAGTTTCATTCCATGCTGTCCTCGTCGCAACCTCCAGTTTTTATTTTCTTTTCGGCCGGCTCGTCGTTGCTCTCTTCGGTCGTCTCTTTCTGCGCCTCGTCTATTGTATCATCATTTTCTTCTATAAAATATTAATATTCTAAATTATTTCAAATGGTTTCAGTTGAATTTACCTTTAACAGACTCCCTTTCGGCTTGTGACGCTGAGTCTCGAGTTCCGTCTTCCGAATCCCAAACTCCTCTGCTGTCGGTATTCTTCGACTCATCCTGCGTTAATTATTTAATAACAACACATCATGAAAATTTTGAAACCCACCTGCTGCTGATTGATGGACTTTTTGAGAGAATTGTTTTCCTGCGTCAAATTTGCCACCGCTTCTTTGGCAGTTTTCAACTGCTGCTGCAAAAAGTAAATAGTGCCCTGCATTCCCTCCACGTCTTCGTCCAGCTCTTGCAGAAATTCGTCCAATTCTGAAGAATCATAAGATTAAAATAATTAAAATTTTAATTTTTAATATAAATAAAACAAACCAGATTGAGATTTCTTGACTTCGTCACTGAAACTCTTCTGCAGGGCCAGTTCCCCTTCGAGTTTTGCGATTCGGCCGCTGCTAATGACTTTTCCCAGCTCTTCGTTTTCTTGGTACAGCAGCCGACACTTGGCCATCAGCCTCTTGCCCGTGTTGCTGCAAATAATTTTTTTTTAACGTAACATATTTTAATTTTGGAACAAATCGAACCTGTCCGGGGTGAATTTCCACGCACTGAGCTCATTCTGCGTCTCCTCCAGTTTGGTTTTGGTCGCCGAGAGCTCCTCCCTCAGCTTCTGGACAACGGTGCTCACCACTGGGTCGTACATGGCATTGCGGACGGCTGCGATTGTCGGCACTTGCGCTTGCAGCATCGTGCTCAACTGAGACTGAATCGAAGGAAAATTATACACAAAATTTCCAATTATTTTAAGAGTTTTCCCAAACCTGGACTTCGTTCAGCTCCTGGTTTTTGTTGCTCAAATTGTAGGCCAGCACCCTTTGGCGGTGCTGCGAGTCGGACAGCTGCTTCCTCACCAGTGACAAAACATCCTGCAGCTTTCTGATTTCATCTGGATAAAACAATCTAATTTATTTAAAAACCAAAAAATATAATAGAAATTCGTACTGTCTTTGTTGGTCACTTGCAACTCGAGGTTGTCCACGTAGACGTTTTGCTCCGTCCAGACGGCGAGCACGTCACTGTCCAGCTTGCTTTTCTGCTCTTCGGACAGGGTGGATCGCAGCTTCGGGTTGTTGCTCGTCGAGTCTTCGTCCATCGGCGTCTCCTCCTTGTGCTCCGTAGAGTTTCCATTTTCCGACTTAATTTCTCTGGCCGGACTGCTGACTTTTTCCACTGCCACGGAACTTTCGTCCGACATCTCTTCTAAACAAGAAAAAGATCATAAAAATTACGTTCGAATTATAATTATAAATTTATTGAATTCTACTCACTTTTCTAGACGGATTGGAAAGTTTTTTTACTGAAGAACGATTTATATGAGCAGAAATTAACAATCTTAGTTAATTTTGCAAAACATTTTATCTGCAATTTTCCAACTTTTGCACTTTCAGGTTCTGAAGCCGGCTCGAGACTCGAGAACAACAAACGTGGTGCGCATGTGCAGAGGGGCGTGTTTATTATTGTCTTCCCCCACCCCTGTCCACCCCCGTCGGCCCCGTCGGCCTGTTGATGGCCCAAAACAGATGTGACACTACTTTTTCCCTCTTTCTCGTACGTGGAACTGCAGTTTTATCGCTTTTTTCGAAATGTTTCTGCCGAAAGGACGGACTTGTCGTCTCGTTGACGGACGCCGACGCCAATTTTCCTTCAACTGAGCAAATTTTCCAAACATCTCACGGTAAATATTCGCCTGAAAATTTACATACTTTTTGAAGTTCCAGAACAAACATTATAGTTTCCGATAGTTTCATTACACGTATGACATGTTTATGTATCTGTGCTTTGCACGTGAAAACATAATAATTAAATTCTTCAGTCATTAATAATTAATTCAATTTCTTGCACAGATTTTTTAAAATAATTCAAAATATTTTTGTCTAATTTTTACTCCTTTTAAAACTTTTACCACTTTAATTTTTTATTTTACATGATATTAAATTAATTTCCAGGCAATTGACTGAGAAAAATTCGCCACCATGGGAGGCCAGGTGATCACCCTGGCGAACAGCATTATCGGAGTCAGCATTTTGGCCATGCCCTTTTGTTTCAAGCAGGCAAGAGTTCCTGTTTTCCTCAAAGTGATAAAAAAAAAATAACATTTTTCAATTTGCAGTGTGGCATAATTTTATCAGTCCTGCTGCTTTTGTTCAGCAACGTTTTGACGAGGCTTTGTTGTCACTTCCTGGTCAAGTCGGCCTTTCTCGCTCGCAGAAGGAACTACGAGTTTTTAGGTAATTTCCTCCCTTTGTTTTTTTTTTTCAATAAAAATTTTTAATGAAATCTCCCCCAGCATTCCACACGTTCGGGCCGACGGGCAAGTTGGTCGTCGAACTGAGCATCATCGGATTCCTGTTGGGAACCTGCATCGCCTTCTTCGTGGTCATCGGAGATCTCGGCCCGGACATTCTGGCCAAAGCTTTCAATTTGGAAAACTCGCCCAAGTTGAGACCCAGCGTTTTAGTTGGTTCGAATTTTTTGAATTTTATTAATCCGTAAATATATTAAAAATCTACGTCCGCAGTTTTGGCACTTTGCGTTGTTCTTCCTCTTGGTCTCCTCCGCAATGTGGACAGTTTGAATTTTGTCTGCACAGCAAGCGTCCTCTTCTACCTCTGTCTGGTTTTAAAGGTTTCATTCAAGTCTTAAATTTTAATAGTTAATTTTGAAAATTTCTTCAGGTCATAAGTGAAGCCACGCCTCATCTCTTGGCCTCGGACTGGCTCGAACATGTCAACCTGTGGCGGCCGGCGGGAATTCTGCAGTGCGTCCCCATCTTTTCGATGGCTCTTGCTTGTCAAACGTGGGATTTGCTTTTATAAATTTTTCTCTTAGGTGTAAAATATGTTCTAATTTCAGTCAAGTTTTTGAAATTTACGACACTCTTCCCGACGCCAGTCCATCTCGAATGAATGAAATTGTTCAAGCTGCGGTCAATATGTGCACAGGGGTGTACATAAGCATGGGATTTTTCGGATATGTCGCTTTTTGCACCACAAATTTCACAGGTAATTATTTCATACCAAGGGTGAAATCATGATTGTCAAACCAATTTGATTTGTCGAAAAACTAAAAATATGGGATTATCTTTGTTGCCAATTAAAATAAATGTATGCTCTTTTCACTAGACTTATATAACTTATCACGCCTGACAACTTTGTTTTTGAATATTTTTGTGTAGGTCAAAGGTTGAGGTCATTAATTTGCAAATTTAACACTTAAACTCAATTTTCGTGGTAGAGGGAAAAATGTAGCTCTAAGTGTGGAGAACAAAATATTTGATTTTTTTAATTTATATTTTTAATTGAAAATTAAAAAACTACAAATTTGCTATTCTGCAATGTAATTAATGTTCAAACAATTCAGTTTCTGTCAGAGATACGCAAAAAAAATTGTAAGAACAAAAAGTGTTTCTTTTGACCTATAACCTATCCAAATATGTATCTATCATGCAGGTCAGTTCACTGAAGGTCATTTACCTTGGTGACCTTTAACCTAGAGAATCGATTTTGCTAAATATTAGTGCTTGAAAAAAATATACTTTTGAAATTTTCAACCTGATTTCACCCATAATTTTAATGCATAATTACATTAAAATATTAATAATTAATACATTTTAGGAAATGTGATGCTGAGTTTTTCTCCTTCGATGGTCACTGATGTGATGAAGCTCGGTTTTGTTCTTTCCCTGGCGTGCAGTTTTCCGCTGGTCATTTTCCCCTGCAGGGCCAGTTTGTACTCTCTCCTCTTCAAAAGGGTAAAATTCTTCTTAAAATTAAAAAAAAAAGCTAAAATTTACAAATTGCAGGTGTCGTCGTGGCATCCGGAAGTTGTGAGCGGGCCGACGCACATTCCCGAGACGCGCTTCAAGTGTCTGACCCTGTTTCTGGTGACGGTGTCCCTGCTGGTGGGGCTCCTGCTGCCCAACATTGAGCTCGTGCTGGGCCTGGTGGGGTCCACCATCGGCACCATCATTTGCCTGCTGCTGCCGGCGCTCATGTTCACGAGGATGGCGCAGAAGTACTCGAGCGAGCGGCTCGTGGCCCAGGTCATCTTCTTCATCGCCGCCGGCATTTTGGTCCTGAGCACGTACGCCAACCTCTACGCCGCCGACAAAGCCACGACCGGAGAGATGAGCGCGGTCGTCAGTTTTAAACCGCCAGAGTTGAAAAAGGGAATGCAGCAGATCGACCTGAACAACATCAACGAACCTAAAAGTTGGTTTTGAATTAATTCAAGGATTTCTTTTGTAAATTTCGCTTCAGTTGTTTTAGGAAAAGGTGTGATTGGAAGTTTGAAGGACTCGCCAAAAAGCAGGGTTGAAGTTATTAAAGAGGATTTGGAAAAGAAACTGAAGAAGAAAAAGCCCGAAACGGAGAAGAAAGGTTTTTTTTAATTATTATCATTTTGAAATTTGTTGTGACTTAAAATTTCAAGCAGAAGATATGATTCGAGTTGAGCCACCAATTCCTCAGGAACCGAAGGAAACTCCTAAAGAGGAACCAGTTGAGAAGGAGAAAAAACCTCCTGAAGAACTCAAGGTTGCAGAAAAAGCACCGGAGCCTCAGAAAGTGGCCAAGGAAGAAGTTGCCGCCCCTCCCGTGCAAGTCGAAGCTGTCCCTGAGGTTTCGGAAGAAAAAATAATCAAACCTGTTGAAGAAAAGGTTCCACAAGTGAAAACTGTTGAGAAGCCTCATGAGCAGGTCTTTTGGTTTTCATTTGTTGAAAATGTTTTCTGATTGAGATTTCCTGCAGGTTGCTGCTGATGCAATTTTGAAGGACGAAAAGGAGCAGGCCGAGGAAGAGCCAAAGCACGTCGACTCTGGGGCTGAGGCCAAACTTTTGGAGAAACTTGCCGAACACGAGCAGAAGCAGCAACAACTTCTAGAAGAGCAGCAGCAAATCAGAAAAGAGTTGGAGGAGCACAAGAAGGAAAAGGAAAATGAGGTTTGCCAGTTTTTCATACAAATTTCTGTCAGAATTTAATCATCAATTCCAGGCCAATCAAAATGAGATCGAAGAGAAGCCGAAACCTCCCAGGCCTTTCAAGAAATCTGTTAAGGTCGACGCTCTGAATGCGATCAAACAACCTGTGCCGAAGGTCAAGGACCCTGTTAAAAAGGTCGAGGCTGAAGAAGTAAAGAAGTCGTTTCTCGCTAAAAATGAAGAGAATCAAAACATTGGTCAAATTGTGGATGGTCTGCACAAACTTACTAAGGAGTTGAAAGGTTTGTTCAAAATTTAAATAAAAACTCAATCAATTATTTACAAAATTTCACAGAATCCATTGCCGAGATCAAAATGCAGCAGGAGGACAACAAATTAAGCAAAGCCGACATCAAGCCTGTCGGAGCCCTTCTTGAGGCAAAGAAGGCGAGAAACGCGGCTGACAATGAAGTTCTGCCCAAAAGAACAAAGCGGCAAGTGGAATCGACCGTCGAGGCCCTGCCTGTCTCAAATGTTACCTCAATGGTCGAGTTGAAAGTGCCGCAGCAACTGACCGTGTCCGAGGTCAAGTTGGCGGACGTGCAGCTCAACTCGGACCAACCCTTTGACGTCAAACCCATCACCAGAGACTTGAAAACGGTAGAAGAAAGTTTGAATAGTAATAAGGAGAATTAGCAGTGGCGAATGAGAAATTCGGGAATCTCTTGTGAAAAATCTGAATGGTTGTGTCTCCCTTACCATTTGAATTCTTGTGATTTAGTGCTTCCAACTGATTATTATTTTTACCCAGAGATAAAGTGGCGGAGAAAGACGATTTGCTTGCATTCCAAAATAAAATTAATTTGCAATTTTTTATTTGATTGTTTTCTAGATCCTGCACAAGTACGACTCGGCGTTGGATTAGTGTTAGGGTGGCAGAAAAGCGCAGGTAGGACTTGACACGTTTATTATTTCGTAATTAGATTGCTTTGCGGGGTACAATTTTTTATTTCAACGTTAGGCAACCTGTGCAACATCCGAGACGTGCGGGTTGCATACATAAAAAAAGACCCCTATTGATCGATTGACCGCGAAAAGGTCGACGGCCGCGAGCGACGCGATCAGGCCGACGATGATAAAACGGAGGCGTAAATTGCGTACAAACCTGCTTTGCAAATTTTCCAAATTCCTTCAAATGCAGATCGAGCGCCTTCCTCGATCGGCGCGGCGAATCAGATTCTCAGCCCCGCCAGAAACACTGCACACCACAAAGTGGTTTGACAGTTTTAAAAAGTGCATCTGCAATCAAACTATGCAGTATAAAATTTCTATTCTAAAATCATAAGAATTATAAGAAACATCAATAACATTTACTTTTATTGGAAAAATTAAGACTACACTAAAAATAATTGCGAAAATCGTCACTAAACTCTTCCATGGCAGTTCAAGTTGTGAGTAAAAGTTGCGTAGAAAATTTAGGGCCAAATCTTGGCGCCTGGGAAATAGTCTATAATTAACAACTAATTACTAAATATCTGGGAAATATTATCTCGAAATTACCCTGTTTATTCCGACATGCTAAATTGTCATGCAATTATTAGGAATTAATGATTTCTCATGATGACAAATTAATTATTGGATTTGCGAATCGATTTCTACATCGCATTATTAGTAATGAAACTGATTTGTCGTAAGTTTTACACACCCTTATTCGAGGTTTTATTATAATAATTAGCTCGTTTTGAATCCATAATTTCAATTAATTTGATAGAGCAGCAAAAAGTAGGTGAGCCCGATCTCCATCAACTGAAAATTTAATTTTAAAATAGAGCAAAAAATTCACTTAATTTTAAAATTGACTCACGACGAGGAAAGTGACCATGTTGAGCGAGTAGAAGGGCCCGACCATGAATCCCAGCTTCAACTGCGCCATGCTGGACATGATGCTGACGTCCTGCACCAAATCCGGTCCGTAGTTCCACCAACTAATCGCCATGCAGTTTGTGCTCACCAGTTCGCCCTTGAAACATGTTTGTTTTTAACATTTGATTGATTTTTTGAAAATATTGTTGCCTCGGACGTGACCGTGTCCGCGTGCCAACAAGCAAGTCCCAGGTACAGGGCGGTCGTCACGATGTTCTGGATCAGCGCCTTGATCATGATTGGGTACTCGTTCGGCAGCTTCAAAGGAAACTCAATGTCATTGAATTTTACTTAACAATAGAACTTTCAAAGAACTTGAAACGTTCAAAAGTCGATCAGAGCCGAAACTGTACCTTGACAAAGTAATAGCTGACGGCGCAGAGTGAGTAGAGGAAACTCCACACGTCCAGCAGCATGACCAAGGCGAAGATGGCGTTGATGTGGCGGACAAAGTGGATGCACCGCTGGTGCTGCTGGACGGCGTACCTGACCACGTCGGCCATGTCTTTGTTGCTCAACATGGCAAAACGCTCGTCGTCGTCGCCGCTCCGGACGGCGGCGATTCGCAAAACGCGGTTCAAGTGCTGCAGCATCTTGGAGGCGAAACTGATGAGCGAGATGACCAGGGCAGCGAATCCGTAGACCAGGTAGCCGAGGGCGACGACCGATGCCACCTCCGCCGTGTTGATCGCGCCTGTCCCCAGAAGAAAAACAAATTTTGATTTATCCGGCACTTCTTCATTTAATTTGGGCTTGGATGAATTGATTTGGATAAAATTTGGCTTTCAGTGTAGAGAGAAGAAGTTCCGAAGTATTTAGAACAATTATCAAAATTGTCTTTTTTACAGGGGCTCAAATTTTGGAGCTTAAAAAAAGGAGATATGGAAAATTGAAAATATCTCGGTTTCTGTGAGAGATAAGTGTAAAATTAAAAGGTCCAAATTTTTTAGAAACGAGGCGATCTTCAACTTTTGCTATGGTGCCCAAGGTCGCAGGTCAAAGTTCAAGGTCACTTTTTCCATAATTTATTTTTAAATTTACTGCCAAAGTATCTATTTAATAAATATTTTGAGTTTAAAAACAGTCAAAAGTTTTTAGTTGGGAAAACTTCATAAAAATTGGCATTAGTATCTTGTTCCGTTTTCAATTTATTAAGGGTCAAAGGGTGAAAAACGTGGTTTTTTGAGCTTTTGCAATACACGATAGCATTTCATTGACCGTTATTTTCATCAGATTAGAGCTAAAATAAGATTTTTTTCTTATAATGTTCCTGCTGACGTCCTCTTTCAAAAAAGGTGTCACACTTACTGGAAAACGATATGAAAAGGTCACTAGGTCACCGAGGTCAATGACCTTTTGTGGCCTGGTCAGCATTGTGTAATACATGGTTTGAAAAAACTTGTCAAGGAGATCATTTTTTGTCATCATACTTTTTGTACTATGTCTCACAGGAAAAATGTTAGGTTTGAAAATTTACACTCAAAAAAGCTCAAAACTCCAAATTTGTTTTACTTTCGAATACAAACCAATGATCCACTGCTCGAGCTCGAGTCCTCGGGGCAGCCAAATGGGGATGAGGATTTCTTCATTGGGGTAGGTGTTCATTTCGGCGACAATCAAGGCGGGCACGTTTTGCAGCAACGAGCACACGACGAGCAGAACCAGCAACCACGGCGTTTTGCCCACGTCCCGATTGTAAATTTGCACTTCCGGTTTGAGGACGGCAGGGTAGGGCACGTCTTTGGTGGTGGCTGAGAAAATGTGCATCAGGGAAATCTTCAGTTTGCACATGGAGCTGGCCTTGAAGAGGGCCATGAAAATTCGCAAGGGCACCATCAGGCTGAGGATGAAAAGAGGCAAAGTGTCCTCCGGCGTCGTCAAGATCTTGACGGTGGCCAAAATGGCGAGCACGGTGCCGCTGAAAAACACCACGTTGCCGTAGATTTTGCTGAGAACGACGCCGATTCTTTTCAAGCTGCGGCAAATTGCTCCGCGCAGAGACAAAGAAGAAGAAGGTCGCTTCTCTGGCTCGTCGAATTGAAATTCTACGGCGGACATGAGCACCTCGCTCACCACAAAGTGCTTGGATTTCTTCAAGGTGTAGTGAGGCATGACGTGTGCGACAAAAGTTTCAAGCTGAAACATAATTAAAAGAGAATTAACTTGTTTCAACTTTGAATAATATCAATTTGAAAGTTTTAATTTTTTTTCTGTTGCTCGAAGAAATGTTTGAAATCACTAAATGCCGCAACATAATCATGATAATAAAAAAAAAAATATGCTCGTTACTCAACCAAAATAGTCCAAATTGATTAAATAACCGATTATTTGTGTTGAAAATATTAATGTGCGCTAAATCATATAAATTTCCAAGAGAAATTAAGCTACCTTCTCAAACAACTATATAAGCAAAAAAGTTACTCGAAATATTTGATTATTTCTCTGCAAAATTGACCAATGTTTTGGGGTAGATAAAATAATGATGAATATGGGATTGATTCAACTTGTTTCCAAACGTTGAGCGCTGCGAGTGAACTCACATTTTCCTCTGCCCTTCAGAAATAAATAGAAATTAATATTCCTGTGGAGGGATTAAAGGATCCTTGCAAGCTGCGCATAATTCTCACGCTACGGTAATAAGTTCGCGACACGCACCCAATCACTTATAAATTGAACCCTCCCACTCTACATTAATAAATTTGAGTTTGTTTTTCAAACGGTACTGATTGTGAGGATAAGAACCTAAAATTCTTGACGAAAGTGTTTTGTCAGAATTGAAGGAATGAATTTTAGGAAGGGAAATAATTGCAAGATCATCATTTTTAAACAATTCAAAACCGATTTTATTAAATAAACATCATTTTCAAATAAGCCACTGAACCACGGTGCGGTGTTGAAATAGCCGCAGCGGTCAAGCACGTCGCACCTGCGAAATAAAAAAATGCGCGTTCAATTTGTATTTTATTTGAATTAAGCGAGTTGCGCTCTCACTGCTCGTTCTCATGCCGCGTTGGCGAAAGTTTAGAATTATAAATCATTATTTGCATCATAAACAGTGCAATTATTAAAATGTTCAAAAGGAAGCTCAATATCTAGGTGCAATAAAATATTATTGTACGCAGAGAGGGATCCTTTTCAGCAAAAACGCTCGCGTCAGACTGATGGCGTCGGTCGTTTTGTTGTACTTGCGTGGTCATAAATTTTGGATCCGTGACTTGCAAAATAATATATATAGTTTTGTAAAAATTAAAAATTGATCAAATTGTAAGTATTTTTCGGTGAATTATTTTGAATTTCGCGGAAAATTTCATTCAAAAAACACAGATTTTGGTACCTTTGACCACTGGTTGGGAAAAATAGGCCATTTCCGCCGGCAGAGAGGCCGATTGCGTAAATTAGTTCGGAAGCCTTAAAATTGATTTGACCAGATGCTTTGATGCATTAAACCTCAAAATACTTAAACATTTCTCACTGGGGCCAATAATTAAAAATAATTCGGAATACATTTTGGCCTAAATCGAACAGTTAGCGCAAAAAAGCTTGAACGTCAAGCCTTATATTTCATGCTCTGCTCTTTAAAGGAAAACCTGAATAGATTAGAAAATCATGCTCGCCCTAATTCAATTTTGACATAAAAAACAATAAAAGCATTTTCAAGTTGTTGCCTTAACTTAGCTGAATATGAACAATTAATTTTTGCAAGCATTGAAGGAGTTTTCAAAGACAGGTGAGTCAGTAATCGGTGAAGTCCTTACAATTCAAATTTTGCACAAATCTGGTCTTTTTCATTGGTTTTTTGCGCCTAAATAATGAAATATTTTGACAATTTGCTGACCACGGTTTGAGCAGTTGAATCGTTTCGTCGGCAGAGAAAAATTAAGCGCCGTATTTTGAACCTCTCAATAATTTCACGCGCGCATGATTTTGTATCTTATAGTTCGATGGAAAATTCGGACGTCATTTCGTGGAAATGCGTGCGATTGTGGAAGGTGTGCCGGAAGTCAAAGTTTTCACAAATTTAATTTTTGACACCTCAAATTTCTATAACTTTTAATTCCAAAGTGATATTTTGGTCTTTTGTAACTTGCAAATAGCTCTGTTTCCATTGGTGACTTGAAATTCGCATAAGTTACAATCTATGACATATTATTATAAATTTAATTCAAGCGCATATCTTTTAACGCATCATAATAGCCGGGAGAAGATTTTGTTTCTTTTTTCAAAAAGGTTCAAATTTCTACAGTTTGAAATTTGTATTATTTTATGCGGTTTTTAATTGCGGTTCACGTTAAAGTGGATCACGAGTTTTTGTTACGTTGATAATTAAAAGTTGGATTGTTTGGTCGATTAACAGCCAAAGAAGTTCTTTTATTCATTATTTCTCTAATTTGTCCACTGTTGACGAATTTTATTTTGTAATAATAATTAATCATTAATGATAAAAACTGATTTGAAATATATCAATTTTGATAAGTAATTTCTCTGGCGCGTTTTAATTCTTGTTACTGTAAAGCTTTAAAATTTAATTAAAATGGGATATTTTTTCTAAAAAAATTAAAACTCGTGAGAAACATTGAAGAGAAGCAACTCCATCTTAAGACATTGAAAGAAAAACATTTTTGTTTCAAACTCAAAACTAATATTTTATTTCGCCTTATTTTCTTTAAATTTATTCAAATGAACAAGAGAGGTCGTCAACTGGCAATTGGACGTTTCCCGTAGCTAATTACGTCAGATAAGTGACGGTGGTGTTGAAATAGCCGCAGATTTTCAAGTTGGCGGCAGCGGTGGTGCACGCCGCAGCTGAAATGAAATTTAAATTTAATTGCAAACCGTTAAAAAACAAAGGATATCCGCGTTTCTCACTGGTCGTTCTCAGCGTCGGCGGACACGACTGCGAAAAGTTGAAAATTATAAATCATTTGAATCATAAACCGTGCATTAAATAAAAGTTTGAAAAGGAATAAATACATCGAGAGGGGTCCTTTTCAGGCACTGCATCAGCAAAAACGGACGCGTCAGGCTGGTGGCCGTCGACGTGCTGTTGTACGGCGTCGTCATTGTTTTCGGCACCATGGCTGCGGAACATTTGTTAAATTACTGCTATTTCTGAAAAGCACTTTTATGACAAGCAAATCTTGCACATGAAGTCATAAATTTAATTCTTTCCGCACCTTCGACCACAGTTTTGCAAAGTTTGGTCATTTCTGCGGGCAGAGAAGCGGACGCGACCGCCGGGGGTGCGCCTGCGCTCAACATGTTTGCTGAGAAGGCAGGCGTGATCAGGGTGACGATGTTGTCGTAAATTATGTTGTCGCTCGCGTCGATCTGCCAAAATTGACGTAATTTTCAAGAAATCTAATAATTTGAATTTCAAAAAACCAAATTATTCTTCAATCGGAAGAGACATTCATTGACGGCCTGAAATACTCAAATTTTAAAATAAATTTGCATTAATAAAATTATTAAAAATCTTACGAAAAGCGGTCCAATCGCATTCTCTGTGAAACACGCCAATATTTGAATCCAAAATAGATATCATTTTTTTTTTAATTTACTTGTGGCCGTCGAATCGAACACGAAGTTGTTGTTGTTGTCGTAGAGCGAGTGGAAGTTGAAGTTGGTGAAGGTGAGAAGTCGGCGGTCGGACAAACCCTTGGTGCAAGTCGTGATTTCCGCGTCGGTGAAGAATCGGCCAACACTGCCCTTGCAACAGCTCTTCAGAACCTGGGCAAATTTGGTTAATCAAGAGAGAGAAATAATTCACGAGAATTAAAATCACTTCGAAATTCTGCTGGTTGCAAATTGGTGCTTTGGTGGTTGTGGGAGGCTTGGTGGTCGAGGGTTTCTTCGTGGTGGTGGCTTTTGGGGTGGTCGGCGGTTTGCTCGTGGTCGGTTTCTTGGTCGTGGTTGGTTTCTGGGTGGTCTGACTCAACACTGAAGAGGAAAAAAGGAATTAATCACGGTCAAGTTTTGAAATTTTTTTTTTAAATAATAAAATACCGTCGACGACCAGGAAGAGTAACTGCGAGTGTGAAAAATGATTTCAAACTTATTTCCAAGAGAGTTTTGCGGAATTATGCATTGGGATTTCCAGGGAATGATACTCACAATGGCGGTGGTGACCTGGCGGCGCATCATGGCTTTTGGTCCGTCGGTCTGCTCTGGGCGGAGGAAAGTTCCGCTCTCGTTTATATACCGACCGACCAGGGCTCGCATCAGGATGCGCGGCTGTCATATAAAGTTGCATGAACTGGGGCATTCCGCGCTTGAATTTTCCGTATCTGAGGGAAAATCTTCACAGCAGACATTTTGTCCAAGGTTTAGACTTTGGACAGGCCGGAAAGTGTGAAAATTATCACTCGGCGCGTCGCGTTTTGATTTAAAAAGCAGATTATGAAAACTCTTACCACATTTTTCCTGTCAAAATCATCAATATTTAATTGAATTAAAACGATAAACTAAAAAAATTTGACTCAAATATGATTGAAAAAGCATCAATTCTATAATTTTTAATTCATCAAACAGCCAATTTTTAGTCCTTTGAACGCTAATTTTCAAATCAACAATATTTTAAAAACCGCTTGTTAAATTTTTTTGAACATTTTTCATCCTGATACAAAAAGATTTGGCGCATCTTTCGGCTGTCTCGGATTTTTTGTCAGGTGGCCTATTTAAAAGGAGCATAAAACTTTTTATTTTGACTTTGGCCAGAGTAAATGACCGTTGGCCTAGAAACTTGGAGACCGTTAGGAAAAAAATCATTGGTTCATTAGCTCGATTGTCCCACCAAGGAAATTAAAAAAGCTTTATCCACATTAATTTGGCTGTAGTTTTTGTGAACCATTTTTATCTCTGGCGGCCATATTGGAATTTGACCAACTTGAATTATTTAAATAATTGCTGGGTATTGTGTGAAACTAAATATGAACTATCTTGATATTTATTTGCAGAAATCAATGAAATGAAAATACAAAAAAAATTATTTTGATATTCTCGGATATGCGACAAAATTTAAAAAGAAAACTGAAAAACCTCGTTTCCAGCCTAAAATCGAATTTTGTTTTCTCAAATTTACGCAGTGAACCCAAATTTCCCACTCATGGTGTCTAAAATATTAGTTTTTGAACGGATTTTTCTGCTTTAAAATGGTTTCACATCCTCTTTGAGCAACACTTAAATACTTAATTGTAAAAGAAGCAGCCAGAATTTGGCTAGAACTGGCCAATAGGTTAATTGTCTATCATTTTGACCGTGTTGCCATTGGCCAGGAGGATTTTTGCTAGCCCAATTCTGGCAAAAGATGAGTTTGGAAAGTGCATAAACAGAAACCACCTTTTCGCTTTTTTAGCACAATTTTTTAGTAAAAAACCCTTAATTTGTTTCACATCACTCCTTTATTTAAAAAGTTGAAAAAAATTAAAAATCTTGAATCATATCTATGTGAGATAAGTGACGGTGGTGTTGAAGTAGCCGCAGATTTTCAGGTTGTTGGCAGCGGTGGTGCACGTCGCACCTGCGAAGTAAAATTTATTATTTTTATTGCTTTTCAATTTGAAAAAGGCGAGTTCCGCTCTCACTGGTCGTTCTCAGCGTCGGCGGACACGTCTGCAAAAATCGAGAGTTATAAATCATTTGCATCATAAAACCGTGCATTAATTGAAACAATTAAGTTTGAAAGGGAAGCACGATAAAATTTAGTACATCGAGAGGGGTCCTCTTCAGGCACTGCATCAGCAAAAACGGACGCGTCAGGCTGGTGGCGCTGCTCGTTTTGTTGTACTGCGTGGTCATCAATTTCGGCACCATGGCTGCCGAAATTTTAGAAAGAAAAAAACAATTAATTTGTTTGATTTGCCTGTTGCAAAACGCAATGTTAAAAGAAGATTTGATAATGATATGTTCTAAAAGTAGTAAAAATTCCAAAAGAACTAAATGTGACACAAAAGTTTGCACCTTCGACCACAGTTTTGCAAAGTTTGGTCATTTCTGCGGGCAGAGAAGCGGAAGCGACCGCCGGGGGTGCGCCTGCGCTCAACATGTTTGCTGAGAAGGCAGGCGTGATCAGGGTGACGATGTTGTCGTAAATTATGTTGTCGCTCGCGTCGATCTGCCAAAATTGAATCGTTATTCAATAAAAATTATTATTTCATTCCAAATGTACGAGATTCTTCTTCCCTCGGAAAAGACATTCATTGACGGCCTGAAATATTCTATCGAGTTTTAGTTTTAATTAAAAAATAAATATTTCAATACGAAAAGCGGTCCTAGAGCATTCTCTGCAAGAAAAGAAGTAATTTTTAATCAAAAGTTTGATTCTTTTGCCATGATTTCTTTTACTAGTGGCCGTCGAATCGAAAACGAAATTGTTGTTTTTGTCGTAGAGCGAGTGGAAGTTGAAGTTGGTGAAGGTGAGAAGTCGGCGGTCGGACAAACCCTTGGTGCAGATTTTGATTTCCGCGTCGGTGAAGAATCGGCCAACGCTGCCTTTGCAGCAGCGTTTCAGCGGCTGAAAGAATTTCAATTAAAGCGCAAGACAATTACTTTAAAGCATTTTACCTCAAAGTTCTGCTTGTTGCAAATCACAGGCTTTGTGCTTTTGATTTTCCCCAAAGCTGCAGGGACATTTTTTGCCAAGGTGGTTTGACACGTTACTTTGAGCACAATGGGTCAATTAATGAACACAAATTTTAGCTAAAAAAAAAAAAATACCGTCAATAAGCAGGAAGAGCAGCTGTAATGCAGAATTTGAAACGGTTTTACTTGGAAATGGGGAAAGTTTTAGTGGAATTTTCGATGGGAATTCCAGTGAAAAAAAACTCACAATGGCGATGACGACGGACTCGCGGCGCATCATTTTGTCTGTCTGGCAATCGGCGTTTTATGCGAGCACGTCAAAAAGTTAAATAATTTTTCTACGCCGCGCGGAGGCAAAATTTTATTGTTTCCAACCGCGTCCTTTTGTACAAATGTGCAGGGAGGCCGGAAATTGTGTTAAAATTTCATCTAATCTTGAACTTTTTTTAACTGGGTCACGAAACAAAAGCTTCTTAGTTTAATTTATGGCTTCTGATAAGCACACTGATGTGGGAAATAAAATTTAAAACAGTTAAACTTCTTCATATTTTTATGATTTTTATTATAAAAACGAAATAAAAAATCATTCATGTACTTTTACTTTCAATTATTCATTTTAATAGTTTCTTAAGAAGTAGAAAACTTTTTTACGTGTTCTATTTAATTTAACAATCGTTCCACAAATTGAACAAGTTTTAATTGTAGGTAATGCTGGTGTTGAAAACTCGGCACATATTCAATATTGGCAGGTTTTTCGAGCAGAATGGGTCTGAAAATGTAATTTTTTTTTTTCATCAAAATGCCATAAATTGATTGGGAAAGAATCAAACCTTTCGGAGTTGCCAGCGACGGAGGACAATTCTGAATTTTTTTAATGGAATTAATTAAAATTTGAATTAAAAATTTTCTCACGTCCAGAAGAGTTTGGCGGACGCATTGGTTGAAAATGAGCGGTTCGACGGTGCAAGTGGCGCCACTTTTCGTCGTCACCGGCTCAGTCAAGTTCATCGCTATTGTTTTAAATTTAGTTTTTTTTTATCGTTTTGATGGATAAAAATTGCGTCAACCTAGGAGTTCTGCGCGGCACTTTTCCGTCACCACTTGCATGATGGCCGCGGGTTGCGTGGCGTCCCTGTACCTGCTCGGCACGGCCTTGGAAAAGTGTGCGGCCGCCAACGTGTAGTTGATTTTCCCGTCGCCACCGATCTGTCACACACGACAACAATGAAATTCAACATCAATCAAAATACGAATTGCGCACCAAATCGAATCCTTTGTAAACGCACTGCGTGATGCACTGTGAGAAATTTGTAATAATTTCGTTAAAAATTTTCAAATTTTACGCACGGCCACAGTTTGGAAGGCGTCGTCTGAAATTTCCAGAAAATTAAACAAATATTTTCAAAATATAATTTAAATGGAATAAGGAGAGTTTTGAATTGATATCGGACTGACCGTTGAGCATCTTTTGCACGTCGAGTTTGTTTTCATTGTCCATGAAGACGTAAATGTAGTAGCTGGCGTAGGAAAGGAGCCTCTTGTCCGACTTGTCCTCGGGAACGCAATCTTGGATGTTGCCGTAGGTGAAAAAGTTGCCCACGTTCTCCTTGCAGCACTTTCGCGTGTTCTGAATTATAAACAAACAAAATAATAATCAAAACTTTTAATTTAGAATAAAAAAAATACCGCCAATTTCGGTGCCATTTTATTGCAAAGCTCGCCGGAGGTTCCTTCGGCTTTCACGACGGCCGCTTGAACCTGCTTTCGTGGCTTGACCGCCTTCAAAATTGCCCTTCTCTTGCGATCACCTTGAAATATTTCGACAACAACTCTCAAACTGTAGAAAAAAAACACGAATTTTTTTATATTAAAAGTCAATTATTACCTAATTCGGATCCCAACGACGACTGAAGATTCAAATTTAAAACACCAAAATATTTGTAAATTTTAATAAAATCGCTAATGAATATCTTAATTTTACCGCTAATATGGCGAAAATCGCCAACATCAAAAGGTTTTTCATTGCTGCAGCCGTGGTGCTCACCCGAGTCCTAATGTCTAGGTCGACTGATCGACTCGCACTTTTATAACTGCAGCGACGTGACGTGTTTTCCCCAGCAATTTGACCTTCCAATGTGTTTTCCAATCAAAACGAATTTCGGGGAATGTGCGTAAACTTGACCCATTTCCACGTTGCAAAGCGATTTATATAAATTTTTACGTTCAAAATTTCACTTTTTTGCGCATTTCTATCCACAATAAAATTGTCATTTTTTACAGCAAGATTGATTTATTTATTCTTGAAAACGGTCAAATTTTCTAACATTAAATTAAATTTATTTGTTGAACTGCAGCAGAATTAGCAAGTACGTAACGGAGAGTTTGAGTATCTGAAAAACAAAATTAATTAATCAGAATTAAAAATTGAGAAACTATTTGGGTTTTACGGTGAGAAACGTTTTGAGGTTGAGTTTGTAAAAAGGGCCTGCTTTTAGATAGAGGGGGTCCCTGGCCCTGGTGGACATTATGCTGATGTCCAGCTCGAATCCCGGCATCCAATTCCACCAAGAGACTGAATTGCAGTTGACGCTCACTTTCTCACTCTGAAATTATTGAAGTGAATAAGTGTTTTGATTCAAATTTTTGCCCACCTCGTTGGAAATTTCGCTCGCCAAGTAGCAAATCGTGCCGTAATGCAAACAGGTGACCGCGACGGAGAACATCAAGATTGCCACTCTCAAAGAATACTCCTTTCAAAATAATAATAACAACAATAGTTTTAAGTATATAAGGTAAAAAACATACATTTAGTAAAAATTAGTAAAAAAACATATTTTCTTGAATTGGTCTGATTAATTAACAGATGAAGAAAATATTAATTATTTTTCTTGAAGATTGAAAATGAAATTATTAAAAAAAAAATAGCTATACAAGTAAAAAATAAATATCGAAAGTAAAACAAATTTAACTTTTTTTTAAATAAAACTTTCACGATTAATTGAACTCACTGACTGAATACTGTAGTAAATGACGCTGAGAATGATGAATATCATTCCCCACGTTTCCATCAGCATGACCGAACTGAAAATTTTGTTAATCCCGTCGACAAATCTGGCACACTTTCCTCGTTAAATTACAAAAATTAATCAACAATTAAATCAACCTGATGCATCTTTGGTGCTGCTGAATGGTGTAGTCAAGAATTTCCTTGACGTGCTGATTTTCTTCGGCCTCGATTTGCGGCCGCCTTTGAAACGTGATTTTGTAAAAGGGGCATTTTTTTTAATACTCTCAAGAAAAATTCCGGAGCCCTGAAAATGAAATCATGCCAAATTGGTTTTCAGATAATTTTGCTCCTCTCCCGAAATTTTCAAATGAAAATTTCATGGGCTTTTTCCGGGAAATCGAATTTCTGTAAAAACATGAAAATTTCAATATCTTTGCTTCTAATAAAAAATTACAGATAATCTTTTCAATTCCGTACGTAACTTTTTATACTGAACAACTTAAATGCTGACAACTTTTGCGTAGGTCAAAGGTGAAGATCACTAAATTACAAATTTCACTTTTGAACGCAATTTGTTGTTTATTCTACTCAAGTCATACATGAAAAAAAATTAAATTGGAAAAATGAGCAGAAAGGGTATCACAACTAGCAGAGGTCTGCTAAAACGCCCGACATCAAAAAGAGATCGGCCACCGCGTGAACCCACTCTATCAAAAAAAAAGAACAATCACGACGCTTTAAAATTGCTATTTAAAATTGCAATTTGTTAAAAGAAGCACACCTTCGATTTTTTTTCTAGGTTTAGGAAAAATGTAGCCCCAAGTATGAAGAACAATATACTCGATATTCGAAGTGGCATAATTTTGGTGAATATTAAAAATAAAAAAAATAAAACGGTAAAATCGCTATTCGACAATAGAAACAATTAATTTTCAAATAGCGATAACTTGGTTTCTGTGAGAGATACGACGAAAGTTGAAATGACAAGATGTGTTCCAAATTACTTTTCCTTTCAAACCATGCATAATTTCATCCAGATTTGATCGCACCGAAGGTTTTTGACCCAAATGACCTTAGACTTTATAATAAGGTGAACCAAAAATTGGCACAAAAATCAAATAAAAAGCTATTAGAGCAATGTTTGAATGATAAATCTTATTCAAAATATGTTTATAAGGTTTAAGGTCACGGAGGTCGGCAACCTTCGGCAACCAGACCTGGATGACCAACACATGGTTCGACAGAAAGATTGATTTGGAACACTCTTTTGCCATTTCAACTTTTGTCGTCTCTCACAGAAACCGAGCTATCGTTGCTTTAAAATTAATATCAATTTTGCCCAAATAGCGATTCTTACGTTTGAACTAAAGATAATGCGAACTTGAAAATGAAAATCAAGGGTTTTGTCCTCAACAATTGGGGCTATATGTTTATCTAGGCGAAGTAAAAATCTGCGGGTTGCTCATTAAAACATACCCAACAACATATTTAAAAACCAAAATTGGCATTTTTTCGTTATCGGGATTCGGCAATTGCCCTCGAAACTAAAATGAAAATGCCCAAAGAGATGAAAATGGCGAGCGATGCGTAAATTTATACTGCAGCATTTGAAGGGTGCGGTTCAAGTGTTGGAGGCTCTTGACGGCGATGACGAGCAGCGCGACGAAGAGTTGCGAAAAGCCCAAGTGGCCGACGGCGAAAGTGGCGATGGTGGCCGAGAGCGCCACGTTGGCCGCCACGGCCACGCCGCTCATCTCGGGCAAGAGGACGTCGGCCAGCAGTTCGCCGCGCACGATGTTGTGCTCGGGCGCCAACAGCCGCGACGCCACCACGCCCGCAGCCATCGACGCGAACGTCGCCACCATCATCGCCAACATCAAAAATGGCTGCCGTTGGCACGACCTGCGAAACTCCTGGGAATATCAAACATCAGAAACGTTGAGTTTATCTCCTGAAGGGCTGGAAAAATGGAGCAACTCATAAAATATAATTTATCAAAATTTAAGTCATTATCAACCAAATTAAACAATTATAATAGAAATTGTTTCGGAAATATGGTAAATAGATGCATGTTAAGAAATTTAATTCTAAAGACTATTTCGGAAAAGCAAATCTAGATGTTTGTCAAGAAAAACTTTTTAATATCAAGGTGAAAGCAGAAAATTTACAATTCCATACTTTATATAAGTCTATAAAAAAAATCTGAAAATTGATTTTCGAGATCCGCCACTCCGGCTTGGTTTTTAATTCCTTTATTCTGAAAGATCACTTTGTGTGTTTAAAAAACAAATCGCTTGCGAAAATATTAAGCGTTCGTCTTTATGAATGGGGCACAATTCGCAATTTTTCAATTAATTTTTTACCGAATTAAAAGCAAATCCAAAGATCTCTTTATACCAATATTAAAATCTAAAAATTATCAGTTTTTACATTTTTTTTTTAATTTCACAAACTAAAAAAAAAAATGAACCTATTTGTTGATATTTGAAAATTGATATTAGAGAAATTTCAATTTTGCCTCAACTTGGGGCACGACGGCCTCGGGGTGGGCGACGCCACTGAAGATTTCATCGACGATGGTGTTGATGTTGTCGACGTTTCTTGAGATGACGACGATTTTGATGGCCGAAGTGAGGACAACAACGACGACCATCTGCAGCATCTTGTCGGCGAGCGACTCGCGGTTGGTGAGCGCGCGGACGGTGCTGGCGACGACGACGGCGCCGCCGGCCACCAGCACGACGCCCTGGACGACGCCCTGCACCAGCCGCATCCACGTGCCGCAGGGTCGCAGGTTGACGCCGAGCAGCCGCAGGACGAAGCAGGGCGCGCGCAAAAACGGCCACGCGTCGATCTCGTACTCCATCCTATTGTGACGGAGAAAAGCTCAAAATTACAAAACTTGAATTAGTAATTCAACCAAGGGAAGCGACACCTGCCGTAATTATATACACACACGACGAGAGAGAATGCTTGAATCAATTATTCAGCAGCGGCTTCTGTTTGTTGACCTATTTATTTTTTTCTTCAAAATTTATTAAATGAAAAAGTTAATGCTTTTTGAGGTCAAGGTGAAACTCTGGATTGAATTATTTATTTTCAAATTAAAGGACAACAGAACCCAAGGTTATTCCTTTTTCATATATTTCAAAATATCCCACAAAACCCGAATTTTGGGAATTTTTTTCAAACGGTTTTTTCCTCAAAATTATGCTATGAAACTTAAAATGTTTAACTTCACCTGGGGCATGGTAAGTGATCAAGTAAGAATCGCAGAGTATAACAATCTAATTTTTATCATAAATTCTTGTCAATTGAGATGATAAAATGATGACATATGAAATCGATGCAAAATTTGCCTGACGAGTCCCTAATTTTCATACAAATTTGCACGAAAATTGATGTGGTTTTTACTTGAATTTGAGGAGCGATTTCGTGCAAATTGGTCCTTTTCTTCGAATCAGCGGCATTTGGGGCGATGCTGCGTTTCGGGGCGCACCGCTGTGCCGGTCTGCGGGCCCTGCACGGGGCGGGCCTCGTCCTCGGCTTCTGGATTCCGAGCCAGGCCGGGCCGGCCCCGTCGCTGCTGCTGCACCGCGTCTTCTCCGCCCTGCTGACGGTCGCGTTCGTCGGCCAGTCGCTCTTTTCGCTCTACATGACCGTCTGCTTCACCGTCGACGGCTACGTCACCGGCGTCCTCTACGCCGTCAGCCTCATCACCGTCCTCAAACACCTCTTCTCCATCGTCTACTTCCAAATACGCAGAAACCGCCTCGTCCAAATCTTCGCAGAACTCCAGGTTTTCAAATAAATTTTAATTTACTGAATTACTTGCGCATCGTTCAATTACTGAAGATGATTAAAAATTTATTAAAAAGTTAATTTATAATTTTATTAACAATTTTTAAATGAAAATATTTTGAAAATTCCTTCAAAAACCCCACAAAATGCTGCAGATATTGATTTGAAGCAATTTTTCACCACTGAAATCAAATATTATAATTTAAATTTTGAACAAACTTGATGATTTTTTTATCAATAACTTTCATTTTTTTTTTTTTTTTTAATTTAACTGAAAACGTTACTTTCACTTTTTGTTTGTTTGTGCGTTTTGACTAATCAATATTGTCAGGTGGTAATGGACAAGTACAACTACCCTTTCGTCGACCTGCAAAGGATGGCGCGGAGAGTCTCGTTCAGGAGTTTTGTGATTTACTTCCTCCTGCCGTCGGCTTACATCGTCCTGATGAGGAGCAACACCATCAGCTTGGTCGAAATTGTCCGCAACCCTGCTGAAAATAACGCGACCGAAATTTTTTCCCTCAACCAAAGCCTGGGCACCTTCAGGAGAGATTTCCATCGGTACCTTTTTTTAAAATTAATACAATTCCCAGTTAAATGATTTGATACAGATTTTTCAATCACCACTCGGAGAATTTGTTCCGAGTGGCCATTTTCGTGTCCACCATGTCGAACCTTCGCGAAATCGCGGCCAACGCGTTTCTGATGACGGCTTATTTGATCATTGCCGAGCAAATGGAAATCCTGACCGAGTGTCTGCGGCGAATTCTGTGGCCGCCCCACTTCTTAAAAGTGGACAGAATTTTTGGGCAAAAATTTGGAAAATCCGCGGTTAACCTGGAAGTGTGGCAGGAATTCCAACAAAAAACGGCCCGGTTTTTTATTTTCAGGAAAAAGTTATTGCAATTTTAAAGAAAGGAAATTTTTAGAGTTTTGGACGAAATCAACCGATTTTCTTCCCCAATCACGGTCATTTCAATCGGATCTTACGTCGCTTTACTCACTTTATCTGCTTTTGCACTGACAAAGGTAAAAATTAATACTTTATTTGAAGTTCTTCATTTAAATTTCAAAATCGATTAAGATGTTTTCGGAACCGGAATTCGCGACCAATTTCATGACCGGATGCATTCTTTACTTGACGGAGATTTATTTGTACTGCGAAGTCGGTCACCGAATCAAAAAGCAGGTGAGAACTATTTTCTAAAATAAGCAACGAAATTTAGCCAAATTATAATTATTGAATATGTTGTTTAGTTCGATAAATGCTATCAACGTCCTCAAAAACAACTTTGTAACAAGTTTAATTTGAGCACAGAACGATCTCAGTCACGCCTCTTGACATTATCTCTTGATAATGCACTTTATAAATTTTATAAGAGTTGATTGGAAATTTGTTCTCAAAGGTTTCTTGGGTACATCTTGACACACCTTTAACGAAACAATCACTTAATTAATTCTAGCCCTTAAAAAAAATGCCTGAACAATTAATCTGTTCTTTTCACAAAATTTAATTTAAATTTTGATTTAATTTAATTTGTTGTTGAAATTTTGAGGCGGACGCGATGGGCGACGTGATTTTTCACGGGCCGTGGCTGCGATTGGAGGCGCACGTGGTGCCCGTGGTGCATTTTCTCAGCCTCGACTGCCAACGCTCGTTTTCCGCCGTCGGCGGCCCCTTCTTCACCCTGTCCTTGGAGTTTTTCGCCACCGTCGTCGGCGCATTTTTCACCTACTTCATCGTCGCCGTTCAAATCAAGTGAAATTTAAACAAGAATCTCGTTTTCTTTTCTTAAAAATTTATTTTGAAAATTATTTTATAAACATTTCATTGCTGCGAGTTTTCGTACTTGAAGTTGCCGACGTTGTTGCCGACGGTCATGGTGTGCGAGCCGGTGGCGATCAGTTTGCCGCTGGCACAGTTGGTGATTTGCACGTCGACGAAGGTCATCGACCTGCCCGCCCTCTTCGTCTTGGCGTCGATGGTGATTTTGTCTCCGACCTTGGCCGCGCCCATGAACCTTTTTAATAAAAAGTTTATTTTTTTCACATTTTTTAAGAGAAAAATTGAATCCTGACGAGAGGTGCATGTCGACGGAGACCCCCGGGACGCCGCCCGACTCGGTCATCTGGGCCAGGTTGGTGACGCCGTCGGTGAAGGTGCAGATGAGGCCGCCGTGCAGGGTGCCGCCGCTGTTGGTGTGTTCCTGCTCGACCACCATTTCGGCCACGCACCGCCCCTGGCCCGCCGACACGATCGTCACCTTTTTTTTTTCTCAAAAATCTCGTTTGAAATTTGCAATTTCTTGCCACAAACTTTATCAAATGAGAGATAAGAGTTGAAATCTAGAAAGTTGTGCGATGCACTTCATATTAAAACTGCTCTTTTTGATAAGGTTGTTATCGATTTATGTGCAACTTATTTGCAGTCTTATCTGGGAAAGTTTTGCGATTTTTTTTTTTAATTTAATTTATTTTTGTCCTACCTTAAAATCTTTTATCTTCATTCATCATGAAATCTAATTTAATAATTATAAAACATTTCTCAATAGTTTTTTTTTTTCGGAAGTTTTAGCAAAATTCTTGCTAGTGGTGGTGCTGTTTTGTCAAAACAAAATTTTTTCAATTAAATTGTTTTCTACAATTAAATGTAAACAATGTGGTGAAATAAACAAAAATAACAATAAATTTCACTGGAAATTTTGTTAATTTCCAGCTATTTTAAATGATTAAATGAAATTCGCTGGCTTTGAGATTAATTTTCAAATGTGAGAGTTTGGTCTTTTTGTTAAAATTAAAAAAACTTTACCAAAGCAAAACATCCGCTTTTGAAAACTAATTTTTTTTTTTGAAGTTTTAATAATTTCTATTTATTCTGAAGGTACAATAGAAATCGTGCTTCTTATATAGCATTAAGTTGATTTACATCAAAAGGAGCAATTTTTTTTTTAAAACTACGAACAAATTTAAATTTTGACCACCATAATTGTAAAGACTTTGTTAAAAAAAATTCAAATTTTCTTCCTAAAATCATTGTATAAAAAAAATTCACGAAAATTATCGTGATTAAATTTTATAGTCGAATGAAAATGAATTGGAACCTTTTTGTAAGGGGCGTCGAATCCTCCCCTGGCGCTGGCGAATCTCACGACATCCCTGACCAGTTTGAGCGCGTTGGAAGTCGCGACTTGGGCGGCCATGGTTCTTTCTCCGCTGAGGTGACCGGGAAAGGCCTTTTTATTCTCCGCGATAAGTACGCGCGAGAGGAGGTAATCGCCTCTTGGGAATTTCCAACAGATGTTTTTGCGCACCTGAACCTACTTGAACGCGTATCAGAGAGGCCAACTTTAATTAGACTACATAAACACTTAGTAAGAAAAACCGTTTGCATATTTTTACAAAAACTGCCCGTTTACGCTCTCTGAGTAAGACTTAAAGAAGCATTTCGATTGTGCTTTATATAATAAGAAATAAATTTGTTTGGCTGAATTCCTTATTTTATCACACAAAAATGAAGAAATCAAGTTTTAATTTTCATACAATTCATTCATACCATCGATAAATCGTGAATTCTGAATAACTTATTCAAAATAAAAGTCAGTTGGCAGAAGAAACGATCGAGACAGGGCGAGCCTTCCGAAAGCAACGAATTCGCTGACACGTACTCGGAGGATCAAGAAAAGGGCTCGGTACGATTGTGGCGTAAATGATAATTGTGCATTTGCGTTTATCGTACACTTTCTTTGCATTCGTCGCTTATCTGTGCTGCAAAAATCCTCCACGGGCTTTCTTTGTTCACTTTGGCCCCCTTGAACAACGAGAGATGCAACCTGCTTGGCAGTGAATTTGCGCGGGTTGCCTACCGCAGACTTTTGTTTTACTAAAAATGTGCTATACCGTTGAATCTTTTCTGATTGCGAATTAAGTGCAATGATAAATGTTACAGACCAAATTAAAGTTTCAATTACTTTTAGCACTTTTTCTTGCTAAATTTATCTGCATCATGTTCCTCACTGAAGTTTAAAGCGATATCTATTTAAGTGGAAATTCGTTATACATTAAAAAAGATTTCAAATCTACCAACTTTCAATAGCAACTGAAGTTGAAAATTTGCCTGACGTTATTAAATTCTAATTAAAAATTTGTGTGGAGAAAATTGATCGATTTTACTGACTTGATTAGAGACTCGTCAGTGCTGGGCATAGAGCCTTGGCGTAATTATCAGCGGCGGCTGCTCCTCTGCACGACAGGGACCTCCTCCCTTTCAGCCCTCTTCAGGGGCCACCTCGACGGACGCTTATGTCTCCGTCCAAAGTGCCGTTCAACAGGCGCGGCCACGGAGGTCGCTCAGGCTGTTGGCAGAACTGTTGGAAAAACTCCCGACTTGAAATTGAATTTGCTGTACAAATATAATCTAATTGGTTGAAAAAACTATGAAATTTGATTTTAAGGGCGAATTGCCCAAATGCATTTAGCTACTCGAAATATAGAACCACATAACATACGCGTCAATTTGCTAGGAAGAAACCGCGGCCTCGCGCGCGCCAGATCAAATCTCGCATGAAATTACGAGCTCCGGAAGGACACGGTGGGTTTAAAATTGGACGCAGGCCAACGGCCACTCAAATCGTGGAGGGTTTGGCCGCCGAAACATGTGGAATACAGTAGAAATAAGTACTTTTTAATCAATTAACTGATTTAAGATTACTTCTAAAACGCCAATTTTCCTTGTTTTCCTCATTAAAAAAATAATATTAATATTTTGGCGCAGAAAGGCAGAAATCCCTGTTTACTTTATTCTTGCGCTTTCCTCAAGTGTTCCATTGTCCCAAAGAGTCTCAGCGCCCTGTATTCTTTCTTATTTTGAGAGAATAATAAATCAGAATTGTTTAGTTCGATTTGTGTTTTGGATGCTTAATCATAAAATAATAACTAATGAAAGTAACTTTTGTGTTTTCACATTTTTGTTTTATAGCCATTTTTTATTTACAAATTAGAAAAAAAATCAACACACAACTCTAAGGAAATTATGTAGCATACAATTAAGAAAGCAACACAAAAATCCTTGAAGATCGAGGACTTTATGAAAGATAGTCAATAGATTGCAATTCGCTCTAGTAAATCATGCATGTTAAAAATAAAATCTCATTTCTTTGATGCAAATTTGACATTTCGCTTCACGATGCTTTGATTTAACATGTCCATACTTTAAAACCTTTTTTAGTACAATAAATTAATGCAGCCTGAAAGAATTGCAACTGTCGGCTTCAAATGAAATTCGTTAACATGAGCGTTTCCCTCCTTGACAGATTCAAAGTATTTACAGCATTGATAATTACTTCAAATTGAAACATCTGCATGAATAGTCTTTAAATGCCGAAACCAGTTTGCTACATTTTTTCCGCAGTAGCAGCAATTCCCGTCTAACCGTGATGCTCAACATCGGTACTCTCTTTTTCTTGACTTGGCAATTTTTCAAAAAAAAAAAAACCAACACTGCTGCCCTTTTCAAGCTGAAATTATTTATTCATAAGTGTTTTTCTTGTGATTTTAATATAATTGAATAATTCTCCGCACCTGCGTAATTTTTATACAGGTGTTGAGCATTTTTGTCGGCGTCTTTTCTGGCCTTCAAACGTAATAGTTTAATTCTTGCTGCGATAAAACCTGCAAAATGTTTTTTTTTATTGCTTTAACTTTTAAAAATGCATTGTACGTTCCGGTACGTTCACGAGCAAAAGTACCAAAATCTTTTAATCTGAATTATAATCCAAGTCATTTATTCTTTATTGTTTCTGTTCACATGTTGTGTGATGTGCAGGCATCAGGGACCTGGATGTGGATGTCGAGTTCTTAGAACTTCCCAGTTCCCAGTCAGTCCGAAGCATCTCAGGTGCCGTCGATATGAGCAGATCTCGCTCGGGTGCCGCCGCCGCCGCCTCGCAAAGGCTCTTTTATTCCGGATATCGTTGGACGGAACTTTTGCACATGCTGCGACGGTGATTTTGTGAAAATGCAGAATCTCCACACAATCTGCTTATCTGCCTCTGAGGTATGCTTCCGTGTCCACATAATTTTGTTAATTACTAATTTCTTCAGAGTTCCCATTTTATATACGAAGAGAAATTTTACTCCCGAATTTACAATTTATGTCGGGTTATATTTTCCAACGGCATTAATTTTTTTTTTGTAATTTTACGATCAGCTTGCGATAAATTTTTATTCAAAAAATTGTATCGATTAGATGTTTTGCTCAAATCGAATCCCTGCTTTAATGGCTATTTATGTAAATTTAATTTTCATTTCGTTTTGATTCACAGAGTTCATGAATCTCTTTCCGCTGCAATTGGGGAAGACTTCTGATGCGGCCAATCGAAAAGAGGCGGCGCCGATGTCCTGATGCACTGCCGGAGAATGCAAAAACTGTTGGCCGAATAAGTGGAGACGCACCCAGGGATTTCGACGTGGACATTTAACATAATATAAAACTGAGCAGGTGATTGATTCATTATGATTTGAAATGGTTTTGTGAATTAGAAGTAAAAAAAGCAATAATGAGATTAAAGAATAAAAATCTTTTCTGAAGGTTATTTTGTTATTTGCTTCTTTATTTAATTTTTTTTTGTCCAACTAGATTTGATTATTATGCTTATATGAAAGTTAAATCCATTGAAAAAATATTTGTTCACAAATGAAATTGTTTTATAGAAATCTGTCTTTTTCTTCTCCCTTTTATGATGGAAGAAAAACTTTGATTCTGTCTAATGTCAACCTCAGCGTTTAATTTCAGATCAATAATCGTGAGGCCCTTGGATGTTGCTACAGGTTGCCTATCGAACCTGTCATTTTCCCATCAAGTCCCGGGATGAAAGGACCAAGGTGATTCAACTGAAGCTCAATCTCATGAAAATTACATAATAAATTTAATTCTGCAAATAAATTTGAATAATCTTTTATTTTTTTAGGGAAATTTGGCGCTGACATTGCTCAAATGAAGGACTCGGCCCAGTTTCGAGGCAGACTTGGTGTTGAGCATAATAGTGCCCTTAAAATACCTTTTCTGCTCGGCCCGGAGCGATCGAGGACAAAGCCGAGGCGCTGGCGTGCAAGTGTGTTCCATTCGGGGCATCTGAGAGTTTGCAACGACTGAACTGAAAATTTTGTTTAAAAGCTGTGCCTCCTTTAAATTAATGATCTGTATTTATAGTTTCGAACATACAAAAATTCTGATTGAAAGTATAATTAATTTTGATGACTATTCGACTGCTTCGTCTATATTTCTCATGTATTATTTAAGAATATTTACTCAATCTCTGTTATTTATAAACATTCTCTTTTCTTTATATTTTTGATAAGTTAAGGACTTGCATTTTTACAACAATTGGCAATTTTTTACAATTTTATGGAACACACTTTTTTTAGTGAATTTTATAAAATTTAACAAACACGCCTCTGCAATTAATATGATAAAATGATGATAAATAAAAACCCTGAATTTTTTTCCCATCAACATAAACTTCCTTGCGTGGCACCTCTTAGATTCTGCGATGAAAAGAACCATATTTGGCTGAATCGGCCCGGGCAAATGATTTGAAATTGTAGTACCATGGCGTCTCCACTGGTGGCGCGCGCTACGTATTCTAACAAGAAGGTCAAGAAATAAGAGCACTTGTTGCACTTGTAGAAATTCGACGCAGATTTTGATCGACGTTAATCGAGACCATCGTTGAAGGTAATGACAACGTGTGCTGAAAATTAAAGAAATGCATTGTTTTACTTTTAATTTCATCCGATTGCCAAGTCTTAAATCCTCGCCTCGGTCGAAAACGAGCTCAGCCAAAATTTTTCGGCCGCGATCCCAGTAAAAAAACCGCCATGATTAATCTTTTCCCACGGCCGACCACTGCGGAGCCCCTGGCCGGGTCAGAGGACCAGAGGCCCAGACCGGGTAATCGGGGGCATTGGGCCCGAGCCCGGTGGGCTGCGGCAGTCGCGGCACCCGAGACGAGCCGCGGAAAAGATCGCGAAGCGTGGCCTCGAGGACCGCGGCAATGGCGCGCGGGCTGCGAACTTTTCCCCCCTCAATTTGGGCTTGCTCGCCACTGGAATCGTGATCACTTGGCAGATTAGCTCAGAAAGGGTCCCAGCGAAGCTGAGGGGTGTGCCCAAAGGGCCCCCGTCCTCGGGCCCGGTGGCGCTGTTTCGATTAAAATGGAATATTTTTCATGGTGTGAAAGGGTTGCCGGCCGCCATTTTGAACTCAAAATGCAGTTTGCTTCCGGCTGGATATTGCAGTTATTTCTTGCAAAAAAAGTCATTTGAAACGTAAATATTGCGATAAATTGAAAAAAAAAATGCAAAATCGGGTGCTTCGTTTTTTTGCAAACTGAGCAAATTCAATATTTGAGCACCACTTGCTTTTCGACTGTCTTCGGCACCTCGACCCTCGCCATTTTTATGTTTTGCAACTCTTTTAACCTCCTTCCCACATATAATTACCCTTAAGCCAGCTCACTCTCCACGTTAAGCAAAGTTACCTCACACTTTTATTTCAAAGCCATCTTCCTAAATTTTCACTAATATTTACCTGAGTAAAACCCATCTTACTGTCAATTCCTCCTATTAAATACACAATTCAATTAGATTAATCTCTAATTAAATGTTAAAATTAGATGTAATAAATGTATTTTCTTGTGTTTTTTACAGCCAGTCTCACCATGGATGAATGCCATCTTAAAAATGAGCGTCCCATCGACTTCTTTGTGCCAATCTTAGCTCGCTTGTTTGCGGAAAAAGGGCAGGAAGTAGAAGAAGGCCAAGAGGCTCGCAGACTCGCCAGGCTTGAAAGGCTATTGCACAACAGGCGCCTTGTTACAATCATGGCTGATTGGAATGATTTCCACATTGCCTATGAACCTGCTCGTAAGTCAGTTTGTTTTTGTTAAAAAAAATTATGCAAATTTTATTTATTTTTCGCAGCTGATGGCAATAGTGTTGAACTGAAGGAGCAGGTTTTGCACCTGATGGAAAACTGCTCAAAATTAATCGTTCATCGCGGCCCCCCTGAAGCAGTTCACTCCATGGACACTTTGCCCAACATGATCAAAGAAGTCCTTCGTCAGGGTCAGGAAATATGCGAGCGGATGGCGGTCACCATCCTGTCGCACATGAACGCAGAATTCAGACTTGTCGACGGTAACAGAGCTTTCTCTATTCCATTTATTTATCTTAAAACCGTGTTGATCAATATTGCAGACCACCACACCTGGCCAAACATGATCAGGACAAATTTGGCCAATAGATTCCCCGAATACTTGGCCCCATTAGTGCCTGCTGCGCCGACCGTTGTGATTGCGGCTCCACAGCCAAACCCTGCTGCCACGAGCGAGTTCTACATTAAGAACGTGCGCAACCTCGGTGATCTGGTGCAGAAAATCATTCAGCACTTTGTTTTCCAAGAAGTTGACAAAATGAACACACTGCTGAATAAGGAACAGATCGTCGTCCTCCTGGCGTTATGGAACAATCGCAGGGTCGGACGAAAGCCCATTCGTAAGGAACTTTATATTATTCATTACAATTTACCTCGGAGGCGGCACTTGAAGCACTCGAGCTTAGGCGTGATTATTATTATTAGGAATAGACTTTTTATTTGTGCCCTCAATAATGAGAGAGCAGCTGTAGGTCGATTGAGGTAATTGGCCTGAAAGCAACCACTGTCAATTCACACACAGCTTGAGCTCTAATTTTATTTGTGTTTTAGGAGGGCACAGTAAGGCTGATTTGAAAGACGAGATTCTCAGGCTCTTGATGGGCTGCTCAAGAATCGTCTTACACCGCCCTCGCCCAAATGACGGCGACAAAATGGACGAGTTGCCTGCAGACCTCAGGTCAGCCTTAGGTTCACTCGAGGTAATGGGTCCAAGATCGGCCACAGCGGTACTCTACTACATGAACGCAGAATTTGATGTAGATGCTGGTAAAAGTAATTGTTTAATTTATCAATTTGTTTTGCAATATTATTTATTATTTCAGACAAAAAGGACTTGCGAAGGATTGTCCTGGAGAATCTGACATTGAGGTTCCCGCAGGTCAGACCAGCCACGGCTACCAATCCTTCTGTGGAGGTTGCCCAGGCTCCCACCAACCAAGAGGAGGCCCAAGCGCCGCCGGCTGCGGCTGCCAATCCTCCAGTGCAGGTTGCCCAGGCTAATCCAGACACCACCAACCACGAGGAGGCAGACGACCAAGTTTGAACTTTTTTTTACCATCTTCCTATCTCGTCGACAGAAGTTCAATTTTTTTTTTGCTTTTGAGCCACTCTTAATTTGTAAGAAAACTCCCCTGCCATTTCTCTTTTGTTTGAATTTTCCTCAATCTCTCCATATTGCAATCATTTAAGTTTGAATCAATTGTTTAAAATTGTAGAAAATGAAGGATGTGTAATTTTTAAAATAAATTTTAGAATTAATATTTCACCTTCTTTCAGTGACATTGTCTTAAATCCATGCTGAGGCTTATGCTGCCGACTCTTACACTCGTAGCAGCTTTCAGCTGACCACTATATTTGAGAAAGTCATTTTGTAGCTTTTACATGTAAATTAAAAAAATAAGTCAAATATGTAAAACAAAAACTAGTTCTACAATTTGTATAATTCTTCGAAACTTTCATGAAATATTAGTTCACCACACGAATGAGATATAAAAACACATCTCCACCAACTAGAGAAATAATATGAAAATTGTAATTCAATGACATTTTGTTTGCTTTGTCTTGTTAATTGTGAAAAAGACGGGGGCCCTTTGCTCTTCGTTCTGCTTCTCCGCGCACGTTTTGATCCTCGGCGGTTTGTTGTAAGTGAATTGTATTAATTTTTCATTTTATTAAGTTTTGAATTTGAATGTAAATGGAACAATTGCCACAACTGCAAGAAGTGGCACCCGAGCAGCAACGGAGCTTTTCCTGTTTCTGCCTTTTCTGTGAGTTGCGGCGCGTCACGCCTCCTTCCCGCGTTTCGCTTTGAACGAAACAAAACAAAATAGCATCGCTCATAAACAAGATCGACAGCTTTCGGACAATTTTGCTCCTGATTTTCGACCGGCTGTGACCGCATCGGCACAAAGTGCTTTTGTATTTTCATTAAAGTAAAATTCAAGAGTCATTTTGGGCCATCCAGTCGCGACTCGCGAGCACCAGTCCAAACAACCCTTAGGCTGACCCTCAATTGGAGCTGGCGGAGGGTGAGCGTACCATCACCATGGCAGGGACCCTGTCTGGTGCTACACCTGTGGCAAAAGGGTGGGTTCGTCGGCGCGCTCGTCCAGAGACCACTTCGAGCAACCAACTGCTGCGCAAGTGTCTGGGAAACATTTTTGAGCAGGACTTGGTCGAGGATCGGACCACCAGGTCCCGACCTCTGTAAGGTGGTCAAAATGTGTTTCTTGAGAGTAAAGCTGATCAAATCTGGTGCAGAATTTGTGCAAGGCGTGCCACAAAATGGTGCTGAGCATTGACGAGGTGGCGAGGCAGCTCAACCGAAGGAGCAGGAGGTCATCGGCAAGTTAAAAGACCGAGGCCGAGTGCTGCCGGTCACCAAGGGCAAGAGTGGCAAAATTTCCAGGAGGCGGTATGGAGGTAAAATAAATCTAAATATTAAGTGATGCGTTTTTTTGTTTTAGAAATTTCATAAGCAGGCGGAGGAAGGGGGTTGTCCAGAGGTTGTTGCGGAGAAAACGATTGAGCCATTGCACCAAAGAAGTCAAGGGGTTGCCCGCCCAAAAAGGCGTACACCCTAGCAGCCAGAAGGGATATGGACTCCGACCATTGACTCCGACACTGTAATTTATTTGTCTTTGAAGAGGGTCATTTGTAAAACTTTTTATTCTTGAATGTGGAAAGAGATTTAAACATTAATGTTAAAGATAAAGATGGTAATTTAAATCTGCAATCAATTATTATTAATTGCATTTATAATTCTTTTAATTTATTTTTACAAAATAATAGTACAAATTTTATCAAAATCAGTAAATCACACCCCTAAAAACTTTGGACCAGGGTTTGTCAAAGGTTCATCACAGAAGTTAGTCCTGAATCCAAATAAAATAAGGTGAAAACTACAAATATTCTGCTTCTGAGCAGCAAAATCAAACTCCCCACTTCAGTTGAAATGGCACAAAATGCCTAAGGGTGGAAGTTGTTCTCTTTGTCATTCAGTGATAAGAAAATCTGCCAATGTCCTCCTTAAGACTTTATATTCTGGTGTTATTAACAAAGTTTTGCAGTTGATGAAGCGGTTGGAGGAAATTCACGGTGAATAAAAGAAGGGTGAGGTGAGGAGAAGCAAATCGTTGTCCGGGTTGCCTCCAACGAGGAGGCCATGGGCTGCAACAACAGTGACCTTGACTCTGATCCCTCTCAGGCCGAAAGGGCTGAACCTCCGGCCAAGAAATCAAGAGTGGGTCTTTTAGAGAATAAAATTGATTAAATCAAATAATTTTAAAATTGAAGGCCCATGTCATTGAAGTGGCAAGCAAGAGGGCAGGAGGCCCACTCAAGAAGAGGGGCAGACCCCGAGACAGCGATTTGGGCGTTGACGGTACACATCAAGGAGGAGGTTTTGTTTCTTCAACTAATTTTTATTGAAATAATTCTGGTTTTGATCAGGATGAGGTTGAGGAGCCGTCAGCTCTGCTGAAATGCTCGGCCTGCGAATTGAAATTCACAGAGATCCAGAAACTGATCAACACCAGAAAGAGGTTCATCCGCCGGAAGAGTGAGACGAAGAGAGCGCGTAAGCATTTTTGTTTTGTTTTAAATTTCGAAAGTTTTCATTTAGAAACCTTTGGTTCAAATTGTACGAAATGAAGACTCGCCAAGTGCGCCCTCGGACTAACCAGTGCGACAACTGCCCCAAGAATATTATGAAACCGGAGCACAACAAGCCGGAGCACTTGGCTCAGCATGGCCAAAACGGCAAGTTGTAATTTGATTCGAGAAATGAAATTAATGATTGGTTTCAGGGCTATCTGTGCCAAACGTGCGGCAAAGGGTTCGCGAGTGCGCGCAACCTGGAGATGCTGGTGTGGAATAATTATTTTATTCCTCTCTTAATTTGTTTGTTTTGACTGTGGCTGTGTCATCGGAGAACTTCATTGTTTTTTTTTTTATTATTATTATTCAATTAATTTTCGGCTTACAATTAAATTCATTTTTTAAGGGCTTTCTTTTTAATTATTCTTTTTTAATTTCTGGCCATTGATTTAAGTTGAATTCTCACGAAAACTCTGCTGCCAGTTCTCCCTTGTTTGATTTTGCGTCATTTTCTCTACGTTGGCATTATTTCAATTTTAATTAATTGTGTAAAATTGTAGAGTATAGAAGATGAGTGTCATTATTAAAATAAATTAATGTGCCACAAATAATGAGGAAAAAAAAAATTTTAAATTTGAAAATTGGCTCCAAAGTCTGCTAGTCCAGAGATTGAGAGAGTTTTCAGTTTAAAAACTTGTTGAAATTATTAGCAGCATTAAATTAGGAAATTTTCAAACTTTATAACCTTTTCTTTAAGTGACATTTTCCTAAATTCTTGCAGAGGCAAAGCCAAAATGGTGTTTAATTTGCTGAAACTGCAGTGCTTGGAGCCCAAATGATATATTATTCGACTTGGATTTACTTTCTGCTGCCAAAATTGTGCCAAGGGTTGTAGTTGTAGTTTTTCACGAACAATTTGCCCGATTTGCCTGAGGGAATAATTTTCAGCAAGGTCCTCATTATAGCACCATTTGACGTTGATCTTGATCATAAGAATAACGTTACAAGGTCATGCAATGCTGATGCCCTTAAATTGACCAACATAACAAAGTGAAAAAAATTGGTCTTCCCGTCTTCTCTCGTGGATTTGGGTCAATACTTTCTATCATTATCTCGTTTACATAATTCTGAAGGGTCGATTGTAACATCAAAATGAACATTATTGATACATATTTGGCGCTAAATTGAGGATTGTTGAAAAGGATCGGTTGGTAGCACTGTTTCTTGGCCGTGCAGGAAGGAATGGCCGTGCGCCGTGCTTGCCTCAAGAACTAAACAAACTCATTTCGCACTTCATTGTTTTACTGTTCATCTGTTGTGATGCGACATCACGGATCTGGAGGAGAATTATCTCGCGTCTTAAGAGCTTCCCAGTCATTCCTGTAATATCCGGAACAAAAGGGGCGTGCCGTCGACAAGGGCACATCTCAAAAACCGGCGCCGCCGTCCTCGCAAAAAGGCTCGTCCGGATAAAGTTGATCTCGGAAATTTTGTTCACAAGCTGCGAAGGTGATTTTGTGAAAAAGTCTTCTGCACGATGAAACACATCATCTTTTTATCTTTCTCTGATTGTGAGGCATGGTTCCGCACCCGTATTATTTTTATTATTATTTTTTTGCTGGTGAGATTCAGAGTTCCGATTTTATATACATACGAAGAGAAATTTTACTCCGGAATTTTACTGCATATTTCAATTTCATGTCAATTTATTTTCCAACAGCAATAAATTTGCTAAGGCAATCATACAAAATTTTACATGCTTTTTAAATAATTTGCGAAAATTGAGCAAATATTTACAATTTATCGCTTTAATGTTTTTCCCCCAACGGGCTAATTTATGTAATTTATTTTTGTTCACAGAGTTCTTGGTCCACGCATCATTTTACTGCTGGAAATCATGGTATTTTGGAAAATACTCTAATGGCCAAGAATATTGAGAGGATGCCGCAGAGATTTCCTGAGATGCACTTTAATTAAGCTGGACAGTGCCAATTGGCCGCTCTGCTGGCAGAAGTGGTGAGGCACCAACAGCGATTTTGATGTAAACATTTACAAGAATAATGAAACTGAGCAGGTGATTTATTATGATTTGAAATATTTAGCGTATTTAAAGTAAAAAAAAACCAACTTTAAGGAATGAGGTCTTCTGAAATTAATTTTAACACTTAATTTGCGTGTCCAACAATTTGATCAGCTTACGAGAAAGTTCAATTCAATAAAAAGTTATGCAATTGTTTTATAGAATGAAGAAAGACCTTTGATTATGTCATTTAATTTCAGCTCAGTAGAGTACGAGGCCTTTGGTTGCTGCTGCAGTTCCCTTTTGAACTTGTCCTTTTTCCACCACGAGTTGCTTGACCACCTGACCAAGGACATATATTCATCCGCTGACCTGGCCCTCAATGTGCAGAACCGTACCTCGCCCTCTTGAGCTTTCGGAAAAACCCTGAGTAGGAACAAAAGGTTGTGAGTGTCCAAAGTCATCATGTCGTTAAGTTCTTTTATATTCAAACTCCAAAGGTGCTGCAGGATTTTGGCGTCCTCTGCAGCCCCTCTCTTGATAGCCTAATGCCCAACGAGACCCTGGAGGAGTCCAGCAACCTGTACTCTTTCTGGCTTTGAGCTCACTGTGCAGACCTGAGCCACCTTATTCGGGAGTTTCTGGACAGCAGGCACCCGAGGAATGGATGACGCCCCACCATTCCGTAGGGACTGGAATCAAAGTTAAAAGTATGTAATTCCATGTCAGTGTTTCTCGTCTTTTAATTTCGAGTCGGCCTCTCCTCCGCAGTTGTGCAGGACTTTGTTTGGCTGTGACGCTGTCTCATTCACTTTCTGTACCACGGGTTGAGAGAGCATCACATGTTGATGAGCAGATGAAACAAATCAACCACCAGCAGGTCCACCAGGTGCTTGTGGACCCTGCTGAGGCCAGCATTGGATCATTCTTACTGCTGTCCAGTGCGCTCTACTTTCAGCCTCCTTCAGCAGTCGCGACGCACCTCTTCAGTTTCTCGAGGTGTCGCCAGTCGCCACATATGTGGTTTCAGAAGTCAAATTGGTGCTTAAACAATTATATTCAAAATACCTTTGCCTCGTTTGTGCGCAGAGGTTCCGTCTGGACAAGCAGGCGCCGAGCGGCTACTGACTGTTCCTGCACGAGCGCGGCACCAACAAGCGGCGCCATCCTCCTCTGGTCCGACCTGACTGACGCCAAGCGCCACGAGTACGACGCCAGGGCGGCCAAACTGGAACGCCTGCAAGACGTGATCAGGGACGCATCGGCCTGGGTCGGTCGCCGACCCAGGAAGGCTCCGAAGCCCCGACCGAAAAGACCCAAAAGCAAGAAGCCCGGAAGGCCTGCCAAGAAAAAGGTGGAAGCGGCGCCACCTGCATCAGGGTCCGACATCAACTGCCTCCGCCTTAGGAACAGCACCCTGCCCAAGAGACCCGTCACCATCTGCAAGCCAGAGGTAAGGAACAAAAAGCATTCAATTTAAATAAAATTTTCCTTTCTCAACTAAAAGGAATAGAGGCACCGCACGGAGCCCTGATTTAGAACTGGAGGTCACTTGCCGCCGACCTTCGACGGCCTCTGACCCTGGTGAAAGCCACCCTTTGGCCGTCTCCGTGGCCAAAAAAGAGAGTGTGACCTGAGCTGCAGCAAGGAGGCGTTGCTGCCCTTCCGAGGCCCTGTGCCCGGCGACGTCCTCTTCAACCCTTTCTAGGCCACCTTCGGCTGCCTCAAGTGGAGGCAGTCCTTGGCCATCACCCTCGAGATGCAGAGCTACAAAACCGCCCACCAACTTGCACCCCTGGCAATCGAGGACGCCGACACAGGTGCAAAAAATAATTTACTTAAAAAAAAAATGCAATTCTACCATGAAAGATGCTCCTGAGAGGTTTTTCGCCAGGGTCAAATTTACCTATGAAAGGATTTTTCTAATTGTTGCACTTAAATGAAATGAATTTTATGGTTTTCTAACGAAAATCCAATTTTCCCAGATTGAATAAGGCTTTGCTTTAGAATTTTAGCTGGAAGAAAGGTTATTTTAATCAAATATAATTTGCTTTTCTCAAACTATTTATTTGGCATGATAATATTGAACTCAAAATAACTATTCTCCAATTTGTTTTCCTAAAATGCTAAATCAACTCAAGTAAATAACAATTCTTAACCATTTTCATTAATAATTGAACCTTTTTTTATGCAAGTGAGAGCATTAGTTTCTATTAAATATGAAATAAAAAGAGCAATCTTTCAAAGGAGCAATCTTTTCAGATTGTTGAGCTGACAAAGAAAACCTATAACCTGAATGTTTGAAAGAAATTTCTCCAGTATCAAATTTGACAGAACAATTGTTTTCCATCTTTTATTACTAATTAATCTTGCTTTCCACAAACTAGAATTGAGTGATTTGACTGAGGTAGAGGAGGAGTGCGGCAGCAGCAGCAGCATTGATTTGCCTCCGATCAACAAAATCGCTCCGTACCTAAGTCAGCAATCCCAGGTGTCTTCACAACGTCTTTAATCGTATGCAGACGTTTTATTTAAAATTTTTTTGATCAGACCAGAAATTTTTTTAAACCTTGATAATTTATGGACTTTCCATGAAACGACATAGATTTTTCAAGAAACGTCTTTAATTGTTTTCAGAAGTTTTATTTAAAAAATTTTAAATTAGACCAGAAATTTTTTTATACCTTGATAATTTTAGGACTTTCCATGAAACGACATTGAATTTTCAAGCAACGTCTTTAATTGTTTTCAGACGTTTTATTTAAAAATTTTTAAATTAGACCAGAAATTTTTTTAAACCTTGATAATTTTAGGACTTTCCATGAAACGACATTGAATTTTCAAGCAACGTCTTTAATTGTTGCAGACGTTTTATTTAAAAATTGTTAAATTAGACCAGAAATTTTTTTATACCTTGATAATTTTAGGACTTTCCATGAAACGACATTGAATTTTCAAGCAACGTCTTCAATTGTTTGCAGACGTTTTATTTAAAAATTTTTAAATTAGACCAGAAATTTTTTTAAACCTTGATAATTTTAGGACTTTCCATGAAACGACATTGAATTTTCAAGCAACGTCTTCAATTGTTTGCAGACGTTTTATTTAAAAATTGTTAAATTAGACCAGAAATTTTTTTAAACCTTGATAATTTTAGGACTTTCCATGAAACGACATTGAATTTTCAAGCAACGTCTTTAATTGTTTTCAGACGTTTTATTTAAAAATTTTTAAATTAGACCAGAAATTTTTTTAAACCTTGATAATTTTAGGACTTTCCATGAAACGACATTGAATTTTCAAGCAACGTCTTCAATTGTTTGCAGACGTTTTATTTAAAAATTTTTAAATTAGACCAGAAATGTTTTTAAACCTTGATTATTTTAGGACTTTCCATGAAACGACATTGAATTTTCAAGCAACGTCTTTAATCGTTTTCAGACGTTTTATTTAAAAATTTTTAAATTAGACCAGAAATGTTTTTAAACCTTGATAATTTTAGGACTTTCCATGAGACGACCTTGATTTTTCAAGCAACGTCTTTAATTGTTTTCAGACGTTTTATTTAAAAATTTTTAAATTAGACCAGAAATATTTTTATACCTTGATAATTTTAGGACTTTCCATGAAACGACATTGAATTTTAAAGCAACGTCTTTAATTGTTTTCAGACGTTTTATTTAAAAATTTTTAAATTAGACCAGAAATATTTTTATAACTTGATAATTTTAGGACTTTCCATGAAACGACATTGAATTTTCAAGCAACGTCTTTAATTGTTTTCAGACGTTTTATTTAAAAATTTTTAAATCAGACCAGAAATTTTTTAAACCTTGATAATTTTAGGACTTTCCATGAAACGACATTGAATTTTCAAGCAACATCTTTAATTGTTTTCAGACGTTTTATTTAAAAATTTTTAAATTAGACCAGAAATTTTTTTATACCTTGATAATTTTAGGACTTTCCATGAAACGACATTGAATTTTCAAGCAACGTCTTTAATCGTTTTCAGACGTTTTATTTAAAAATTATTAAATCAGACCAGAAATTTTTTTAAACCTTGATAATTTTAGGACTTTCCATGAAACGACATTGAAATTCAAGCAAAGTCTTTAATTGTTTGCAGACGTTTTATTTAAAAATTGTTCAAGTAGACCAGAAATTTTTTTATACCTTTATAATTTTAGGACTTTCCATGAAACGACGTTGAATTTTCAAGCAACGTCTTCAATTGTTTGCAGACGTTTTATTTAAAAATTTTTAAATTAGACCAGAAATGTTTTTAAACCTTGATTATTTTAGGACTTTCCATGAAACGACATTGAATTTTCAAGCAACGTCTTTAATCGTTTTCAGACGTTTTATTTAAAAATTTTTAAATTAGACCAGAAATGTTTTTAAACCTTGATTATTTTAGGACTTTCCATGAAACGACATTGAATTTTCAAGCAACGTCTTTAATTGTTTTCAGACGTTTTATTTAAAAATTTTTAAATTAGACCAGAAATGTTTTTAAACCTTGATTATTTTAGGACTTTCCATGAAACGACATTGAATTTTCAAGCAACGTCTTTAATTGTTTTCAGACGTTTTATTTAAAAATTTTTAAATTAGACCAGAAATGTTTTTAAACCTTGATTATTTTAGGACTTTCCATGAAACGACATTGAATTTTCAAGCAACGTCTTTAATCGTTTTCAGACGTTTTATTTAAAAATTTTTAAATTAGACCAGAAATGTTTTTAAACCTTGATAATTTTAGGACTTTCCATGAAACGACATTGAATTTTCAAGCAACGTCTTTAATTGTTTTCAGACGTTTTATTTAAAAATTTTTAAATTAGACTAGAAATTTTTTTATACCTTGATAATTTTAGGACTTTCCATGAAACGACATTGAATTTTCAAGCAACGTCTTCAATTGTTTGCAGACGTTTTATTTAAAAATTGTTAAATTAGACCAGAAATTTTTTTATACCTTGATAATTTTAGGACTTTCCATGAAACGACGTTGAATTTTCTAGCAACGTCTTTAATTGTTGCAGACGTTTTATTTAAAAATTGTTAAATTAGACCAGAAATTTTTTTATACCTTGATAATTTTAGGACTTTCCATGAAACGACATTGAATTTTCAAGCAACGTCTTCAATTGTTTGCAGACGTTTTATTTAAAAATTTTTAAATTAGACCAGAAATTTTTTTAAACCTTGATAATTTTAGGACTTTCCATGAAACGACATTGAATTTTCAAGCAACGTCTTCAATTGTTTGCAGACGTTTTATTTAAAAATTGTTAAATTAGACCAGAAATTTTTTTATACCTTGATAATTTTAGGACTTTCCATGAAACGACGTTGAATTTTCAAGCAACGTCTTCAATTGTTTGCAGACGTTTTATTTAAAAATTGTTAAATTAGACCAGAAATATTTTTATACCTTGATAATTTTAGGACTTTCCATGAAACGACATTGAATTTTCAAGCAACGTCTTTAATTGTTTTCAGACGTTTTATTTAAAAATTTTTAAATTAGACTAGAAATTTTTTTATACCTTGATAATTTTAGGACTTTCCATGAAACGACATTGAATTTTCAAGCAACGTCTTCAATTGTTTGCAGACGTTTTATTTAAAAATTGTTAAATTAGACCAGAAATTTTTTTATACCTTGATAATTTTAGGACTTTCCATGAAACGACGTTGAATTTTCTAGCAACGTCTTTAATTGTTGCAGACGTTTTATTTAAAAATTGTTAAATTAGACCAGAAATTTTTTTATACCTTGATAATTTTAGGACTTTCCATGAAACGACATTGAATTTTCAAGCAACGTCTTCAATTGTTTGCAGACGTTTTATTTAAAAATTTTTAAATTAGACCAGAAATTTTTTTAAACCTTGATAATTTTAGGACTTTCCATGAAACGACATTGAATTTTCAAGCAACGTCTTCAATTGTTTGCAGACGTTTTATTTAAAAATTGTTAAATTAGACCAGAAATTTTTTTATACCTTGATAATTTTAGGACTTTCCATGAAACGACGTTGAATTTTCAAGCAACGTCTTCAATTGTTTGCAGACGTTTTATTTAAAAATTGTTAAATTAGACCAGAAATATTTTTATACCTTGATAATTTTAGGACTTTCCATGAAACGACATTGAATTTTCAAGCAACGTCTTTAATTGTTTTCAGACGTTTTATTTAAAAATTTTTAAATTAGACTAGAAATTTTTTTATACCTTGATAATTTTAGGACTTTCCATGAAACGACATTGAATTTTCAAGCAACGTCTTTAATTGTTTGCAGACGTTTTATTTAAAAATTGTTAAATTAGACCAGAAATTTTTTTATACCTTGATAATTTTAGGACTTTCCATGAAACGACATTGAATTTTCAAGCAACGTCTTCAATTGTTTGCAGACGTTTTATTTAAAAATTGTTAAATTAGACCAGAAATTTTTTTATACCTTGATAATTTTAGGACTTTCCATGAAACGACGTTGAATTTTCAAGCAACGTCTTCAATTGTTTGCAGACGTTTTATTTAAAAATTGTTAAATTAGACCAGAAATATTTTTATACCTTGATAATTTTAGGACTTTCCATGAAACGACATTGAATTTTCAAGCAACGTCTTTAATTGTTTTCAGACGTTTTATTTAAAAATTTTTAAATTAGACCAGAAATATTTTTATACCTTGATAATTTTAGGACTTTCCATGAAACGACGTTGATTTTTCAAGCAACGTCTTTAATTGTTTTCAGACGTTTTATTTAAAAATTTTTAAATTAGACCAGAAATATTTTTATACCTTGATAATTTTAGGACTTTCCATGAAACGACATTGAATTTTCAAGCAACGTCTTTAATTGTTTTCAGACGTTTTATTTAAAAATTTTTAAATTAGACTAGAAATTTTTTTATACCTTGATAATTTTAGGACTTTCCATGAAACGACATTGAATTTTCAAGCAACGTCTTTAATTGTTTGCAGACGTTTTATTTAAAAATTGTTAAATTAGACCAGAAATTTTTTTATACCTTGATAATTTTAGGACTTTCCATGAAACGACATTGAATTTTCAAGCAACGTCTTCAATTGTTTGCAGACGTTTTATTTAAAAATTGTTAAATTAGACCAGAAATTTTTTTATACCTTGATAATTTTAGGACTTTCCATGAAACGACGTTGAATTTTCTAGCAACGTCTTTAATTGTTTTCAGACGTTTTATTTAAAAATTTTTAAATTAGACCAGAAATATTTTTATACCTTGATAATTTTAGGACTTTCCATGAAACGACATTGAATTTTCAAGCAACGTCTTTAATTGTTTTCAGACGTTTTATTTAAAAATTTTTAAATTAGACTAGAAATTTTTTTATACCTTGATAATTTTAGGACTTTCCATGAAACGACATTGAATTTTCAAGCAACGTCTTTAATTGTTTGCAGACGTTTTATTTAAAAATTGTTAAATTAGACCAGAAATTTTTTTATACCTTGATAATTTTAGGACTTTCCATGAAACGACATTGAATTTTCAAGCAACGTCTTCAA